CGATGCGGAGGCTACATCGGTGTGAGCGTTCGTAGCTGCTGAGGCCTTCTCTGACTCCTGAAAGCAGAAAAAATTGCAGGAAACAAAAAAAAACGAATGAGCCTTTTTTCGGACAACCAAGAGAACGGAAAAAATAAGCATATAAAAAACAGAATAACAGATATACAAAAGGGAGAATTTCAACATTTCTTACCTTGGTAAAATTAGGGCTGCCGTCAAATCCGGATCCATCAGGGCTCGACACCAAATTCGCTTTCTCCGGCACGGCACCGTTAGACGTGGCGGTCACGGCGGCGCTAGATGGAGCCATAATCGCCGTCGGAGTCAGCAACTTCGAGACTGGCGCAAAGCCCGGGGGAGGACTCACCATCCGATGCATCCTTGCAGAGCTGGATTAAAAGAGCACTAAACGGCAGGGTAAAATCGCAGATGCTCCTGACGCTGCTTTAAATGTCCGATGCTGGCGACTTTCAACACGTCGAATACTAACAGAATGTTGCCTTGTTTCCTCGCAATATGATGCTAGTGGTGTTTGCGACGAGTAATAACCTGTCTCGCCGGGAAGACCGAGCTGATGCGAAGGCTAAGACCTATCAGCAATAGCAGAGCTTGATCAGGAACTAAGCTAGCCTGAAGGCGAGTTCAACTGATGCGAACTGGCGCAAACCTGAGGCGAACCGGCAGGTAATGTACCACTAACACTTACTAATTGGAGAGGCAAATCATAGCAGGCAGAGGAGATATGGCAGCTCTGAAATGGAGGAGGGATTGGACCTGGAAGTGGGATAATGAAAATGGGCAAGCATTGTTGTAAAAGAAGAGGGAGGCTTGGAAATGCGGAAATAGGGAAGGGAGAAGGGAAAAAATCATAGAGGGGCCGAACAGTGCCAGAGGGGTGATCAACCAGGGGCCGAGAGGCCCGGAACTTGCCAAACCACTGCGCGAGGAGGGATTAACTGAGGGTCTTCGATTATTGCACGTAATTCGGTTAATAGTGGCATGTACCGGCTCGCATTTTCGCTCGCGTGTCGTTTAGCGAGCCGAATCTACCAGGAACTCTAGGGCAGACAAAAAAACTAAAACTCATAACGAACCTGGATGCAATTTCGGGATGGATCAACCCTAAAAAAGGGACCTTCCCGGTATTTAGGTTTGATGCCTCCCGAGTCGCATCCGTTTCCGAATGGGTAATATTTTTTTCCTTGTGCGTTTCCGATCGGGTTGGTGATATGTATCACCCAGAATATATTATGTTTGTTACGTACGCACGATTTGACACGCCAAACATTAATTCCAGAAGAAGGCGACGCGCGCGCTGCAGTAGACGGCGGTCAAAACCCTCAATACAGAAAATGAGCAACAAGTCTGGTTTGTTTTAGCAATTTTCGTTTACTCATGGTTCGGCTTGTTCGTCGAGTCGTTTGGTCAGCTCCGGGTTGAAATCTACGGTCGAGATATTCCGGCCCCTGGTTGATCACCTCTCTGGCACTGTTCGGCCCCAATATGATCTTTTCCCAAGGGAGAATGTGGAAGCGTGCGACAGAATCAAGGCAGCCTCACTGGGTGAATGAAGGCTGACTGCTCGGGCTGAAAAGGGAGTGCTGGGCTGGGGGGAACGCGTGTTACCAAACGGCTACCTGTGTTCGCTTGAGCTACCGACAACGCTACTTCTGCGAGTTGCCGAGAATGGCGATACAAGTTTAGCTGCGCTGATTGGTGACGAAATTTTTCGTGTTTTCCTTGCACCCCTTTTTGTGGGTGAACTGCTCAATCAACCACCAGCAAGTGACCATGCGGTCTGCCCTCGAGCTTGTCATTCGTCAGCGACTGAACTGAAGTGGTGGCTTGGCTTGACGACGACGTCGTGGTCCGTTCCTCCCATTGTCAGGAGGCAATAATGATTCACAAAATATAGCACCCATGAACTAAAAGCGTGTTCAAAGTACTGCACCAGCTCGACGTCGAAGTACGTCGGTGAATTTCAACCCTCGGATCTACTGTTCCAACCGTCACGATTCACCGACGTACTTCGACGTCGAGCTGGTGCAGTACTTCGAACACGCTTTAATACTTCAAACTCGGCCTTTATCAGTGTACATCAAATGCATCCCAAGCATTCTCAGATACGGTTTCCAATCTCATCCTAATTGTTTTAACTCGTGTGTTTTGTGCTGTCTGAACTTGTCTTTATAATTTCCTGTATCTATATATAATGTGAATTATAAAGTATAAATTTCACTGTACGACCTATAATACACTTTTTGTTTTTACAAACACTAGTAAGATAATTCATTCTAGCTTTGAACGTGTGTACGGTATTGGCTGGAATTGTATTGAGTTGTGTTGAGCTGAGTTGTGTTGGCTGGCGTAACCCAGGACTGCATTTATATCCGGTTGACGTTGACAAGCTGTAAGTCTACCGTGGAACAACGTGGAAAGATAAAGCGATATTCGCTTTATTCACTCGCTGACTGCCACGTCTCTACCCGAATCCAACATGGCGCTGGATAACCACTCACAACGAAGCAGAAATCCAACAGAGCAAAGCGCCACTGCAGCCTGGTAAGCCACACGTGAGATTTTGTCGCAAGCGACCATCAAATGTGCCCAATGCCCATCTCGTTTTCGAGTCAGCTCAAGTCTTTGAAGGTGAAAGCGCGTTTTTGGCATGTACAGAAAAAAACATTCACTATGCCCCACATTTCCCAGTTCAGCGTCCTCCCTTTCGCAGCTCCAGCCGAGTTCGGCTGCTGCTGGCCAAACCTCTTTCACAGCAGCATCATCAACCGAAAATGTTGTGCACGGGGGAACGAGTCCCACTTGGTCAATGCCCCGTGCAAATAGAGAGCCCAGTCCTCTTCCTCTCCACAGCCATTGGCGATGACCACAACGCATAAAGGGCCACGTCTAGCTTTTACAGCACTCACAATTCACCTCAGCTGCTCCCACAACTGACACTCTCCCAGTATTCTCAGTACTCCTTGACGCTCGTCTTCACATTCGCGATTCTTGCACTTCTTGCTCCCTCTTACCTACAATTCTGGGTTGTACCTGGATTTGTTTGTTAATATCATCTTGGGCTGAACTTCTTGAAGCATTTATCGTCAAACAGCGGAATCTTACTACTATGGCGGCTCCGTCAATGGTCAATCACGGCGGCAGAGCCGTGTCAGCGCTCATGCCAGCCGTTTGTCAATTCTCCTTCGCCCTCCTCCGCGTCGCCCAGCGCTGCGCCGCGGAACGCGCCGCCAATGCCGCGTTAGCGTGCACCGACCACGTCAACCAGCGTCGCGGCGTCTCACTTCCATCACCCCCCGTGCCGACGCGCCATCTCAATTCCGGAATTGCCGGTCAAGTCGAGGCGCTGGCGTGCTACGTGGCTTCCGTCAACCCCGGCGCGACATCGACCGTCCTCGCCGCCACAACCATCAGCAGCACGATCGCCGTGTCCCGCGTTATGGAGAATAGTAATGTATCTCGCGCTTTTAGCGGATGTCAAACTTCGCCTGCCATGTCGCTTCCGCGCCTTGCGACCAACGAACATCCGAGCCTTGAACAGCGCTTCGAGGCGTTCAACGGTCCCAAGAAGGTCCGGACGTCGACAAATTTGCCGCTTCACGCCGCGCCTCCGACCAAACCTCTCAGCGAAGACAGGCTCGGAAAGAACACTCCAACCCTGGTCGGCTGCTTCGAACCTGCTCATTCTTCGGAACAGCATTCTGCAGTTCGTATTCCATCCTTTGTGAGCTGCTCGTTTGCGGCTTCTGCTGTACAAAGTTCCTGGGCCGATCCTGCAGCAGCCATGGCTGATCGCATAGCGGAACCAGCAATTGCACTTCCCGATCATGCCAGCAATGGAAGAGCTTCCCGTAGCTTGGCTAAGCAATTTGAGGATTTTCACATGGCGAGGAACAAGGTGCGAGCCTCCTTTCACATGGCTGTTCGTCTGTCGGAGCGTGGGGTTGCGGGTTCAGCGGCCAGCCAACAGGCTCTTGGAGACCAGGAGGACTCGTAGCCAATATCAAGCCAAGCTCATGTCCATATGTGAAGGCTCATTAGTACCACGGTCAAGGGGCACACACACTAAGCGCTATCCGGTAATAACAGCAACTGGTCTGGTGACTTTAGCTAGTTATCGAGCGGTTACCGTGTTTTTTTAGGCATACTATAGTATTGTCTATTGGGGCTTTCCAGGTGTTCCCTGTTGTTTTCCCTTCATTCATGTTTTGGGGGTATTTAGATTGAATTAACGAATTAATGCATTCATGTTCTTATTCGTTCTTCGGCGGTGCATTCTGCAAAGAGGGACGATGAAGCACTGTTCGCACTTTCGCGTTGTGCTACTCACCTACCCCAACCACCTGGCTACCATGTTCCCCCCAGCGGGGTTCCCCCCAACCCCCGCATCAACGGTTCGCGAATAACTCCTGCAACGTCCAAGCTACCAAATCGTTCGTCAGGGCCCCTCCTCTTTGTGGATGTAAGTACACTATAAGAAGCATACATATGTATCCGCAGTCGTAACTGTCATTTGGAAGGCATACTATCTACACGTACAGACAGTCCCTTCTGTGTACTACTCTTTATGGTGGCTGGAAGGTGATTGCCGGGTCCTCCCAGCTTGCTTTGTCATCCGTTCTCCGCATCTGCGATTCCTCCAAACTGTAGATTCTACAGTATGCATTTATTGCCACTGAGCACAATCCATAAAAGTCGGAATAGAATGCAAGGGTGCTATCACACCCTTGCTCATTACAATACCGGCACCCTCACATCATGGTAAATCAAAACAGACTGCACATGTTGCAGTAAAGCATACTGCAACCCCGGAAAATCTCTTGTGAATCAAGATAAGTGCGCCCATCAGCATTCATAAGTTTAGGGCAAGAAAGGAGCAAAGAAGAGCCATGAGCATTGCTGCGAGAGCGCTGTTAGCTGCTGCTGCTGTTGCTGGGGCAGCCTTCCCAGTGGTGCTGGCAGGGGGAGCAGCAACAATGGGTTTAGGGGGAAGCAGCAGCAGAGGGAAGGAGAGTGGCGGCGGCGGCGGATTGCAGTGGGCCAGATTGCGGTGCAGCGGGTTGCGGTGCAGTGGGTTGCGGCAGTGTTAATTGCGGTGCGGCGGGTTGCGTCACTGCGGGTTCCGGAAGTGCTGGTTGCGGCAGTGCAGAGATGGCGGCAAGTGGAAAGGCTGATAGTGACTCCTTGGTCCTGCCGTGGGTTGTGGTGTGGGGTGGTGGGGGGATAGGGGGAAAGAGAGGGAATGAGGGGGGAGAGGGGGAGGGGTTGGAGTGGTGCAGAGATGGTGGCAAGTGGAAAGGCTGAGAGTGATGCCTTGGTCCTGCCGTGGGTTGTGGGGTGGGGTGGTGGGGAAAAAGGAAGGACGAGGAAGAGGGGGAAGAGGGGGGAGAGGGGGAGGGATGAAGGGGAATGTTTACCAAAAACGACTTGGTCTAACCGTGGGTTGAAGGGTGGAGTGGGGAGGGGGAAATGGGAGGAGCGGGAAGGAGCGGAAAGGAGGGGGAAGGAGGGGGGAGGAGGGGGGAGGAGGGGGGAGGAGGGGGGAGGAGCGTGAAGGAGGGGAGAAGGGAAGGGGAGGGGGGAGGGGGGAGTCTGAGGGGTGGAAAGGGGTGTGGTGTGGAGTGGAGAGGGGTGGAGTGGAGTGGAGTAGAGTAGAGTGTAGTGGAGTGGAGTGGGGAGGGGTGGAGAGGAGTAGAGTGAGTGGAGTGGTGGGCACTCACAGAGTCGCTTTTGAGAGGTCTCAAGAGTGGAGTGGAGAGGAGAGGAGAGGAGAGCAGGGGCACTCACTGAGCCGGACAGCCGTGGATGACTGAGAGAGGCTGGTTGGAGCCGAAGGTGATGCTGCAGGGCTGGGTGGTGGGGATCACTGGGTTGCGGCCCGTCCCACAGATGTAGTGAGTCGAGAGGTTCAGATTGGTGGGATGCGTTGAGAGTGTGCCGTTGTCCATTGCCCCACACACGGTGTAGCACGAATGCATCTCTGGTTTCAGGGGAAAAGAGGGAGGAAACGAGGGGAGGGGCAAAAGGAAGGGTTGGGGTTGGTGGGATGCGTAGAGAGAGAGTTGTTGTCCATTTATCCACACACGGTGTAGCATGAATGCATCTCTGGTGCAGGGGGAAGAGCAGGCATGGGGGGGAGAGCGGAAACAGGGGCGAAGGGGAAGAAGGGCTGGGGCTGATGGGGTGCATGGGGAGTGTGGTGGAGTGTGGTGTTGTGCATGGGGAGTGATGTGGAGTGTGGTGTTGTGCTTGGTGCTGTGCTTGGTGTTGTGCTTGGTTCTGTGCTTGGTGTTGTGCTTGGCCCTTCCAAGCATGAAAAAGGAGCATTACCTTGGGTCTGGTGCTGGGCAGAATAGTAGACGAGGTAAGCCAAACACATCTCGTCCTCCGCTGATAGACCCCCCACCGTTACCTGGAGGGACGGGCACAAGGGAGCAGAGAGAGACAGAAGAAGGGAGCACTTTTGAGACACGACCCCCATTGGGATTGGTTTTGAGAATTCTCAGAGGTGATAACGTGGCAGCACGGGAGAGGCAGAACGGGAGGGAGTGGCAGCAGGGGAGTGTTACCTCGGAGCGAGAGGAGGAGTCCCACACGCAGGTGGTGCGGATTGCATCCCCTGGCAGCAGCTCGAACTCGGGCAGCACCGGCAAGGTCTGCTGCGATGCGGCGTCGCTGGCACACATGGGTGGGGAGCGAGAGGGGGGAAGGGGAGGGTAAGGGCTTGCGTCGCCTGGCAGCAGCTCAAACTCTGGCAGCACTGGCATGGTCTGCTGCGATGCGGCATCGCTGCCACATGTAGAGAAGGGTGTAGGGGCGTTTAGGGGGGTGAAGGGGGGTTTAGGGAAGGAAAAGGGTGAATGGCTTGAGTCGACTCAAAGCTCAAACTCGGGCAGAACCAGCAAGGTCTGCTGTGATGTGATTCGGCATCGTTGCCACACAAGAAGGAGAAAGAAAGGGGGGAAAGGGGAGAGTTGCATGGATGGAGGGAGGGAGGGAAGATTAGAGAGGGGGAGTAGCAACGGACTGATGCAATGCGAATTCGCTGCAGCGAATGGGTGTTTGGGGGGAGGGGACGGGAGGGTGACAAAAAGGCAGGCAGGCAGGCAGGCAGGCAGGCAGGCAGGCAGGCAGGCAGGCAGGCAGGCAGGAAGGAAGGAGGATGGGCAAGAGGAGAGCTCACTAGTAACTTTTGAGAATTCTCAAAAGTCACTCCAATAGAGGAGAGCTCACTAGTAGTCAATGCGGTTGATGGTGGCGACCTTGCTGCCCGCCCTTACCACATCCGTGTACATCTGTAGAGGAGAGCATGGCGAATGGCGAATGGAGAGCACAGAGCATGGGGAATTCCAGAACATGAGGCACAACCATGACTTGAAGGCTAGTAGTGACTCCACCGTCTTACAAGAGTACTAAACACCAAGTGCTGAATACCAGACCAGCACCTAGTTGAGCATGATGCTTAAGATTCCCACCCACCTGGCGTCCAATATTGTGCTGGTGCAGGATCGACCCGATAATCTTCACACTCTCGTTCTTAAACACAACAGCAGTGCACTCGCCAGGGCACGAGTTGGCATGGGTCCACGAGGGCATGCCGGGCGGCACGCGGATGAGCCTGCTGTGGTCCACCAGGCCGGCCTTCATGATGTGCGCGTCTTTCAACTGCGGGGGCGATGTGTGCGCCTGCGTTTGACGCGCCTCGGGAATTGAGGGCGCGAGCTTGAGGTACACGCCCGAGCTGTCAACTATGTCGGCCCAGCCGTCGGGATTGGTGTAATGCATCTGAGGGGGGGGAGGGGCGGGGAGGAGGGGCGGGGAGGAGGGGCGGGAGGAGGGCGAGGTGACTTTCAAGTCGACTCAAGAGTCAGCTTGAGGTACACGCCCGAGCTGTCGACTATGTCGGCCCAGCCGTCGGGATTGGTGTAATGCATCTGAGGGGGGGGAGGGGCGGGGAGGAGGGGCGGGACGGGGAGGGGAGGGTGGGAGTGCTTGAGTCTACATATGAGGGATCGTCACAGAGGGTAGGGGAATGAAGGGGGATATAAAAAAGAGACATGTTGAAATCAATGTTCCCCGATACAAAACACGAGTGGGGCGAGCCATTCTGCACCGCACTGTACCGCACTGTACCGCACTGTACCGCACTGAACCGCACTGCGCCCACCTCAAGCACGAACTTGGTGAAGTAGCCGGGGCCGATGGGGTAGCCGATATTGGGGGGGAAGGTGAAGGGGCGTCCCCCCACGCCCACACGGCCACGAAGGTGCTGCAGGGGGGCTTGCCCATGCAGTCAAAGACCCTTCCGGTAGGGGGCAGATCGGGGTACTCGTCCCTGTTGGGGCATTGAATGGAGTGGTGGGAAGGGGTGAAGAGGGGTGAGGAGAGGTGAGAGGAGGTGAGTAGCGGTAAGATGAGGCGAAATCCATGTGGTAGTTGCACATGAGTGGATCCTGGATTTAGGTAAAGGGTGGAGGAGCAATGATGATGAGTGTGTAGTCTGAGGCTGAGGGCAGAATGGGACCAGTAGAATGACTACACGACAGACTCAGACAGAGCCTGTCGTGGATTCATGGAACCACCACGACATGTGCTCATGCGTATGTGCACGGCGGCTTACGGTGAGCAGCCGTAGAGGAAGGAATGATGCAGGGAGGAGACGTGGGTGGTGTTGATAACTGGGCCCCACTCCACTGCATGCCGCTTGCTCTCCAACGGCACGTCCACCACCTGCCACGCACGGTACACATGAATGGGCGGCACAAGGTAGGCATGAATGGGCGGCACAAGGTACGGTGTGAGACGTATCGAAACAAGGCCACCCAAACGCACAGCAACTTCCGGCGACAAGAAAGGAGGGCCTGATAGGAGGCAAAAGCCATCACATGCCGCCCAGTCATCATGCCGTCCAGTCATCATGCCGCCCAGTCATCATGCCGTCCAGTCATCATGCCGCGTACGGAAAGGTACAAATAGTACCTTGCAGCGGTAGGAGGTCCGTCGGCACATGGTAGCCCGTGACTGTGAAATTAAGCATCCCTCGCCTCCTCCGCATGAGCCTCCGAAGAGGAAACTTCCTTCCCCCCCACGGCCCCTTGCTGCTGCTGCTGCTGCTGCTGCCCGCCCACACGCCCCATCCCTCGGAACGAATCAGATGCAGTGGCAGCGGTGGAGGGCGGTTCTTGGGGGTCGAGAATGGAGGGGCCGGGAGCAGGAGCGAGCACCAGGGCGGCACCCCCGCGAGTGGAGCCATGATAGCTGACGTCATCCGTGGTCCCTGTCGCCCAGATGACGTTCTGAAGCTTCCCGGTAATGATGGGACGGTCGTTGCAGTCGCCCGTGTTGAGTAGGCGCCACGCATGCACGGTGGTCCACGTGTCACCCGTGGATTGGTTGGTGGTCTGGCTGCCGCCCAGCACGTGCCAGTCCTGTTTGTCGTCCAGTACCGGCCCTGACGTGTCAAAGATGAACCGATCCGTTCCATAAACACGCCCGCCAGCTTCCGCCACCCACGCTACGAGCGCGTCTGTTTTAGGGAAAGAAGAACAGAGGAAGTTACTGAAATTATCAACAAAAACGAAGGAAAATAATGAACACGTTTATCCTTGATTTTTGGGAAAAGAAAGCACAAAGAGCTGTGCGGACCCACACGAAAAACACTCATAGTATAGGCAAATCCGTACCTGAGCCAACCATGGAGCCAATCTCGGAGAGGCCTATAGCGAGCCATCCCGCCGTTTTGGCCCGAGCCGCCATGCGAATGGTCGCGTCGCTGTCGTTGACGGTCCAGTAGAGCTCGAAGCGCGGGTCTAGCAACGCAACGTTGGAGTAGGAGGAGAGCGACTCGGGAAGGGAAATGGCGGCGGCGGCGGCGGTGGCGCCGGCGGCGGCGGAGGCGGAGGCGGAAGGTTGCGTGAAGTGGTTGGAAATGAGAGCGGCGAGAATGCGGCACGTGGCCGCAGCGGGGCGCGGAACGAGCGCCATGGTCACCCGACTCGGGTTCTACTATTACTAGTACTAGTCACAGTACTCGTCGGTAGACTCGTCAATGGCTAGAGGACAATTCAAATCGGGTTACTGTCTCGGATCGCAATTGAGATTGATGTCAAGTCGAAGCACACTGAAAGGGCTAAATACTATTACTAGTACTAGTAATAGTAGTAGTGGTGGACTGAGTGGAGGTAGCAGATGCTCTCATTTCTCGTATCTCTTTGGCAAAGAGCGTGGTTTGTGTGGACGGGAGGGGGCGTTCAGACGTTCGGACGTTCGGACGGGCCTTGGGACTGTCGACGGCTGATTCGGCCGCCTACTGCGACTCGACTCTGGGACAGACGGCTGCCGAGAACGAGAGGTGACGACGAATACTCGGATGGTGGGAATGGATAATGGCCATTGGCTGAACCTCGTCGACTTGCAAGGTCCTCTTAACAGCCGCTTCGGAACACGCTACATCCTCCTCCGATAAGTACTAGTGGCCATGCCGAGCCCATACCCCCACCTCCTCCTCCTTCCCTTTTTTTTTTTCTCGTTTCGCCGGCCATCTTAAAACGTGGGATCGTCCGCAAATCTCGCGACAGTGGAGATAATGAGCCATAGTGACTTACATAATGAGGCTCAACATCTTGACTCGTGCCAGTGCACAGTGTACTAGGGGAACTCCTACTAGGGAGTTCCCCTAGTACAGTGCACAGTTATCCTACTAGGGGAACTCCTAGTAGGAGGTTGTTGAGTCCCGTTAAAATCGACCTGATGTCGCGCCGCGGCGCCTGTAAGGCACCAGGAATAAAATTCGTCCATCCGTTCAACTACACCACGAATCAGGAATCCCTCCAGCCGTTCTACACCAGGAATAAAAAAATCCGCGACTAGCAGTCGCGGAACGCTTTCTCCTGAACCACCTGCTGTTCTAGATCTAGGGTGCGGTCTGGGATCGCTTGCGGCTGGATCTCCGTCTCCGACTGGAAGACAAAATTGTGGCCACAAGAGGATAGGAGATGCCGAAAAGCGGGAATTGGATTTCCTGGACCATACGACCCAGAATATGGACATCGCCTTTGGAACGGACATACACACACACATACCGAAGGCGGCAGCGCAGCCGTCTCAACTCCAAGACCTGAATTACAACCAAAAGAAAAGGCAAACTGTGCCAGTTTGCCTCCCGACTCCCGAGCACGGCTGTTGTGGATTGGTCTGGCCTTGTCCCAGAACTTAGGTCCCATTCCAGACCTCCGAACAAACAACCTCCGAACAAGTTTGGCGAGAATATTCCACAATGATTGGATCAGGGTTTCCGGTACGGGGTCGCTTACAGTCGTGAGGCGTCGCAATAGGGCCGCTTGTTCGGAAGTTGTTGTTCGTAACAACCCGGAATGCGACCATCTCGGCTGAGCAAGCCCAAAATCGAGCCCTGAAATAACCTGGAAGCGGCAAAAGCGGACCCGTTTTCGAAACTGGTTGGGCCTAAATTATACACTGACTTCAGAATATATATTTTTGCCCCTTGGCGAGCTTGAGTCAGCACCTACTTTATCTACTCTAACCTGATTCGAGTATTCATCATGTTTGCTTTTCCAGCAACCACAGGAATCTCCAACAAAAGGAGTGTGAACACCTGGAGAAATACCCTAGGAGAACACCTATAGATCCCACAGTTGTGATAACCTACAGATCCCACAAAATGAGCTCCGATTGTTGCAGAAACATCCCGGCCCCAGGCCCCTCGAGGGAGTCTACGCAAGCATGGGCTGTAGCTGCTACAGCCGGCACAGAGGCGTCTAGCATGGCCATGCCATGGCAGAAACCCGCATGATCGTCCACCATGAGCATGTGTCCATGCTCCATGGCCAGCCTGCCTTCATACTCCATCACCCCCATGGTGGGTGGCATGATTGACATGTGCACTTCCTCTTTGCGGGGTGTCTTCTGCAGCAAGGACCCCAAGTCCTCGTTCCGGGATGCCTCCTGCAGCAGCGACGCCATGGAATCCGAGCCGCAATCGCCGTCCAGCCAGAAGGAGAATGCGGAGAAAGCGGTGGAGCCATCCACGTCAGAGTCGGGGTCAGCGTCGGGGTCAGCTTCGGGGTCAGCTTCGGGGTCAGCGTCGGGGTTGGCAATGCTGCCCTTCAGAAACGACTGCAGGCTGTCGTTGCTGCCGCTGCTGCCCTCACTCCCTTCCCCCCCAGGGAAGCCCTTGTTCGTGCACGACCCGCCGCTCTTCTCACTGCCCCATCCACCACCTCTCTCACTGCCTGCATTCTGCTCCTCGCTCCCCTTCCTCCCATCCACTCCAACCAGCAGCGCCTTCAACGCCACTTCCAAGTCGCTCTCCTTCACCCTCACAGCATCGCACTCCACCGCTCCAGACGCCTCCGTACCATCACCAACCGGCTCCTCGACCCACTCTCCAGCAGCGAAGCTCCTAGCAGCCGCCCCACCGGTCACCTCCACCATGGCCCTCTCGCCCTCCGCAGCCTTGAGCACCGCTGCCAGCTCAGCAATGGCGTCCTCCGCGCCCTGCCACGTGGCGCACTCACGGGCCACCGTCAGCAGTGCGTCGGCTGTAGCGGCCGGCATTAGCACGGGGAGGAGAGCCGGAGAAGTCTTGGCAGGAGAGCCTTCTGCTGTCCCGGCTGTAGCACCTGCAGTGGCTGCAGCGGCTGTAGCGGCGGCGGGGCGGGAGGACTTGTGGTTGGGAGGGGGAGGGGGGGGGAAGTTGAGCTGTGCCTTGGGTCCGCGCAGCAGCCAGGCGGCCATGTCATACACGCGAGCGGCAGCCTCCCACGAGTCAAACGACCCCAGCCATATGCGCGACCGCCGGCTCGGCTCTCGGATCTCCGTCACCCACTTGCCCCACCACCGCTGCCGCACGCCCTTGTGCGCCGCCCAGCCCTGCGCGCCCAACACCCCCGCCGCTGCCGAGCTACAAGGCGCATCCGCTGCTGCGCATTGGGGCCGCACGCCCTTGTACGCCCCCCAGCCCTGCGCACCGCCCGATGCCGCCGCCGCTGCCGCGCTACTACGCGCATCCGCTGCTGTTCTGGATTGTGCAGAGATCTCTGAATCGGCGCTCTTCGCGTCAACGCTACCGTTCGCAGCAGGCTCGGAACTTTCAGAGCGATTGCTCGCTCCGTCACCGCCGCCACGTGCCTTGCGCCGAACACTCAGCGTGCAGCCACCGCCACTGCCACTGCCAGAGGCAATCGCGACCTGCGGCTTCTCTCCCGCTACAGCCGCTACAGCCGCTGCCGCCACCCCCGCCACAGCCGTCGTTTTTCTCCGCTTATTTCCCGCGCCTGACCAGTGGGGTCGACCGCGAGGCCGCTTCCCCTCCACAGGGATGGGACTGGCAGTTTCACTCGGCGCAGCAACAGCAGCAGCGGCAGCAGGGGCAGCAGGGGCAGCAGCGGCAGCAGGGGCAGCAGGGGCAGCAGCGGCAGCAGGGGCAGCAGGGGCAGCAGCGGCAGCAGGGGCAGCAGGGGCAGCAGCGGCAGCAGGGGCAGCAGGGGCAGCAGCGGCAGCAGGGGCAGCAGGGGCAGCAGCGGCAGCAGGGGCAGCAGGGGCAGCAGCGGCAGCAGGGGCAGCAGGGGCAGCAGCGGCAGCAGGGGCAGCAGGGGCAGCAGCGGCAGCAGCGGCAGCGGCAGCAGGGGCAGCAGGGGCAGCAGCGGCAGCAGCGGCGGCAGCGGCGGCAGCGACGCCAAATCCGTGGAAAGCTGCCAGCGCGGCGGCCACCGGAGGAGGCGTCATGAATGGAACCACGGGGGGCGGCAGCATGTGGAACCCCGCCGCGAATGCTGGCGGAAATACGGGGCTCCACATGCTGCCGCCTCCTGATAGAGCACCAGCACCCATCGCGCAGCCGCCGCCGCCGCCGCTCATGCCGCCGCTCATGCCGCCGCTCATGCCGCCGCCACCACCCATCACAGCGCGATTGTTGCGTGAAATGAAAGGCGTTGGTAGAAAATAGGCGCCGGAAGCTCCTGGAACCGCATTAGACCCGCCGACAAACCCGGATACTCCAGCGTGGAAGGATGCTGCCGCCCAAGGAGGCGACGCGTTGGTCGGCGGCGGCCGGCCTGGAGCGGCGGGGTGGGCGACGTTGATTGGACGGGTGACCCCTCCGTTGTTCACGCAGCGCGAAGTTACGGCGGGAACGGGTCCCGGCGGGGGATGATCGCTACTACGTGGCGTCAAGTCGCCTCGGGTTCCCCGCGACCGGCGGAGCTGCAGCTGCTTGCGCTTCGCCACGTGGACGGCCTGCACGAGCCCCGCTATGGCGGCCTGCGCGGACGAGATCGCATTTCTCTAACGCCGCCTCGCTGGACCCGTCAATCGCGGCGGAAAGGGCGGAAGGGGTGGACGAATGAGCCGAATCCATTGAGGAACTCATTCGTTCGGATGGAAGGATGGTAAGCGGCGGGAAAGGAAGAAGGGAGCGAAGAAGGAATGCTCGACCTTGGAGGTAAGAAGCGATAGACGTATGTTAGAGTGCTCGGCCTTGGACTCGAACTCTGAGACCGTGACGGCTCGATGCCGTCGCGCGCTCGAGATGTGGCGAGGAATGCTCTGATGGTGGGAATGGATAAGGCACATCATGTGGTGGCTGAACCTCGAAAGATCCTACTAACAGCCGCTTCGGAACATGCTACATCCCCCTCCGATAAGCGCCATGCAGAGAGTCCACACACCCCCACCTCCTCTCCCTCCTCCTCCTTCCAATTTTTAGTTCTGTTTCGCCGGCCAAAATCCCTCGTTCAACGTGGGATCGTCCGCAAATCTCGCGACATAGAGCCATAGAAGTGATGACTTTCGTCTCGCGACATCAGTGATGAGGCTACAGCTTGACTCGTGTCAGTGTACAGTTTGCAGTGTACTAGACCTCCGAGTGAGGTCAACATGATTTGAGCCATAATGAGGCTCAACAGCTTGACTCGTGTACAGTGTACAGTGTACTAGGAGAACTAGGAGGTTGTTGAGTCCCGTCGCACCGCGGCGCATTCAAGGCACCAGGAATAAAAAATCCGTCTATCCGTTCATCTACACCACGTATCAGAAATACGTTCATCCGTTTATCTACACCACGAATCAAGAATCCGCGACTTGTAGTTGCGGAACGTATTTCCTGAACCACCTACTAGTTCTAGGGTGCGGTCTGGGATCGTTTGCGGCTGGCTCTCCGACTCGAAGACAAAATGGTGGACCATAAGATCCAGAAATTGCCATATGGCCTATGGAACGGACATAAGCGATCTCCTAGACTCGTGAGAAGTGCGCCAGCCAGACCACACACAAAAGCCGGCAGCGCGACCGTCTCAACTCGTGAGAATTGCGGTTGCGAGCCGAGACAGCCACTTTCGGGTGGAGTGGACTTGCGAGTGCTTCGCTACTGTATACGGCAAGCCCTGGGATAAAAACTTTACCATGAATGAAACCTTGGGATTAGGCTGCCCCAGCAGCAGCATCAGCAGCAGCAGCAGCAGCAGCTAAAAAAGTGCTCTAGCAGCAATGCTTTTGGCTCTACTTTGCTCCTTTCTTGCCCTGAACTTCTTATGTTGATTCACATGAGCTTTTCCGGGGTTATGCTTATAAGGAGGATGCCAACTGGAATATGTGCCCTCTGTTTTGTTTTGCATTACCGTATGATGCGTAAGGTTGTGATGTAGCCCCCGCGAGCTCTATTATAGCTTCTATAAATTGCGCTTAGTGGCAATACATGCTCTGTTCTTTACAATGCATCCCAGTCAGTGGTTAATTCAATACAGTTTGGGCCTCTGGCAGACTGGCAGCATCAATCTTGTTCAAACAAGCAACTGCCAAATCAGTTGCTCTCTCAGCAACACTACACAACAGTTCAACGGGTCAACCACCAGTATCGGCAGCAGCATCAGCATCACCACCAGCATCATCAGCATCACCACCAGCATCATCAGCATCAGCATCAGCAGCGTTAGCAGGAGTGGCAGCACCAGCAGCTTCAGCATGCCCATTGCTGTCATTACCGTCTCCATTTCCCCTCTCACGTCTCCTCACCAGCTGCTGCTGCTCCTCCTGCTCCTGCCGCTGCTGCTCATTCTCCTGCTCTTCCTCCTCCTGCTCCTGCTGCTGTCCCCCACCCTCAGGCCCCTCCTCGACCAACCTCTCTTCACCACGTGTCCGCATCTCAGGACACCTGTCAGCCGCTGCTGCCAGCTGGCGCTGCTTCACAGCCAATCGCGAGGCTTCCCTGAGCTCCTGCTGTGTCTCCGTGCTGCCAGGCTGGCAGGGGGAATGAGGACAGGGGAGCAAGGATAGGGGAGAGATGGAAAGGAAGAAACGAATGAGCAGGGGGGATGAATGCAGGCGAGGGATTGAAGAGGAACGAAGACATAGAAGACCAGAGCTGGGATAGAGGAGTGGGATAGTGGGGCAGGAGTGAGCGGGGGGACTGAGGGGCGGTATAGACCGGGGAGGCCAAGCGTAGGGTAGGAAGCAGGGGAAACGGGCAGTGAGAAAAGGAAAGGGCGAGTGTGTGTGTGCGCGTGTGTGTGTGTGTGTGTGTGAGGGTGAGTGTGTGTGTGTGTGTGTGTGCGAGTGTGTGTGTGAGTGTGAGTGTGTGTGTGTGTGTGTGTGTGTGAGTGTGAGTGTGTGTGTGAGTGTGTGTGTGTGTGTGTGTGCGAGTGTGTACATCCGTGTGTGTGTGTGTGTGACAATGAAAAAGGAGGGGAGGTGAGCACCTGCAGCAGGAGTGCGCGGGAGAAGGAGGCTTGGGCGAGGTGGGGCTCTCCAAAGTTGAGCTGAGCGCGTGCCAATGTCACCCACGCATTGTGCCAATCTGGGGCAATATCCGTGGCGCCTGCAGCAGTGGATTAGAGGAGGAGAATGTGTCAATCTTCGGAACTTACCTGGTTCCTGAGAACGCTTATTTGGAGCATTTCGTGACAGGCACTCAGACATGCCGCCAACAAACTAGCAAGATTTGCTTAGAACACACGTGGCCCAACACGCCAGACACGTGCACCCTCCTCCCCCCTTTCACCCCATTCTGCGTGCAGGATTTGTAAAGAATTCAGCAGTCATTACAAACGCTATTTCAAATCAAGGTGGGATGCAGTCAGAAGAGCAATGATTACATGTGCCAGCTCGGACGGCCTCCCACAGCCGCCCCATCTCCATCAGCACCTGCGCCTTCTGCTCGAACAGCACCGCGCGCTGACGTGGCAGGGGAGACAGGCCAATGGCAGCGTCCCACGCGGCAAGAGCAGCAGAAAACTCTCCTTCCTGAGGGAGTGTATAGGGGAGTGGTAGGGGGAGCAAGGGGGGAATGCAGGGCGAGGAGAAGGAGAGAGTGGTGAGGGAGGGAGCAGAAGCGGGTCTGTTGGGAGGCGGAAGCGAGTGGAAAGAACTGGGAAAGCAACACGTGCCTTTCACGTGCCCCCCACGTGGCCCACACGTGGCCCCCACGTGCCTGTGCCAAGGTGTTTCCCCTCTGCTGAAGCTGCGCCGTCTCCTGAACTCTCGTCTTTCTCCTAGGTTCCATCTCGCCTGGGGTACACGTGGCGAAATCTTCGCGCGCCTCGTCAGCCACGGCCACGTCATCGATCGAAGGTGCTGCGGCCACGTCATCCGGATCCCCGAATGCGCGGAGAACGGCCTCGCCGCCCTTAGCGAGTCGCTTGCGCTTCTTTGCGGATTTTGCGGCGGAAGTCCATGCGATATGCATGGCAGCGTCAGGCAGAAAGGGGGGGAACCACGGCTTACGGCGCGCAGTCGAGGGAGAACTGTTACGGAAGAAGAAATTAAAACACTGATTGAGTGACGCTACCGCGCACCACTATTCTAGAAAGTTAAAAGGCGGCTTTGCTAGAAACGACGAACTAGAGACTTAAATAAGAGGGTAGTCGAGTTGATAGGCGAAAGCTAATACGAAGCTCGCTGCCTAATTTCGCCAGACTGGTTTGGAAATAATCGCCTATTTTCCTTCATTCCTTACCTCCACCTTCAGTTTCTGAATTGGAGAAATGGCGCATACTGTAATCGCTCTGTTACTCGTTTGTGGCGAGAAATTTACTACAAAAAGAACCAAAAGCTTGGGCCATTTTCAGGTGCAATCCACTCTTGCTAGGAAATCTTCTCATGTGCGATCCAAGTTACTGTGCAGTTACGAACACTAGATTCATTTTAAGGAATTTCTGTCGATTATGATTTATCATCCGATATCCGATTCGAAATAACACAAACAGTCCAAATCAAAGGCGATTTCGGATCACGCCAAGCAAAATCCGATTGGGCGTCATATTTTCCCAATTTGGACGACAATTTCTGCTTCGCACCAGAAGTTTAATAAAACAATTCTTATGCGGGATCAGCTGTACTGTTGACGCAGGTGACGGAAGCTGCGCAGGGCAAATCAGCATTCCGTTCTTGGGCGTGTACCCCAAAACACGAGAAGACTGCCCCCGCGCAATTCCCGCCCAACTGGTTTCGCCTGGTAACTCAGTAACCGCCAAAACGAGCAACTGTCTGTGAAAGCTCGTCCCTGAGCCACAAGCGTCTTAATTCAATCACATCCCACACGCCACCGCGATGCAGTCACTGCCATCACCGTCGTCGCGAATCGGTCTCTCAATCTCCCGTCGATTTCTCTATTCCAACAGCCGATCGCCCTTCAGACTACCAAGAACCGCTCCCACCGGAGTCGCAAGCCTGACAAGCGTAGCAAGCGCAACACCCGTAGTAAGCGGCGCAGCAAGCGGCACAGCAAGCGGCGCAGCAGGCGATAGGGGTACCAGATCAATCTCGTCCGCGTGCTCGTCCGCTCGATCTCCGCTTGTGTTCCCCCGACTGCGCTCCGCGGCTTCCGCCGCGCTTTCCTCCGCGGCTTCTTCCGGTCGCCGCGGGATGGCGTCGGAGCAAGCGCCTCGGCGCAGCGTGCGCGTGATGGCGGAAGCGGATCGCGAAGCGGAACGACAGGCGGAGCGGAAGGAGGAGGCCCCCGGCGCAGCGGGGCGAGTGGAGGAGGAGAGGGGAGGCGGGGAGAGCGCTGGAAAGGCGCACAAGTACACGAACCGACTGGCCAAGGAGCAGAGCCCGTACCTGCTGCAACATGCGCATAACCCGGTAACCTGCCCGCAACCCAATACCCATCCCTCTTGCCCTCCGCAAAAGTACACGAATTGACTGGCCAAGGAGCAGAGCCCCTACCTGCTGCAACATGCGCATAACCCGGTACATATTCATCCCTCTTCCGCACAGTTGTAAATACCTTGAAGCCTTTGTGCTATTCCTTCCTTTCTCCTCTGTCCCCTCTCCCATACCGCACGGGGGGAGGAGGCGCTTTTTCCTCTCCCATCTTCTCTCCCTGCCCTCTCCCTGCCCTCTCCCTGTCGTCTCCCATCAGGTGGACTGGTACCCGTGGGGCGAGGAGGCGTTTGCGCGGGCGCGTGAGGAGGGCAAGCTGATATTCCTGTCAGTTGGGTACTCCACGTGGGGAGCTGCTTTGGTCCCAATTGCCCCCATCTTCCCCCCCCCCCCTTCCCCATCCCCTTACCTCTTTCCCCCCCCCTCTCCTGCGCCCGCGCAGGTGGACTGGTACCCGTGGGGAGAGGAGGCGTTTGCGCGGGCGCGGGAGGAGGGGAAGCTGATCTTTTTGTCAGTGGGGTACTCCACGTGTCACTGGTGCCACGTCATGGAGGTGGAGGCCTTTGAGCGTGCTGATGTGGCGGACGTCATGAACGAGGGCTTCGTGAACATCAAAGTCGACAGGGAGGAGCGCCCTGACGTGGACAAGGTGGGGAAGGAGTCGGTGCTGACGTGGACATGTGAGGAGCATGCTGACGTGTGCATGTTCAATCACATATCGAGTGCTCTGTCCTCTACTTGGCACCGTTCACATGCCCTTTCCTCTGAAGTCCTTCCTCCGGACCTCCACCTCAGGAGCGTCCTGTCTTTCACTCCCCTCTCCTCCTTATCTCCTTTCCCATCCCCCCCACCAGGTCTACATGACATACGTGCAGGCGACACAGGGCGGGGGAGGGTGGCCCATGTCCGTGTTCCTCCCCAGTTCTAGTGGCTGCACTGTTCCCATGTCCCCCTCCTCTCTTTCCCCCACACCCCTCCCCCCCTTCTTCCCCCCTCTTTTTCAGGTCTACATGACGTACGTGCAGGCCACGCAGGGCGGGGGAGGGTGGCCCATGTCCGTGTTCCTCACGCCCTCGCTGCACCCTGTCTTCGGCGGCACCTACTTCCCTCCGGACGACAAATACGGCCGCATTGGTTTCAAGTCCCTGCTCGGGTGAGTTAGGAGGGAGGGAGAAGGGGGGGGGGGGGGCTGCTTGGTTGAGAGCGATGGGGAGCGGGTGCTTGGGTGGGGGGCGGGTGCCACCTACTTCCCTCCGGACGACAAATACATCCGCTTCCCTTCTCGGGTAAGCGGGGGAGTGGGGGAGGGTGATGTTCGGTTGAGAGCGGTGATGGTGCTTGCTGGGGAGGGCGGGTGGGGCCTACTCCCCTCCGGACGACAAATAAGGCTGCATTTGCTTCAAATACGACAGCAGAAATCAGTTGCTGAAGTTGGTTGTGAAGTCGCTGTGGGCAGTGGAGCAAAACGGAGATGAAAAAGGGTGGGCGATCGTTGTCGAGAGTGGGATTTGAACCCACGCCCTTTCGGACTGGAACCTTAATCCAGCGCCTTAGACCAACTCGGCCATCTCGACACATTTCCGGATTATACGTGGGGTTACGTGTTAGGGAAGCGTGCCACCTACTACTTTCCAAATGCCCGGAATGGAAAGGGGGGGAAGGGGGGGATGCTTGGCGGTGGGAAGGGGAAGATGCTCGGGTGAACGGGAAGGCGGTGTGCAGAATGCTGGGTTGAAGGCGGGGTGGGGGCGGTGGGGTGATGGTTGCTTTGCGTGAGGTGGTGCCTGGTGTGTAGTCAATTTCAGCGAAATTTCTGAGGCGCCTTAAAAATCTCCTCAATGCACGAGGTGGTGCGAGGTGGTGCGAGGTGGTGCGAGATGGTGTAGTCAGTTTCAGCGAAATTTCTGCCTCACTCAGTCATTCCCGCTTCATGTTTCTCCCAACCCCTTCATGTGTTTCTTTTTGCCTCCCGTCGTTCTTCCACTCATCCGTCTCTCTGCTTCTCTCCTCGCCTTATGCTCCTCCTCCTCTCCCACTCCCAGGCGAGTTCGCTCTGTGTGGGAGCAGCGGCGCAGTGAGGTGCAGAGCGGTGCAGAGGACGCAATGGCGCAGCTACAGGAGGCCATGCAAGGGGGAGGGGCGGGGGAGGGGAAGGGGGCGGCGGAGCAGCAGCAGGGGGGAAAACAGCAGGATCAAGAGGAGGGGCGGATTTCGAAGCTAGCAGAGAAGGCGGTACAGCTGTGCTCAGAGCAGCTAGCCTCACGATACGATGAGGACTTGGGGGGGTTTGGATCCGCGCCCAAGTTCCTCCGCCCCTCTGAACTCAACCTGCTGCTGCGGGCTCACCAGCGGGGGGAGGGGGGGAAGGGGGGGAAGGGGGAAGCGGCGGCGGGAAGGAGGGTGGTGAGGGGGAAGGGGCCGGGGCCGTTACAAATGGTGGAGCATACTTTGGAGTGTATGGCAAGAGGGGGCGTGCATGACCACGTGGGAGGAGGCTTTCACCGATACTCGGTGGATGAGTACTGGCATGGTGAGGCGTGGTGATGCACGGTGAGGTGCGGTTGGGCAGGGTGGCCAGCTCGTCTCGTGCATTCATCTGCTTTACCACCCTTTCCTGTTATTTCCCCTTGTTTCTTTACTCTTCTCTTTCTTCCCCTTCCTCCACCTCCTCCCCCCATACCCCCATCTCGAGAAGATACTATACGATCAAGGCCAGCTCGCCAACTCCGTTCTCTCTCCCCTCCCCCATCTCCCCATTCTTCCTCTCCCACGCCCAGTCCCTCACTTTGAGAAGATGCTATACGACCAAGGCCAGCTCGCCAACGCCTATCTCGACGCGTTTCTCGTCACCGGCCGCCCGGATTTCGCGCGCATGGGGCGGGATATTCTGGACTATGTGCGGCGGGACATGACGCACAGGGAGGGCGGCATCTACAGTGCGGAGGACGCTGACAGCCTGGCAGCGGTTGGGGACGAGAGGAAGAAGGAAGGGGCGTTCTATGTGTGGAGTGAGAAAGAGGTGGGTGTGTGTGTTGTGTATGTTGGTGTGTGGGCATTAGGGTGGACATGAGGCGCCTCAGAAATAGTCACAAGGAGGGTGGCATCTACAGCGCAGAGGACGCTGACAGCCTGGCAGCGGTTGGGGACGAGCGGAAGAAGGAAGGGGCGTTCTACGTGTGGAGCGAGGATGAGGTGAGTGTGTATACAAGTGTGTGCTGGTGCGTGGGCACAAGTGTGGATATGACGCACGGGGAGGGCGGCATCTACAGTGCGGAGGACGCTGACAGCCTGGAAACTGTTGGGGACGAGCGGAAGAAGGAAGGGGCGTTCTATGTGTGGAGTGAGAAAGAGGTGAGTGTTCGCCGATGCACCCATCAAGAGAAAGGGTGTGTGCAAAGTGGGATGGAAAGGAAAGGTGACACTTTGCAACGAATCCGTTTCTTACCATTTCCCACTTGCAAGGAATCACCTTCCCTTTCAACAGTGGGTGTGGCAAGGGCCTGGGGAAGAAGATGGAGTTGCACAGACGAGTGGAGGGGGTTTTTGAGGCGCCTCGAAAAATCCCTCACTACATGGGGAAGAAGATGTTGTTGCTAACGAGTGGGAGGGTAGAAACGACTGCGTGATGAGAACCAGATAGCTCCTTTGTCCATAGATTCAAGGGAACTGGCTGATCCCCATCACGCAGTCGTTTCTGCCTCCCGTTTCTCAAGGATGGCATTTTAGTAACTCTTTCTTGAAAAATATCTCCCTCCTTCCATTGTTTCTTCTGTCCTTCCTTTGCAGATTGCATCCATCCTCAGTCCTGCCACCCCTCGCTGCCGTCTCTTCACCGCACTCTACACAGTTCGCAAGGATGGCAACTGCGATCTCTCCCCGCGCTCCGACCCGCACAACGAGTTCGCAGGGCTCAACTGCTTGATCCAGCGCTGCTCAGTTTCAGACGCAGCTAAGAAGGCTGGAGTGCCAGAGGAAGAAGCCGAGAAGGTGAGAGGCTTGCTTGTTCTTGAATGGCCCAACTGCGATCTCTCTCCGCACTCCCACCCGCACAACGAGTTTGCAGGCCTCAACTGCTTCATCCAGCGCTGCTCGCTGGCAGATGCAGCTGCAAAGGCTGGAGTGCCAGAGGACGAAGCAGAGAAGGTGAGAGGTGCTGGTATGATCCGCGAAGGGAGGTGAGAGGTGGTGCAATGGGCAGCTCATCTTCTGCAGGGTTCAGCTGCTTGATCCAGCGCCGTGTTTGAAGTGGTGATTTGAGACGTCTCAAAACACTACTTCAAACAATGGGCAGCTCATCTTTTGCAGGGTTCAACTGCTTGATCCAGCGAGGTGACGACTCAAAAGTCACCTCGGTTCAACTGCTTGATCCAGCGCCGCTCGATGCGGCTAAAAAACTGGAGTGCCAGAGGAAGAGGTGGAGAAGTGAGTAGTGCTGGTGTGAGCAGGTGAGAGCCGGTGAGAGCAGGTGAGATCACCCCCCTCCTCTTTACCCCCCTCCTCCTCGAGTGGTCCTTATCATTGATTACAGTGAACAGTTCTTCCTCGATCCCCTCTCCTCCTCTCTCTCCTCCTCCTCTTCGTTCCCTCCCTTTCCCGCCCACTCATCAGATGCTGGGCGAGTGCCGCAACTTGCTGCATGAAGCCAGGAGCAAGCGCCCGCGACCCCACCTGGATGACAAGGTGTGTACTGGGAGCAAATTGGCTCACCATGGCTATCTATCTCCTGCTCTGGTGGAGCGACCCGCCATGCTTCCTCTGAGACATGGTGTGCTTTGGGACGGTGTGTGTATGGGGACGACCTTTGCTGTATCAACCTTTGCTGTATCAACCTTTGCTCCATGTGGGTTTCCACCAAGCTTCTTTACTGCCCCCGTGCCGTTCTTCTCCTTGCCATTCTTTCTCTTCCCCCTCCCCAGGTCATAGTGGCATGGAATGGCCTGATGATTTCTGCATTTGCCCGAGCATCTAGGATCCTCCTATCACAGCCCGCCACGTCATCCCACTACTTCCCCGTCGACGGATCTCCACCGTCCATCTACCTCGCCTGTGCCGAACGGGCGGCGACTTTCGTCCAGTCCAAGCTGTACGACCGGGATTCCGGGAGGCTCAGGAGAAGTTTCCGAGAAAGCGCGTCGGAGGTGTGGGGGTTTGCGGACGACTACGCCTTCCTGGTAGCTTCCTTGCTCGACCTGTTTGAAGCTTCGGGCGATTCTGATTGGCTGGCGTGGGCCATGGAGCTACAGGAAACACAGGTGGGGCTGCTGGGGGGGGGACACAGGTGGGTGATGAGGGGGAGACTTGGGCATGTGTACATGGGCTAGCTTTTCTTTGTACATGGGTATCGAGGGGTATTGAGAGATGTTTCCCCTGCTTCGTCACTCTTCCTCTACCTCCTTTCTACCCTCTTCTCGCTCTACTACTCTCCCCTCTTCCCTCCCTCCTCATCTCCCCCTTCCCCCTCATCTCCCTTATCTCCCCCTCTCACCACGGCAGGATCGCCTGTTCTGGGACGAGCAGCAGGGAGGCTATTTCAACACAGCGGAGGGAGACCTCTCGCTGCTGCTGCACGTGAAAGAGGATTACGTATGATGGGGCGGAGACCCGCGTCTCTATGTTCGTTTCTCTCCTCTTCTCCCCCTCTCACCACACAGGATCGGCTCTTTTGGGACGAGCAGCAGGGAGGCTATTTCAACACTGCGGAGGGAGACCCCTCGCTGCTGCTGCGCATGAAGGAGGACTACGACGGGGCGGAGCCTGCTGCCAGCTCAGCAGCAGCTGCCAGCCTGGCACGCCTCGGAGCCATGATTGGTGGGGAGAGGGGCGCAGAGTACGGGAGGAAAGCAGCGAGATGTGTGGTGAGTGAGACGATGGGAACAAAAAAGCGTTTCTGGTTTCTGTGACACATACTTATGTGACACATACCTCCGTGTTTCTGTGGCATATATTCCTCTGTGGAGGCATCCATACTTGAGGCGACGTGTTTGAAGTAGTGTCTCAAAACACTAGTAGTGTTCTGAGGCGTCTCAAAACACTACTTCAAACGCGTTTCTGGTTTCTGTGACACATATTTCTCTGTGGAGGCATCCATACTTGAGGCGCCTCAAAAGGCTTCTGAGGCGCCTCACAAGGTATCCATACTTGGCTCCATAATATGACACCCTCACCTGCACACTTCACGGGTTGGCTGCATCACGATTACCACTACTCCCCTCCCCTCCCCTCCCCTCCCCTCCCCTCCTCGACCCTGTCACCCACTTCCCCCAATCTCACATGGCCTTTGACGACCGTCTCTCCCACATGCCGCTCGCGCTGCTGTTCCTTCTTGACGCACCTCCCCCCTCCCCTACCCTCCGCTCTCTCTCCCGCTCCTTTCCCCCCCGAACCAACCCCCCTCAGATGGCCTTTGACGACCGTCTCGCGCGCATGCCGCTTCCATTGCCGCAGATGTGCTGCTCTTTCTTGACTCAGCTTCTCCCTCCACTCCCCTCCACTCCCCTCCACTCCCCTCCCCTCCCCTCCCCTCCCCTCCCCTCTCCCTCCCTCCCTCCCTCCATCCGTCGAACCAAACCTCCAATCCAGATGGCCTTTGAGGACCGTCTCTCCCGCATGCCGCTCGCGCTGCCTCAGATGTGCTGCTCGCTGGATCTCCTCGCTGCCACGTCATCGCCAGCTCAGCGCCAGGTCATCATTGCTGGCCCGCGGGGCGCGCCTGAAACCGAGGAGCTGCTGAATGGAGTGTTTTCCGTGTTTCAACCGAATTGCACTGTAAGGGGGATATCTGTACGGGTTGTGGAGGGGGGTTATGGGGAGTCTGGGGATTAATTAAGAGGGTGTTTTTATTCAATGCTCCACTTATTGATCAATTGCATGCCCTTTTGATCGCTGTGCAGCCTTCCCCTGATTTCCCCCTCCCTCCTCCCCCCCACTGCTTCCTCCGTTCTTCATTTTTGCTTGCTTGTCCAGATCATACCAATCGATCCTGCCAACCAATCAGACGCTGCCTTCTGGCAGCAGCACAACCCACGTGCCCTTGCAATGACTGCCAAGGGCATGGGTGACATGTCGGCAGCCACTGCCACGTCAGCTGCAGAGGCGGCAGTGCCAGCTGGCGCCATGTCAGGTGCCACGTCAGCAGCTTACGTGTGTCAGAACATGACTTGTCTGGCGCCAGTGTCTGAGCCAGAAAAGCTGATAGCCCTTCTGAAAGGAGGAAATGCAGTGGGTTCCACAAGTGTCTCATCCTTTACCTTGCCAGCTGGTTTTGGTGGAAAAGGTACTGCTTAGTGCTGGCTGCCATGTACGTTGGTGCGGTAGTTTTCAGGATGGGTTGGGTGATTGAAGGCTTGCGTATGGATGTATATCGAAAAGTGGTGTGGAATTGGTAATGATGCAGGAAGTTGGGTGTTAGCACATGAGTGCAATTATAACATGTTATTATGGAAAGGCAAGGCAGAGCAGAGTAAACGAATTCTGACAGGATCTGTGCACCTCAAAGGCTGTATCATCCCAGGGAAAAGTCCTGCTCACTTGAGGTACTGGCAGTAATTGAAGTTTTGTGTGGGTCATAATGTCAAACCTTCTGTAACAAATATAGCAGTGAAGATTTCCAACATTTGCAGAGGTAAGGTGTCCTTGTAACACAAATTCCGCTGTCGTCGTGCTTCGTTCGCAGCCCCACACAGCTATCGCGAGTGCAATCGAGTTACACCTGTTTGACAATCACCTGTTGCTGCTGTCCTTCGTACCTCACTCCACCAGTGTCTGCTGGGATTGATATCCACCGCTGTTGAGCAGCTGGCAGTTGGCAGAAATATTTGTCGTGACTCCAAATTGAACGGGCATGAACCGCAAAACATTGTCGTCAGCAAGAAGTACGGAAGCAGCACCACCCGTCAAGCCTACACACTGAACAGTGGTACCAATTGCATTGCACCTTGTGTACACTGCCCGTACTTGACAAGGGCAGGCAACTGAAAGCAGGTTGGCTAGAAGGCGTGTAGCCTTTCACGGGGTGACTGGTATGGCGGTGTGGCTGTGGGGCTCAGGCAGTCCAATCTTTGGACTCTCCACCAGAAAAACATGACGATTTGTCAACGGCTCACTTTCTCCGGAGTTATCTGTACCTAATTTGGGTAAACGAAAGGTTGTTGAAAGTGTACATTCACGAAGCAGCATGTTCTGTAATTCGTCGATTTATGGCGTGGTGGGGAGTGCCTTGGCACATCCGCTTCCACCGTTCAAAAACATTTTGTACCACGAATCACCACGGCTTCGGTGCACGCACTGGCACTCCCCGCCACGCACCGGTACGCCTCCAAAGCCGTGGTGCAAATCGGTGCGAACTGTTTATGAGCGGCGGAAGCTTCAAAACCCGGTACACTGGGGCGTGCCGAGGCGTTCCGCACCACGTCCTTACCGTGGCGAGGCGCATGCTCCAAGGGCTGGCTGGGATGGGAGCAGTTGAGAATTGCAACCAACTGCGCGCTTCGATTTCGGCATCCATCCTTGTCAATGGACGGCATGGATTGCACTGACTGCCTCTTCACTTCCCTCCCCGAACCCAATCCGTTTGCCCATCGAGTTGGGTTTTCCCCGCGGTTCGAGAGAAAAAAGAATTGGCCCTCATTGCTCGACGACGACTATTGCCCCTCATTCCGGATCGCTGACTTTCCACACTCCTCACCTCACCAACCCAGCCTGTTGCAATCCAACATCTCGCAGCACCCGCCTCGATCAATAAATCTGCATTACGAGCTCTAGACAGGCACATAAGCTCCCTTATTTCTCGAAAAAGTACCAGAAATCCTCTCCAACGCTCGTCCTTCCTCCTGATTCATCTCCCAACCACATCAACTAGCGCTCTAAAGCACCATGGACGCCAGACGAAGCGTTCTCGCGACGGCTCTTCTGCTCCTCACTCTCTCCGCGTTCGTCGTCACGGTCACGGAGGCGAAGAGAAACCGCGGGAGCACGAAGCTTTCTTCTCTCGACCAGGCCACGCAAGATTCAAGGGTCGCGCAGAACAGCGTAGCGTACGCGCAGAAACAAGCCGACCAATTGGCGGCGAAAGCGACTGCGGCGGTGGCGGCAGCGACACAAACGGAGACGGACGAAGCAACAGCGAAGGGCGATTATGAAACCAAGCTCGACGCGTTGGCGACAGCGGCGGGCGCGCTCCCGCCGCTCGATTACGCTCAGACTAAGGCGGAAGATTGGGCGGCGCTTGCTACGAAGAAACACAACGCGGCTGTAGCGCGGCTCGCCCTCGCGACCAAGTACCAAACGTCTGCTACAGCCCTTTCCGCGCTGGTCGACGCCGCGACGACCGCCGCTACAACCGGCTTGACTGCCGCGACGACCGACCTCAGCGACGCGAGCACGGCCGCGACGACCGCCGCCACAGCCGCCGACGCGAACCCCACTTCCGCGCTTCGCGCCGCGGCCGCCGCGAAGTACGTGGAGGTCGCAATCGCGCAGTCCATCAAATCCGCATGGGAGGATCACGCCGCAATTCTCACCGCCCTGCAGACTTCCTGCCAGGCCGTTGTGACTGCCGCGGATGCTGAAGTTACCGCGGCAACTACGGACGAAGGATCGACCAAGACGGATAAAGACACGGCAGATTCGGACCTTACAGCGGCGAATACGGCGCTGGCGACGGCGCAGCAGGCGTTTGATTCCGCCAAAACGGATTACGACAACTCGAAGCGCCTGTACGAAACGGCTAAGTCGTACACGAGCGCGGCGCGCAGCAACGAGCTGGACCTGCTCTCGAAGAACCGCGCTGCGCAGATTAAGTTAATAGGGAACTCGATTATCAGCGCCAAGGCGTCGCGCCGGCTCGTTTCGACGATCACGAGCGAGACTAAGAACAACCGTGCGCCGTGGCAGCAGAAAGCGGCGAGCATGGCGGCGGCAAATCCGGACGCGCTGACGGAAATGAGTGAGATCGTGGCGTCGAGCAAGCTCCCTAGTAACGCGTTGTGAGCAGTTGGAAGTTGGAGCCGATCCGAGCAGTTGGTGAAATGTCCAGACTCTGAGGGTGCGTGGGGAGGGGAGGTTCCCGTGGGCTCAAAACGTTTTTTGAAGCGTGCATGTGGAGGTAGCTATTAGGAGACTCCGAGCTTCTGCAGCTAGCTCCATGAGCGCGCTGCATTGACCACTACTGGTAACTGTGGTAGCGGCTCCCCTGAAGCGTATTGATGCACTCCAGCACCTGACACTCTTTGACACTCACACTTGACTGAGGTTCAGGTTCTGTCCAAGGGCGTCGTTCAAGCTCATTATGGAGCACTCTTTTCGCGTCTGCGACAGCCATGGAGAAGGAGGAAGGGGGAAGGGGAAGGGGGGGGGGGGGTGGTAGGTTTGGGAGGGGTAACCTTGGTTACGTTCAGCAGCAGTCCTGAGAGTAGTTGAATAATAGGCGTACTGTACCTTTTGTTGACCCTAACAGCTAGGCTCCTCCCCATTCCACGTTCAGGTTTAACCACTTGCTGTTATGGTGCATGTCTCTAATGTAGAAATTGACTTATCCTCAAGCTCTTTTGGATCTCTCCTATATATTCAATATTTCTCCTCCACTGTAGTCACCCAAACCACAGCCATCTCGCCTAAGTCCCTTTCCCCTTGCAAACACCACTCCAGCGTTCCCAGTCCTTGCTGTCCCTCCCGAGTTTCTATCTCACATTCCACACAGACCAAATAGACTTTCTTAAATTTGGTGTGGAAGTGTTCTCAACCCACCTTTGCCTCTATTTAGGCATCCAGGTGCTTCGTGACTTGCGTTTTAGCTTTCCATCTCCCTTCTAGCATGGTAATCATCTGTCAGGAGAACAACCCCTCTCGTAGACAGAGTAGCCACCCATTATCATCGCCAAACCCAGCTTTACTGAAACGTGTGTCATAATTTTTAGGATTATATTTTGTGCAGATATCTCTACCATATATGACAAAGCGACCTATTCAACCGATAAACCTCTAGGTTTTAGGCAGGGCCAACGACCAGGAAACGGTCCCCAAGGTCTTGACGAGGCCTCTGCAATATGTGGGGAGAAGAGGGAGGGGAGGGAGGTACAACCATTAAGAGTGAGCAGTAGCAAGTGAAAGAGGGGGCAATAGGACGGGGGGAGATGGGAGAGAGGGACAGCAGTAGGAGCTGTAGCAACAGCAACAGCAACAGCAGGTGGTTCATTGTGCCTCGTTTTGTTGAACAAGCCATACCCAGTTTCCCACTGTACTCTCCGCATTAAGCCTCAATGTATCTCTATGCTCACAGCGATTTATGCGTAACATCTCTGTGCTCACTGAATCAAGCCCCTATGTGACTCTGTTCTCACCGAGTTAAGAGCAAGGGTCTGGCGGTCACCAACGTAGCGCATGAACTCAACGACTTGCGCGTCAGGGATGCGCATGGGGGACGCTGCAGAGACAAGCACAGGGAAGCATGGGAGAGATGCACGTAAGGTAAGGGCGAGGGTCTGGCCGTTTCCAACGCACGCCTGGAATAGTGGAGAGGGGATGGTGGAGACTGCGATACAGGAGGTGAGAAGAGGGCACAAGGAGAGACGAGGAGGGGATAAAAGGAGGAGGGCAGACGTTAACAGATACACTTGAGAGCCCATGCCTGGAGCAACGCTGGTCCATGGCGGTCAGTGGGAGTCAAGCAACTTACAGAGGACAAACCAGTCAACGCCCTCAGAGCAAGGGGGAGTGGTGAGCGAGCCCTTGTAGTGGATGTAGTTGTGTGCACCGTCCTGTGCGCCATGATTCAAGCAGGGTGGCGATGGGTGATGATGGGTGGTGGTGGGTGATGATGACAACGATGGCACAGCATGAGGGAGGCAAAAGGTCAAGACGTGCGTTGACGAAAGTCAAGATGCAAATGGCAAAACGGCACGAAGCCCAGAGCCATAAAGCATGGCAGCACAGAAGAATGGCAGCCAGTTGGAGAATTTCATATTAAGGAGACTCGCCATTGGCGAAGCGTGAACTCAGAGAGAGGCGCTGGTAGTTGCAGCAGACAGGACTATATTATCAGGCTCGGTAAGAGTGGCATGGAAACGCACCGCTCTGTCAGGCTTGGGGAGGAGAGGCTCGGGGCTGATCTGGATCTTGAGGCATTGCTTCAAGGGCTTGCCGCCTCCCACCGCTGGCACCTCGAAGCACTCCACTGGACCCGCACTGATGGAAGGGGGAAAATGGCAAGGTAAGTGGAGGGTTCGTTTCTGGCACTTTAAGCCTCTAGGGACCTGGCATCCCTCGTTCCTGGCACCTCAAGCAATTCCCTGGAACCGCGCAGTGTAACTTAACACAGTGTCAAATGAGGCGTGGCGTTTCCCTATTCATCTCCTTTGCACTCCCCCTTCACGCAGTCACACTTTCTCCCCACTTCACTCTACCCCTGCTTACACTCACGGCCGCAGTGTCCCTGCACTTCAAACTGCACCACACACTTCACTCACGCACGCCTTCTAGCCGCAGGCAATGCGCCGCACTTACATCTGCTGACTTTTGAGTCGACTCGAAAGTACTTTTGAGTCGACTCAAAAGTCAACTTCAAACTGCACCACACACTTCACTCACGCCTTCACTCTCAGCCGCAGGCAATGCGCCGCACCCGCACTCACATCTGCTTGAGCTTCTCGTTGGGCGAGAAGGCGAGAGCCGCCTCGAGGCAGAGGTTCCGCGGGGCCTTGGGGTCCGCCTCCAACATGACCCTGCGCGGAGGTTGAGGGGGGGAGGGGGGGGGGGGTGCGCGGGAAAGGGGGGGGGATGAGGGGAAAATTGAGGAGGAAGGGGTAATGATGGTACCGAGGACTGCAGGAGAGGGAAGACGAGTAACATGGAGTAGAAGTGCGTTAAGGAGAAAGTTAACTCTCGAGGAAGAGTATGCGGAAGACTGACGGTGCTAGAGCTACGGAGAAAGGCACTTACCCTACGACTGCGAGCTTGCCCTCAGCGTCGCCTGGAAGAGACGGGCAGAGGGAAACAGCGAGAGGAAAAAAAGCAGAGGAAAAGAAGGGAGATGGTGAGTGAGAAGATGCATAGGACTGTTTTGGGAGTCGCAGCAATGGTGCTGCAGCATTACTTGTGAAACCATGGTTTGTTGTGTACTGGCGTGGCGTACGGTGGAGATGACATGACACGGAGGTCGTACGTACGGTGGACGAGATGAGCCTCCATGGCGGTACGGATGCCGTTGAAGGAGTGCTCGCTGGGAGCGTGGAAGTGGTACTGTAGCAGCTCCAGCTTGCGCCCGCCGATCTCGCACGTGTTGCTGCCGCCCGGGAAATTCACCTGCGACGCGACGGTGAAAGAACAAGCGTCAAGGTCACGCTTTAGAGCTGTCTCGAAAATGTTTCAGCTTTTGAAACGGAAACGCGCAGTGAGTGGAGGCCCTTAAGAATGTCGTGGTACCGTAGGGAGACGGAAGGATAAGCGAGAAAGAAAAAGGAATGGGAGCTGAGAGACAGAAGCCATCAATCCACCATTCACCACTGCAACCCTATCCATGCGCCAATGTTTTGCCATCACAGCCCCCAGCTTTCAAAAGCATGCTCTGCGCGACCATTATTATGTATTTTCCAATCTTAAAAAAAAAAAAGGCTTGACTCACCTGCATGGTGCCGTGACCAGTGTTGAGGAACGACGCATCGGCGCGCTTGTACCCGAAGGCGAGCTTGCCAATGCTGTTATCCGACACGATCTTAGGCGCCGTGAAGGAGATGTCAATCGGCGACTGCGCCGCGCCGGTCTTGCACACCGCACCCCACTCGCCGGGTCCTGACAAGTCTCCGTAGCTCCAGTCTGCAGCGAGCGCGGCACCCATGGATGGCGAGCCCGAGTCGCAGATTGGGCAGCCGACCACGGTGGCCATGCCGGCGGCCATTCCGCCGAGAATCAATCGCCTCGACACGGCGCGCTTCGTGTGGGTGTGGGGAGCCGCGTTGTTTCCATCTGAGCCGTCAGCAGCGCAACGAGTGGACCGAGAGTTACGGGAGGCGGAGGATGCGGAGACGGGGAACGCGAGAGTGCTGGCAGGTTGACCAAGGAACTGGCTGGCTTCCAGAACGTTCTCGGTCTTGAGAGCACTTGGGAGTTTAGCAGCGACTCCGGCAGCCATTGCAGCCATTTTCGACGAAAAGCTGGTCGAAAGAAAAAGAAGGAGAGGTGCGGTGCAAAAAGGCTGCAGAAGGAAACTAGCTGCTAATTGGGTGAACGGAGCTCATGTACGAATGATCTGGTCAGCTTCGGTAATCTCTTAGAGAAGCCCAAGTAGTAGTCAGTCAGTCAGCTAGTCGCCTATGTGTGATGCAACCTGCTTTCTCATTCAGGTGACACTCTAGCTTCAGCTTTCGATTCACCTACTATGGTTGTGTTCGGTTAATTACGTTTGAGAGCGGTGGATATCCAGACCGCTGCACACCGTATGTAAGCGCACTGAAGCGTACTGGAACGACCGTCGGGCAGTGGGGTAGACGACATTCCCTGAAGTTCACTTATACGGCCTGATGAACTCGGGGGCTGGCGATTGGACGGGAGCGATCGGTCGTGGTGCGGTATCCCATCCAACGGAAGATGGAGCCTCGAAGTTGGCGCTGTATTTCCTGCTGAAGACGGACTTTTGAACAAAAGCTTGGGCTCCTGAGACAATTTGTGGTGTACAAACTTCGAGAAGATCCCCCCCGAAGAAAATGATGCGAATAGCGAAGCGCTGGTTCCTCCAATAAAATGCACCTGCCTAAGTGGAGAATCCACGTGGCCTTTGCCCTCGCGGATGGGAGGCCAGCGACACAGTCGCCACTGACATGACGTGGCTGGAACTGCATTCCTCGCACATGTAGCAATTTCTTCTGAATCAAGGATAAATTCAGATGAAGAAACGTTCTCGTTTGTGGACTTCTCTGGGACGCCTGCTGTAACGAGACTAAACAATTGAGTATGGAAATACACGTATCCAGTTACATCATAGTCTATAGAGGGTATATCCGCGTGGCGATTCATGATTGTGTGGAAGATTCTCTGCCGAATCTGCAGGCGTTCCACCAGTAAACGCACGGCCGTGAGTGTTGAACGCCATCCATCCAGCACTTCTCTGACTTCATCAGCAAGCATTGACCAATGGAATGTCTCACGAGGGCAGGAGAGAGGACGACACGGGCTCAGCCGCTCAGCACATTGTGCGAGCCAAGGTACTGCGGAAACCAGTTGCCCCTCAAATCCAGCTGGATTTTTTTTTTGTGCTGAAATTATTCCGCGAATTTTAGCGACCTAGAAGTTGGTGACCAGTTTCCATCAGGCTTGCCTCGAGCTTGCCGACGGCGAAAATGGCTGCCGTTGCTTCACAATTCGCCTCCACTGCCGTTCTCGAGAGGGGCCAGTTGCGCGAGACAGAAAGGCGATCTTCTTCCGTAGCTGTTTGTATGTAACCTCCTACGACTCCTCGATTGCATTACAAATTGTAATTTCTTCCTAGTCCATTACAGTTTCCTTGATGGCACACAAAGCGCTCTAGGCACGGCCACTATACCTAATACGAGAAAGCTGCTCAATCATGTTTATTTTGTTCTTTGTTTCCCTCCCGTATCGCTCCAGCCTTCAATGGCCTCAGACGTGAGTCCACGACAGCACTACCATCCCGATCAAACCGCATCGTCCGCCGCCATTCACGGTACTCAGTCGCACGTGCAGCAGAGAGCAGTGATTCCTCTGGTCCGTCAGCTGCTCCACTCGCTACAGTCACACAGTCCTCCTCTACTCCGGACCTGTCTTCCGCCACTGCCGCTTTGGACCGCCTCAGAACAAATCTCGTTTCATTCACACAGTCCACCTCCACTCCTGAAGTGTCTGCCGCCATTGACGCTGCTAAGCCTTACGCTCCATCCGTCCTAGGCGCCGGAGTGCTCGGTGTTGCGTCTTATTTAATAGTCAGAAAGCTCACGTCCAGTTCTGCTAAAGCGGAAGCGGGAGCAGAAGCTGAAGCAGCTCCTCCTGGCGGCATCGTGCCACGTGCCAAAAAGGTACCTGCATTGAAATAGGCCTTACCTTCCATTTACCAATTTTTCTACCTAACCTCTTCCAGTACCTTTCCACGCTGTGGCTAAATACGCCAAAGTAATAAACTCGCATCCAATTCTCAGAATCCACCATCCCATTACCGTTCCGTTGCAAATCTGCCTCCTTTCCCCCTTTCAATTGCGTCTTTGCGTTTCGTCATAATTCCCCGTTCGCCCTCCAGGCTGCAACAACTGCGCTAGCGGCGATGGCGGCGACTTTCCCGCGGGCCATGCAGGAGGAGGCTTTCATGAAGTCCGTGAGCCAAGAGCTCAGCAAGCTGGGCTTCAAAAGGTGAGCTCGAGCTTTGAGAGGTGCACTACGACGTACGGCACGTGGTAGACCGAGGGGTGATTGGGGGCCGGTGGGCTTAGTACTAGATCGGGTTTGCACAAACATCAGCAGGGAGTGGATCGAGGGGTTGGTAAAAGGGAGGAACGGCTCCGGAGGGAGGGCAATTGAGAGCTTGAAAAGAAAGGAAAAAAATGAAAGGTAGTGGGGAAATTAGAGGGGAAAATTCCACCAGAAGAAGGGACTTCTACAAGTTGGACTGTGAAGAGCTCTACCATAGCTCAACACTATAAAAAAGGAGGGCGTCGCTGTCATGTTTTAGCCGCTGACAGACCATACCAGTAAAATACTTGTCTGACAGTGGATGTTGCAATTAGGGCTTACTTTCCACAGCAATCGTTCTTCCTTCCCACCCCGTTCCGCCCCCGCCCTTTCCCTAACCCCCCTTAATTACGTCCCTTACCCCGTCATTCTCTTCTACTCACTCCACCAGAGACAACTGCATTGCGCTGGTGTCGACGTGCCGGGACGAGGTGTGCCGGCCGGTGGTGAGCCTGGTGGACCAGGAATTCGGGCTGTCGTTCAACATCGCGGGGCTGGGCGGCGTGCTCAACTGCGGCTCCACGGGATTTAAGGCCGCAATGTCGCACTCGCCAGAGTTTCGCTGCGAGACTGATGGGACTGTCAAGGAGAGATGTGAGCACGATGGGGCATTTGAGATGGGGATTTCGTGCATGGAGGGGTCAATACTTTTGGGGCGTCCAGGCTTGGTGAAAGGCCATGCATGATGGGTGGTCTTGAGTGGTGAACGGCTGTGCACGATGGGCGGGTTGAAGTTGAGGGTCAGTCGAAGGCGTTTGCACCATTTTCTGCTGCATATGCTTGTCCTTGCAGGCCCCAACAGTTTGTTTCCCTGTGCTTCTTTACCTCGCATTTCTCCCACCAATCCGTCTCCCTCTTCTCAGACATCTTCTTCGCCTTCCCTCACGTGTCAATCGGAGAGTCGGGAGAGGTGGGATCACTTCTGCGGCGCGGCCGAGGCAAGCCCTCCAGCGCATGTGGAGCGCTGATCGCCATTCAGAACGACATCAACGCGGGCAAGGCGACAGTGTCGGATCCGTATGACGAGGAATATGTGCTGCTGAAGAAGAAAGTCAAGTCACTGGTAGGTAGCCGGAAGATAAACTGAGAACGCGAGGTTGCACGATGTTTGCATTCCACGTCTTTAGCCCTCTCTCATACTTGTTCCACTTCCATCATTAAAATTTGCGCGATGATCGATTCATTTTTTTTTCAATGCCATGCTTGTTCCCAGATTCTACGGCGGGGAGGTTCGGAGTATTCATTGGTGGAGGTGACTCGTGCTGCGCTGGCAGCCATCAATGATGACTTGGAAAAGCTTATCTCCCTCACTGTCGACCCAGCCACTGCTGACTATGCTGTAATCACAGGCGTGCAGATTCACTCAGGCAACCAGGTGAGTGCCGAAGTATCGTGGTCTTGACTTGACTCTTGAACAAAGTATATTGCTTGTGTTTCTCAACCGTTCTTTTTCCTTGTTTGTTGCAGATTCCTGGAGAGCCATTCCGCATCGAGCGCACTTGTGATTATATTGCTCCTGATATGATGTATGCAGTTGTAAGAGGGCAACGGTATGACCTGCAGCTGGAAGCCAATAAGGAGGACTTGGCAGTCCACTCTAGTTAGAGTTGTACGACCCCAGTACAGCTGAATACAAATACCTACATGTGGTACACTAGTAACAACATATCGAGTCTTGACATCTCCACTTCATGTTTCTATGTTTGAGCCATTCTGCATCGAGCGCGCTTGTGATTATATTGCTCCTGATATGATGTATGCAGTTGTAAGAGGGCAACGGTATGACCTGCAGCTGGAAGTAAAAAAGGAGGACTTGGCAGTCAACTATAGTTAGAGCTGTAGGACCCCATTACAGCTGAATACAAATACCTAACTACATACGTACACTAGTGAACAACATATCGAGTTTTGACATCTCCACTTAATATGATGCCTTATGGTTTGGTTTCTATGATGCCTTCTATCCAACTTCTTGCCAGAATATAATTGCAATGCGTTCGGAAAAATAATATCGGGGACGTTAGGGGTGTGCTGCATCTTCTGTATGCGACTTCCACACCTCACATTTCAACAACTGCTGACGAGACAATTTCCAATCTGCTCGACATCGGCCCGTGACTCACCGTCCACGTGGCGCTGACTGTCATCTAAAGTCGATATCCCCTCACCTCCCACCCTCCATTCCCCTCTACACCAGTCACAGACTTTCCTGCCGTCAAGGCGGATCAGTCCACAAGATTCCGGGATCAAAGCGCGCCAGGGAGGAGGTCCGCCATCGCCCCACTGTCATTCTCCCCCTAAACGTCCGCGCCCGCCAGCAGCCTTCCCCTTTTCTCCCCTTCTTTCCCCATTTTCCTTCCCCGCCACACGCTCGAGCTGGGTTGGATATCGTTGTGCTTCCCAAACAAGAGCATTTCTAATTAGTTTCTGCTTGCTGGTCCGCATGATACTAGCGATATCAGAGGTTTTGTAAAACACGACCAACCTAGGTTACTCCGTCTTCTGTGATCTTCAAAAAGCAGTTAGGCAAATCCGGAACCGCCAATTCGCGCTCGCTCTTTTTGCTCGAAAGTATCCAGAGCTGTGATTGACCTGCGGAAGTACTGGCTGGGGTCAGGGTTTTTTTAGTGAAGAGTTGATAAGTCGTGCATCTGTATGGTTGACAATGCTGAGGACGGTAGCCCCACAATTTTCTAACTCTGCAGTAAAAGCATCTGGATCAGCTCTTCGTGAAAGAAATGAATCATGCCAACGAAGAGCTCACAATCTCACTCATTTGTCGAGATGTCAACTCCCGGTTCAAATACCCCGAAGGGCCGCTTTTAGACCTCAGATCCCCTCGTCATTGTCATCTCAACCACATCTATTCCAACCTTTCCACAGTTCAACCACGCGCAGCTCTTTAAGGGCTCGCAGTTCGTTGTCTGGTGCTGCGCCGTTTGACGATGCTCTCGAATCAGAAGATGAGTCCATTGAGCAGTATGAAGCACGACTGGAAGCTAGAAGACAGCAACTGCAAGCCAGTGGAGCACCCGTTAAGAGCAATCCCGTTTCAAAGACAGGTAGCATGGCGGAAGCGTTTGAGATAACGCCTCAGACGGCCTTGGGGATCACGGGTATAATCAGCATTATCGCTGTAGTAGCTCCTTTCTTCATGAGCGCGTGGAACCCTGCAGCTTCGCCTCACATGAAAGGCCTCACCTACCTGACGCTGCTCCTGGGATTCTACATGGCGTGGAACATTGGTGCGAATGACGTGGCAAACGCAATGGGGACGTCAGTGGGTTCTGGTGCCCTGACGCTCCGCCAGGCCGTGCTAGCAGCGGCGATCTTGGAGTTCGGTGGGGCTTTCCTGGTGGGATCGCATGTGAGCCACACGATGCAGAATGGAATCATCAAGGCTAATGTGTTTGCCGGGAAGAACGCGATGCTGTTCACAGGAATGATCTCCTCTCTGGCAGCCGCGGGAACGTGGCTTCAGGTACGAATTACTCGATATCTTCATCAAGGTACGTGTTATTTCAAATGCTATTGACATTGGGGTGTTAACGAGACATTAACAAACTAGGTGCAGGTGATGGCTAGGGTGAACAATGCTGATGTGACGTCCCAGAGGAGGAAGAATGTCACAAGAATGTTATCAACGTCACGTATCCAAAGAAATTTTAAGCTGACCGGCCCTTTTATTTCTCCACGACGCACAGGTTGCTTCGTACTTTGGCTGGCCGGTGTCGACGACGCACTGCATCATCGGAGCCATGGTGGGGTTCGGCATCATCTTTGGCGGCTGGAATGCCGTGTATTGGTCTTCGCTGGCTCGCGTGGTGTCGTCGTGGGTCGTCTCGCCTCTTCTCGGTGCCAGCATCGCCTTCATCGTCTACAAGTGCATCCGGAAGGTATGCACGTCTTGAACCGATCTGGTTGAAACGCTGTGGTTGTTAACAAAGGGCAGCATTGCTTTCATCGTGTACACGTTTGTATCCCAACGGTATGCACCTCTTGAAGCGATCTGGTTGAAACACTCTGATAGCTCAAACAATGGTTTACAAGTGTATCAGAAAGGTATCCACGTCTTAAAGCGATCTGGCTTTTTAAGCGATGCCAGCATTGTGAAGCTTGTAACAATGCAAGTCGTTAGGAAGCCGTTCACACTGGAAGCTGGATTGCAAAGGTGTTTCGCTTACCGAAACAATGAGAAGAGGGGTAGGAAAGGGTTGTTGCTCGCGTAGCAGTGGCTGATGGTGCGAGTAATTGGCGCAAGGTGGAAAGAGTAATGTCTAAAGGGGGTTGGACAGCGAGTGATCAATCGAAGTGGCAGTGACAAGCAGGCGTTGGTGAAGTGCAGGCTTCGTCCCCTTGACCTCTGACTCTGCCACTTGCCTTTCCCATACTCCATCCCCTCCCTGCTCCTCACCATTCCGTACTCCCTTTTCCCCACTCCCGTGTCTTCCCTGTCCGTTCCCGCTCTGCCACCTTCTCACCCTTTCCGCGTCACCTCCACTGCACCGGCACACGCAGTTCGTCTACAGCTCGTCCAATCCGGGGCAGGCAGCGTCCACAGCCGCGCCGATCCTCGTCTTCGCGGGCGTCACCGCCTTCTCCTTCTTCTCGCTCTTCACCTCCCCGGGAGTCCTGCTCCGCGCATGTGCGCTCTCCCTGGCGGCGGGCGCTGCCTCCGCGGTGGCCATGAGGGCGGTGATCAAGAGGCAGATGGGCGAGCTGCTGGGGGAGTTCTGTGAGATTCCTGCCAAGCAGGTGGAGGAGCCGAAGCCGGAGAAGGGCCGCGGGCCCATGGGCACGCAGCTGCGCATCGTGTATGGCGTGTTTGGATACCTGCAGGTGCGTGGGCGAGGGTGCGTTATGGTGGGGAGGATAAGATGGTGTGTGGTTAGCTTGGAGGAGAGGAGAGTGTGTGGTTGAGTTGAGTGAAGCGCGGTGGGCCCATGGGCACGCTGGGCATTGTGTATAGCGTATTTGGATGCTTGCTCGGGAGAGGGATGAGGCCTCAAAGCTGAGGCATGGGTCATTAACATGAATGGCTGTGCACGAGATTGATTGATTTGATGTGTCATGTATGAATTTAGCACAGTCGATTCCAGCCCAGTTGAAACAAATTTTCCAACTTCCCGTTGAAGTGCAGTTGTTCGTTATCACCTGATTCCTGCTCTGTGCTGTTCCATGCAGGTGCTCTCTGCGTGCTTCATGTCCTTTGCTCACGGGGCAAACGATGTTGCCAACGCCATCGGCCCCATCTCTGCTGCTCTAGCCATCCTCGCCTCCTCCTCCTCCTCCATCCCCTCGTCATCCCTCGCTGCCGCTCCAGTGTCTGCCGGTGTTGCCACACAGGTTCTTATTTGGGGCGGTTTTGGTATTGTGGCTGGTCTTATCATCTGGGGTTACCGTGTCATTGCAACGATCGGGAACAGGATCACTGAGCTCACTCCCACCAGAGGCTTTGCAGCAGAGTTCTCAGCGGCTACAGTGGTGGTGGTGGCATCTAGACTGGGTCTCCCGATCTCTGCCACACACACTCTTGTTGGAGCTGTCATGGGAGTGGGCCTTGCACGCGGTATTGGGAGTGTGAGGGCTGATGTGGTGAAGGAGATTGTGGCATCGTGGCTCGTCACGATTCCAATAGGAGCTGCGCTGTCTGTGATGTACGCCTTTCTGTTCTTGAGAATTGTTCCTGCGTTTATGTAGGCTTGCATGTGCTTCTTATGGACCCTTGCCTTTTCTTTGTTTTAGCAATAGTGGCTGAAGCTGTTGCGTGTATCATTAGTGGGACTTGAGTAATAGCAGTTGAAACTAGATGTTCCAGTTAACTGGCAAGGTGAGCTCCAATCGAAGCTCTTATCCAACTCCCTCAAACCCAGAGGCTCTAATTTGGGGGAATCAGATGCTGCTGACCTGTAAATGTTAGCAGCATCGCTGTAAAGAGGTGTATCTGGGTGTCGAACGTTTTTCAGAGCTGGTAGGGACTGGTTGAGCTGACAGCCACGTGGAAGGAGTTGCCACATGCTGGACTTTCCAAATTACGCTCGCGGAATTCATGGTGCTGTAGTGGAACTTAGCTAAAACCCGGAATGTACACTGGAAACCAGCTTTTTGAGAATAATGCTTCCTACCAGCTTCACAGAGAGATAATGACTTGTACACTATACGACAATGAATTCTCCATGAGCCATGTCCAACCACCCACACCAGCAACAACCCAGCAACATACGACCTAGAGGCCTCCCTTGTCAGCACCACTTACCCGCCGAAGCTTATTAGTTCCGCAAGAAGTACGGACGTGGATCGCGCTTCAATGAGGCTATAACTTTACATTTGGTGAAACTGTTGTGGTTGAATAGTCGGTCAGCAAATAAGGTGTCGTCGATCTGTTGATCGAGGGAGCCTTTGCGTACTAATGGATGCCGCAGCAGCGAGCCGAGGGAAGCCGGCGAAACCCTCGACGAGCAGCGCTGCGGAGAATGAGAAGAAGCAGAGACAGCGCGTGAAGAAGGAAGTGTGTCAGGAGGTGGTCCGGAAACTTCAGGAAGCCAATCATCCATCTATCCAGCAGCCTAATTTCGAGGAAGCCCTTCAGGCCCACTTTCTCCGCTTGCCGACGAGGTAGGGTTTCATTGGTGTTTATTTGTATCTCTCTCTCTTTTCTCTCGCTTCATAATTACATTGTGTGCCAGACGATTCAGGCACCCGACATACGCCAGTCAGGTTCGTAAATACCTCTTTCAAGCCACGACCTTTGTCGACGTCTTGCTACGCATTGTTACTCATCATATTGATGGTTCTACACATTGGATGTTATCCGAATAAATGAGCGACGATCTTCAACATTTTGCGATATTCAAATGCTTCTTCCTTGATCTCCGTCATGAGCGTTCCGTTGGCCTGTAAATAACGCCTTCTATGTCATACCTGAAGGTCTACCCCGCTCGCGCATAAAGATGTCCATTGATTCGTCGCCATCAACAAGGCTTGAAGGGTTCCATCCGTACTTCTAATGCTTACTCCTAGCTGAACATGCTCTGGTGCTTGTCACCTTAGTGATTGTCATATAATATAACTGAAGTGAAACATGGAATGTGACAATTATTCTCATATTGCCAGCATGCACGAACATCATTTTATTGAATGTGACTGACTGTAACGGTCAGAATTATCACTAATCCTCATTAATGTGATTGTATTGTATCCGTCCGATTTCAGATACGCCCTGGATGTGAACACGGAGCGAGCAGAGGATGTGCTCACTCACAAGCGGCTACTGGAAGAAGCTGCAAAGATGCCGAGCCAACCAGTGGTGCATGTCCGAGCCGTGCGGGTAGGTTCGGAATCGGGGTTGAGGCAGACAGTCTGGGATTAGTTATGAAGCGGATGAGTTGTAATTGTTGCATGGCAAGTGTACGTTTACGGGCAGGTTAAGGAATTGTACTTTCATTTGCTTGTGTGACTGGACTGGCTTGTCGGTCAAATCCTCCCTCCTACCGAACTGATCTGCTGGTATGACCCACCCTTTCCCATCTTCCTCCTACCTGTCGGCGCGCAGGAACCTCATGTACCATGCCATGCATCATGTTCTTGCACTATTCCACACCAATTCTCCTTTGCTGGAACCTACTCCATCTGAAACGTCCCTCTGATCCCCTCCGTTTTTGCCATGGTCACTGGTCAGGCCAGACCAACCACCTCAAGATCGGCTCGGCTCACTGCATTGCACCCCCCCCCACCGCTTCCCACTCCCCCCCTTCCCCACACCCCCCCGCCCCCTCTCTCCCCTCCCCCTACCCAAAACCGCTCGTTTTATGCTCGGCTGAGCCTGCTGGCAGTGCTGTCTTGACCTCACGCAGCCATTTGACCATCTCTCCCTCTTGTATCTCTCCATTTTTTAGATGCCTAGAGAATCACGCTAGACGGTTGCCGCAACCTCATGGTGTCACTCATTTCTCACCCTGTCTGTCTCTTCCACGCACAGATCACATCCGCCCTGCTAAAGGGAGCTGATGGCGCTCCGTGTTGTGAGTCGACTCAAAACATTTCTCACCCTGTCTGTCCCTTCCACGCGCAGGTCACGTCGGCCCTGCCAGCGGGAGCTGATGGCGCTGCAGGGGGAGGCACGATGGAGACTGACGAGGCGGCAGCAGAACTCAAACGCCAGGGGTAAGGGCTGTGCGGGTAGGGGCTCTGAGGTTAAGGGCTTTAAGGTCAGGGTTTTGCCGGTGAGGCTCTGAGGTTAGGGTTCTGAGGGAGCCGATGGTGCTGCAGGGGGGGTAAGGGGGTAGGGATGTGAGGGGGTAGGGATGTGAGGGTCTCTATGCATTGTCCTCCTCAACAGATCAAGCTTCCCGGACCTCCCCCACCGGTTTTTCCTGCTCCCTACTTCCCCTTCCCCATCTCCTTCCCCGTTTGCTTCATTCAACCCATTTCCTTCTCAAAACTCCCTTGACCTCCCTCCTTCTTACCCCCCTCTTTGCTTCCCCCTCCCGCTCTTCCCCCCCCCCCCCCCCCCCCTTTCGTCTCCCTCCCCCGTTCCTCCTCCCGTTCGTCCCCCAGCATGCTAGCTCCGCCAGCGTTCGGGTCCTCCCCGAATCTGGACTCCCCAGTGCTGGCGGGAGGCGCCATGTGCGCGGGCGGGGCAGGGGGAGGGGGGATACCGGAGGGTGCAGCTGCGAACGCGGATGGACATTCAGACGGAAAGGGGTCCTTCAGGTGAGTGTGTGGGGGAAGGGATGGATGTATGTGAAGGGGTTTATTGAAAGAGTGTGAAGGGAAGGGGGACTGTGTGAGCATATACTCCATGTGTCCCTGCTTCTGCTCCCCTCCCATCTCCTCATTCCTGTCCTCAACCTGCAATGTCATTCCCTCATCGCCTTATCTTCCTCTCATACCACCTCACCTCTGTCCCCACTCCCCCTCTCTCCCACCCCACTTTTCCTCTCCTCCCTCCTGTTCCCTCTTTTGCATTCCCCATCTTCATCACTTCTGATCCTCCTTCCCTTCTTTCTTTCCCCCCTGCCGCCAGTTCTCTCCTGCAGGTGCCCATGCACGAAGTCACCTTCTCCACTGTGGACCGCCCCAAGCTGCTCAGTCAAGTGAGTCAACCCCAGTCAAACGCGAGTTAGGTCAGCCAAACCAAGTCAAGCGTCAGTCAAACTGGTCAGGACAAGCCCCGCGCAACCGAAGCCTTCCCGACTTTGAAACTGCCCCTGCTATGCTCCCTTCCCATCCACCTCTCCCCCCTTTAACCCCCCCTTTCCCCCCTCCCCTCTCTCCCTTCCCCCCCCTTCCCCCCCTCCCCTCTCTCCCATCACCCCCCCCCTCTCCCCCTCCTCCCCCAAGCAACTGTCCGCAGTGCTGGCGGTCGTGGGGCTGAACGACCAGGTTTGAGGTGTCTCAAAACGCGCCCCTCTCCTCTCCAACCCTCCCTCCTTTCCCCCTTCTCCCCTCCCCCATTCTCCCCCCTTCCCCCCACCTTCACCCCCCCTCCCCCGCTCCCTCACTCAATATAACAGCTCTCAGCAGTGCTGGCGGACGTGGGGTTGAACATCCGTGAGGCGCATGTCTTCTCCACCTCTGATGGGCTCTCCCTCGACGTCTTTGTGGTTGACGGCTGGCCCTCTGAGGTGTGTACATGCGTGTGATGATGTGCGATGATGCGTGTGTGCTCGTGTGTGTGTCTTCTCATTCGCCACCTCTGATGGGCTCTCCCTCGACGTCTTTGTTGTTGACGGCTGGCCCTCCGAGGTGCGTGTGTGTGCCTGTGCATGTGCATGTGCCTCTACACGTGTGCTCATCATGTGTGCATGTGCCCCTACATGTGTGCTCATCATGTGTGCATGTGCCCCTACATGTGTGCTCATCATGTGTGTAACCTCCTCTCATTCTCCACCTCCGATGGGCTCTCCCTCGACATCTCTGTTGTCGACGGCTGGCCCTCCGAGGTGCGTGTTTGATGTGTGTGACCTCTAATTTGCCTACCTCTTCCATTTGCCACCTCCTCTCCACTCTTTCAGCACCATCCTCCACACCCTCTCCAACCTTTTCCTTCCGCCTTCTTCCACTCTTCATCACGACCCTTTCCTCCATGCTTTCTCCCCAACCTTGATGCCCTCCAACCCTTTATGGTACCCACATTCCTCTATGTCTTCACCCTGCTTCATTTCTCCCCTCCCTCTTCCCATGCGTACTGGGCGGCAGGATGTGGTGGAGATGCGGGCGGCACTCATGCGAGCAGCACAGGTGAGCAGTCACATCACAGCACAGCACACCAGCGTGCTGCACTGCACCGCACAGCACCGCATCGCACTGCACGGCAGTGCAGCACAGCATGCACTTGCGACCTGTGGCGAGCATGGGTGGTTTGTCATTCCGCAGAGTCGCCGAGTTTTTGAGACGTCGCAAAGTCCTTCACTCTGCGCATCAACCTCTGGTGCACTTCACTTGTGCAATCAGTAGCTTGCACCATCACTATCACCTGTCTCATATTCCCCCCCTGCCTCGCCCTTCCTTCCCTTACATTCGTTTTTTGCCGCCCCTCCTCTCCCTTCCATCAGCAAGCGGGGGAAAATGGTGCGCAGTCAACCCTTCCAGAAGCATCCGGCCAATCGAACCCCGCCATGTCAGAATCCACAGGAGTGCCCATGTCCACGTCAGTAGCCACAGCAGCAGCAGCAGGACACGTGGCAGCCTCCAGTTTGTCCGGGGCGGACTCGCGTGTGCACATCCCATCGGACGGGCGGGATGACTGGGAGATTGACAACGACCAGCTGAAGCTGCAGCATAAGATCGCCTCGGGGTCGTTTGGAGACCTGTGAGTGAATTTGGGGTGCTGTGGCCAGTGTATCACTTTCAATTCAGATAGAGAGGCGGGATGACTGGGAGATTGACAATGACCAGCTGAAGCTGCAGCATAAGATTGCCTCGGGGTCGTTTGGAGACCTGTGAGTGACCTAAATAGTGTGCCTATTTTGTTTCTGTACAGACAGGGATGCCTGATATGTTTCTGCATATCTCTCCGTGGGTCTCTTTACGTGGTTTTCTGCCTGCGCCTGTCTATTCCCTTCCCCGCAGCTACCGTGGCACGTGCGTGCTGTGGACAGGACGTGGCAATAAAGATGCGTTTGTATGTGCATACCAGTCCTTCAATTCCTTACGTGTCTGCCTGCCCATGTGTATCCCCCCTCCCCACAGATACCGAGGCACATACTGTGGGCAGGACGTGGCAATAAAGATGCGTTTGTATGTGCATACCAGTCCTTCAATTCCTTACGTGTCTGCCTGCCCATGTGTATCCCCCCTCCCCACAGCTACCGAGGCACATACTGTGGGCAGGACGTGGCAATCAAGATTCTCAAGGCCGAGCGGCTTAACGACTCGTTGCAGCAGGAGTTCGCCCAGGAGGTGTTCATCATGCGGTGCGTGGGATTTATCAGAGTAAGACAGGTGGGCTGCAGGTGAGTGGGGAGAGCGAGGGTGAGTGGGGAGAGGGAGGGTGAGTGGGGAGAGGGAGGGTGAGTGGGGAGAGGGAGGGTGAGTGGGGAGAGGGAGGGTGAGTGGGGAGAGGGAGGGCGAGTGGGGAGAGGGAGGGCGAGTGGGGAGAGGGAGGGCGAGTGGGGAGAGGGAGGGCGAGTGGGGAGAGGGAGGGCGAGTGGGGAGAGGGAGGGCGAGTGGGGAGAGGGAGGGCGAGTGGGGAGAGGGAGGGTGAGTGGGGAGAGGGAGGGCGAGTGGGGAGAGAGAGGGTCAGTTGAGATAGGGAAGGACAATGGGTAGAGGGAGGGTCAATGGGGAGACTTGGGGGGTAGTTTGAAGAATGTGGGCAATGTTCGTTCTGCACAGGACTTTGATTTGATCAGGAGGTATGCAGCATGCGTGCGGTAAGTGGGGGAAGAAGGCTTACTTTTTGCATTACCGGCTTTGCATTGTTGCACTGAAACTTTGCTTATTGCTCTCTCTTCTCTACCTCGTTTCCCCCTCCGTGCAGGAAGGTGCGGCACAAAAACGTGGTTCAATCTATTGGAGCCTGCACCAAGCCCCCTAACATCTTTATTGAGTTGACTCAAAAATCGGTTGTGTCTCTCTACCTCTTCCCCCCCCTCCTCCATGCAGGAAGGTGCGGCACAAGAACGTGGTTCAATTTATTGGGGCCTGCACAAAGCCCCCAAACCTCTCCATTGTCACCGGTGAGCTGCTTGCTCCTTGCTGCTGGCGAAGACCAGACAAGGTTTATGAAACGTATGTGTGTGGCAGGCAACACGCACACTACCTGCTCAGCTTTTATTGTGTTTTGTTTAACCCCTTGCCCCCACTTCCCTGTGCTCTGACCCGATGCCTCCCTGGCTCTATGCCCCCAATGCTCCCTTGACTGTGTGACCGCTTGCCCACCATGCTCCACAACCCCCATGCAGAGTTCATGGTGGGGGGCAGTGTGTACGACTATCTACACAAGCACCGCGGCAGCATGAAGCTGCCCATGGTGCTGCGTGTGGGCATGGACGTGGCCAAGGGAATGGACTTTCTGCACAAGAACAACATCATTCACCGCGATCTGAAGGCTGCTAACTTGTTGATGGATGAGAACGATGTGAGTGACAGACAGGTTGTGTTGTATGCTGTGCGGTACGGTGCAATGCGGTGCTGTGCGGTGTGCGCTTGTTTTGGGGTGCATGAGTGGGTGCTGCGTGTGGGCATGGACGTGGCCAAGGGAATTGACTTTCTCCACAAGAACAACATCTGCACCGCGACCTTACAGCGGCTAATTTGTTGATGGACGAGACGAGAACGATGTGAGTGAAAGGTTGTGCTGTGTGCTGTGTTGCGAGGTATGGAGCTCTGTGCCGCATGTGCTTGTGTCCTGTGCATGAGTTGGTGCTGCGCATGGAAATGGACTAGGCACAAGGAAATCACCACACAGTGCATAAAACCCAAAACACCTGCACGGCCCCACACAAGTGCTTGTTTTTTGTTTTTTTCTGTGCCCGAGTCTGCAGGTGGTGAAGGTGGCGGATTTTGGAGTGGCACGAGTGAAGGCCAACAGTGGCGTCATGACAGCAGAGACTGGCACCTACCGCTGGATGGCACCTGAGGTAACACCTGAATGGCACCTTATGTGACAACTGATGGGCGCCTGAGGTAATAACACCTGGATGGCACCTGAGGTAACACCTGGATGGCACCCTAGGTACCTCATTCAAACTCGACCTTTTGTTAGTTTCGATAGAGCACCGCCGCACTACGAGCACAATGCAAACACATGCGGCTTCCCTCTCTTCCCCCCCTCACTGCGCACCAGGTGATTGAGCACCGGGCGTATGACCACAAGGAAAACACGTGCCACCTCCCACTCCCCACCCCTCACCCTCCCACGCCTTGCACCAGGTGATTGAGCACCGGGCATACGACCACAAGGCAGACATATTCAGCTTCGGCATCACCATGTGGGAGATGCTCACCGGCAAGGTGAGAGCACGGAAGGAGTTGGTGAGGCAGGGTGTTGGTGGGAGGGTGGTTGGGGAGATTCGATGATGCTGTTATGGAATGTGGGGGGGGTTGCGAGGTGGTGACATGGAATGTGAAGGGGGAGAAGGGATGGACATATATCGCCATGGAGAATGAGGCTTTCATTGTATAGCAGCCTATATCTATCGTTTTACAGCCCCTTATTGTTTTCCAAGCATGTCCCCGCTCACTTCTTAAAACGGTATTATTCATCTACTGCTCCTCCAAATCATCTACCCTCCCTTTTCCCCGCCCCGCTTCTCCCTGCTTCTCTCCCTCCCCCTGTTTCTTAACCCACGTGCACCTTTCCACCCCTCCGCACCCTTCCCACCCCCCTTTCTCTCAGCTGCCTTATCCAGACCTCACACCCTTGCAGGCAGCAGTCAGCGTCGTTCAACGAGTAAGTCCCCGCCCCCCTCCATCCATCCACTGCCATCACCATCCATCCCTCCCGTCACTCCCGCCTTTCTACTCTACCCCCTTGCTTCCCTAGTCCCAGCATGGTTTCATGCCTGTCTCGGGGCCTGTATGCACCTCCCCATTCCCGGTCTCTGTCTCAGAACCTGTCAGGCCTTGCTCCCGTGCCTCCCCATCACCCCAAGACCCCCTGCCTCTCCTCCCTGCCTCCCCTCTCTCTGTTACTGCTCACTTCACTCCCCCTTCCCACCTCCCAGGGCCTGCGCCCACCCATCCCCAAGGGCACGCACCCACAACCCTACAGCCTGCCTCATTCATGCTTCGTCTGTTTCCCTCCACTGCCTGCTCTTCTCTCGCTCAGGGCCTCACTCACCACTCACTTCACTCCCTCTCGCCCCCTCCCAGGGCCTGTGCCCGTCCCAAGGGCACGCACCCACAACCCTACAGCCTGCCTCACCCATGCTTCGTCTGTTTCCCTCCTCTGCTCACTCTTCTCTCGCTCAGGGCCTCACTCACCACTCACTTCACTCCCCCTTCCCCTCTCCCAGGGCCTGCGCCCGCCCATCCCCAAGGGCACGCACCCACAACCCTACAGCCTGCCTCATTCATGCTTCGTCTGTTTCCCTCCTCTGCTCACTCTTCTCTCGCTCAGGGCCTCACTCACCACTCATTTCACTCCCTCTCGCCCCCTCCCAGGGCCTGCGCCCGCCCATCCCCAAGGGCACACACCCGCGGCTGGCAGATCTCTTTGAGCGCTGCTGGGCCACCCACCCAGTTGATCGCCTCGACTCCCCTCTCCTCCCTGACTCACTCCCTCTCCTCACCGCCCTCCTCCCTCCTTCCCCACTCCCCCCTCCCAGGGCCTGCGCCCGCCCATCCCCAAGGGCACACACCCGCGGCTGGCAGATCTCTTTGAGCGTTGCTGGGCCACCAACCCTGTCGACCGACCTGAGTTCTCAGAGATCATCAAAGTCATTTCCGAGATTGCACAGGAGGTGGGATGAAAAAATAGTTACAAAAAATATGTCCGATATGCATCGTGGCATGGTTGGCACAGGTTTTGTGAAGCTGGCCCTGCGCTCTCCTCACTTCCCATGTTTGCTCTGATTGGTTATTGCTCGTTTTCTACCCTCCTCACACCTGATGACATTTTTTTCCCCTCGTGGTGCACGTCAGTTGGAGGAGGATGGAGAGGCCGACCAACAGAGACGGGAGAAGCGCGGAGGGTTCTTTGCTTCGTTCAAGAGAGCAGGGTCAGGGCCTAGGTGATATGGAAGATTGTGTGAAGCTGCTACCTCCTGAACAGCAAAATAATAACATATTTGCAATGGAAGCAAAGGTGGAGGATGAAATTCATACGGTAATGTTCCTGTATTGTTTGAGAGTTAAACTTGTATCAATGGCAAAGATACACCTCAACTTTATATGTTATATTATTTATCCACGCAACCCAATCGGTGCACCATTCATTATTCCATGCAAGCGGCTTTGTTCAATGAATTAACAGAAATCGCTGAATGGTGACTCGTGGATGCTACTGTACTGCTTCAAGATCGAGGGGACGAATGCAGACACTCAACATTGTGAAACTTGTGTTGCTCTTGACGTTCGCACAGCACCATGCCAGCAGACACCCATGTCAGCAAGTCTCGGGTGGAATGGAACGCAACCTCTCAATTGTCAGCACGGAAACTGGAATTCCTCGCGGTTCGGGGTCCCGTTTCGCGTTGAATGGCAACTCCAGCATAGCAGGCCCGGCAGCAAACTGAGCAGCGCGGCAATCTCAAGAGTCGGGTAACCCGAGGGAACTTTGGGACTATGCTTCCTGCCTCGAGAACTCCGCCGTCCGTTTCAGGGAAAAGCTGGAGGCCCGAACCGCCAGGGAGTGCTCTCTCAAGGCCTTGAAATTGGACTGCCTCGTTTTCACCCGCTCAGATTGCCATATTGCATTCGATTGAGGATTCCCCCTAGCCCTTGGAGTTTTGTTTGTCACTCCAACCAACCCGGCGAATACAAAACTGAACCTTAGATTTCGCAGATACTGATTACGGATTTTGTATCAGTTCGCGTAATATTCTCTTAGTGCGGAACTTATTTAGACTAATTTATTACCAACGGACCGCCGTAGTCATGGGTATGGCTGCGCAGTCACTTCCGCCTCGGCTTCTGTTCCGTCAGCTGTTCGAAAAAGAATCCAGCACCTACACCTTCCTGTTAGCCGACGAAACTGCACCAAAACGACCCGGCGTGGTAAGCACAACCTCCATGTCAGAGATATGGCTTCTTGAAGCAGCATAACGCAGACGTGACCATCGCACCTGTGTTTTTTACCACAATTTTTTATCGTAAATAACTCTGGATGTGCGCATCCTTTACCGTTTATCCGCAATGTTGTCAGCTGATTGATCCCGTTGACTTGACCGTTGATCGCGACGTGCGGCTAGCAGAGGAGCTCGGAGTAACTCTTCGTTTCGCCCTCAATACGCACGCACACGCAGACCACATCACTGGAACTGGCCTGCTCAAGGTACCTCAGCCTATTTCACCAACAGACTCCTTAAGTCTTTGTTCTTAGTAAGTTTCTGGAATCTGTCAAAAGTGTCGATGTAGTATAGTGGTGAGACCGGGGTTCGATTCCCGGCACCGGTATGGACTGTTTTGGGCTTCTGTGGGGCAATCCATTGCATTTCACACAGTATTTTTTGCAGATTCCCTCAAACTGCATGCATACCACATGATTGTCCGTCGGAATAGCTCGCCGTTCCATATTATTGCCTCCTGACTGTCTTCACCTGTTTTCCCACCACCACACCAACCCAACCTGCCCCTATCCCTCCCCATCCCGGTCGCAGAAACGGGTACCTGGCATCAAATCCGTCATATCCTCTGCTAGTGGCGCTCGAGCTGACGTGTTGGTGGGCCACGGTGACGTCATTCCCTTTGGCAGATTTGGCCTCCAGGTGAAAATAGTAGCAAACACTTTATGTACAATGCGTTCGGCCAAGGCTCCTGGCTGTTCTTACATGCTAGTCCATTTTTGTGTGGAATCTGGAAATCCAAACGTTTGACAAACCTGTCTAATTTCCGACCCTGACTTGCAGGTCCGGTCTACTCCAGGCCACACGAATGGGTGTGTAACGTATGTGCTGGTGGAGCGCTCGGGGACTGCTGCGCCGCTTGCAACAGCGCTAGAGAGTTTCTCTGAAGGGACCGTGTGGAGGGCAAGCGATGTGATCTTGGATGGGCTGGGAAGCGCTGGGTTTTCCTTTGACATGCTTACAACGAGGATGGCGTTCACTGGAGATACATTGCTCATAAGAGGATGTGGACGGACGGACTTCCAGGTGTGCTTTTCATTAAAAAACTCAGGCTTTTTATGCTATCCCTCAGTATCTGTCATCCTTGTTAATTTCTCCTCCAATGCGTTCCTGTTCAGGAAGGAGATGCTGCTCAGCTGTACCGTTCAGTGCACAGTCAGGTGAGCTGGAAACCATCTGTAATTTGGATGCAAATTATGGTTATATGAGCAGGATAAACATGATGTCACCCCCCTTTTTGTCACTACAGATATTGTCACTTCCACCGGACACACTCCTGTACCCTGCACACGACTACCAAGGCCGAACTGTAAGACCCAGTCAGTTTTTCCTGTTATCCACCAATGCAACCGCACCTCAGAAAATGCCATGTTAGGTTCCCAGAGAATAGCAATGCTAATGCTGACGTGGCTGAATCCCACTGCCTGACTGCAGGTAACATCAGTGGAAGAGGAGCAAAAGCACAACCCGAGGCTGACAAAAGACGAGGTGAGAGAGCTAGGGGAGTGAGTGACGAGTATTACCATGAGGTTAGCTCCAGATAGCTTCTGCATTGCAAGGCTCCTTGTGCCCTTTCCTTCACTCCAGTGCATGCAACCTCTGTGTCCGTACCCCTCCGTGTGTCTGAACTTTTGAATGTCATGTGAGCAGGAAGCATTCAAGGCTATCATGGACGGTAAGCTTTCTCTAAGTAAACTACCGTATCTGTAAAACTCTTCACATTTGTTCCTACACCAGACGTGTCTAGGCTTGAGACGTCTCGAATTACTCATGTAATCCATCCATATGCTCCTGTGCTCTGCTCTCCTTTTATGTTTTGTTCACCCATACCGTATGCTTCTGTGTTCTGCTTATGTACCGCCTATTGCATGTCACTTCAGGCCTAGGGTTGGCAGCACCAAAGAAACTCAAGGAGGCACTTCCAGCTAACATGGCTGATGGGGCTATCGAAGAGCAGAGGACCACCATTTTTGCTGCATGAAACTAATGAATCGATAGATTTACATGGTGGACGGCTCAAGATGGAAGGAGTGATGATGTGATGACCTATGTATTGTCAGTAATTGTGTTTCAAAGCGCTATGTTAATGTATATAGGTTGTATTCCGTATGCTTGTTTGTGTTTGCCGAGCTCAAGAACTGTTTTGAAGGAATAGTACGATACTTTTAATGGGACAGTACGATATTTTTGTACCGTACTTGATTTCCTGCCTACACTTCGGAGCTGTCTCCAAAGAGTCGAGGGCTCATTTTATTTTCCACTCTCCCTCCACCTTACCTCATTTTTGGATCCACAGCCAAACTGCTATGGCAATGGCAGACACCAATACCCAAGCTTATGGTAATAATTATAATGGTAGGGAGCTGGGACAAAGCTTGCATGGAAGATACAGAGACAGGAATAATTGAATGGTACCGTAACAACGAATTCAGCAGCGGGGTTATGGTGTACGAAGAAAATGCATGAACAGATGGCAGCATAAGAAACCCTCCCTGCCACATGTAGGATGACAGGTGTAGACATGTGATAATAGAATACCGCCCCACTTGATAAGTAGACTTGAGAAGCAGCACAAGGCCATGGCGGTGTTGCTCGGGCACACACCCGAGGGATGCAGCAGCATCAGGGATACGGAAGTGACTTGTGCGCCAACTCAGCGAGGCTAGCGGTGCAGAGTCATGGACGGGTGGAGTTGTCTTGGACGGAAGAGAGCCGATTGGGACGAGGTTGGGCCTATGGAAAGGTGTCTTTTGATTGACTTGCGTTGACTTGAGATTGACTTGAAGATGACTTGTGACTTGGGGGTTATGGTTTAGGATTGACTTCAGGTTGACTTGGGTTGACCAGCCCGGTTTCACTTGAGGTTGACATGGGATTGACTTGAGGTTGACTCGAGATGATTTTGGGCTTGACTTGGACAGGAAGCACCTGGAAGTGTTGTACTCTTTAGTAGCAGCCTCTCTAGGCGCGCACAACCTTGCGCTTGCGCACCTCTGTAGCCAGCGACTGAGCCACAAAGGACCGCGCCCACTGCTCCACCTCCTTGCCGCCCATCGCCACCAGCTCCTGGAGGAAAATAGACCAATGGGAGGGATGGACAGACGGATGGGATGGGGTGAATGAGATGGTGAGGGATGGTGCCTCATAACACCTCGCCCACCGCTCCACCTCCTTGCCGCCCATCGCCACCAGCTCCTGGGGGGGAAATCAGGGAAAGGACAAGGACAAACAGATGTTGGTCAAAGGCAGACAGATTGGGCTGAATGTCAGACAGATTTCAGCTCCAGAGCTTTCAGGACGTCACAAAAGCTGAAAAGTGACAAATTCGTTGAGGCTGCTCAGTCAATGACTGCCAATATGAGATAAAAGAACTTCTCTCAAGAGCCTCACCTCGACAAAGAGGCTGGTGCCCGCCTCGCGCTCAGAGGGTTTCATGGATGCATCCACGTAGGCAGTGCGGACGGCCCACTAGCTGACCAGCAGCTTGACACGAATCAGCCTATGATTGCAACTCAGAGGTAACACGCAAAGAGCCTCACCCCCCACAAACAGCCTCACCTCGACAAAGAGGCTGGTGCCCGCCTCGCGCTCATGGATGCATCCACATAGGCACTGCGGATGGTGCAATGGCAGGCTGACAGGTTGACTGCAGGAATTCACTGCACCTCATGTGACCAGCAAGAAATCCCTACAAGGTGACTTTTGAGTCGACTCAGAAGTCACCCCATGTGACCAGCAAGCAATCCCCACAAACAGCCTTACCTCAACGAAGAGGGTGGTGCCAACCTCACGCTCAGAAGCAGTCATGGATGCATCCACATAGGCACTGCGGATGGCCTGTGCGTACTGCTGTAGATCGTGCTGCGAACACTCGTGCTGGTGATGGCATGAAAAACGGGGGAGGTGAAGGGGTAAGGAAGGGGAGGGGGGAGGAAATAAGAGGTGCACGAGCAGAGGGCATCAGCATAGGCACTGCGGATGGCCTGTGCGTACTGCTGTAGCTCGTGCTGCGAACACTCGTGCTGGTGGGGGGAGGAAGGGGCGGAAGAGGAGAGATAGAGGAGGAGGGAGCTTGGTGGAGAAAAGGCACGATTGGAAATAACCAATATGCATACATGTGAGGGGAGATGCGTTTTGAGGTGACTCAACATAAGTGTCAGCAGCACCGATATACGTGTGCGGAGAGGATATAACAGGCGACTAAAAATGCATCAACAGAAACATACGTGTGAAGCAGAAGCACGGGGAGAGGGAGGTCCGGATGCCATATCAACAGCCAGAGGCTTGGGTGCAGCCACGTTCGGCCGGAGCAGAGCTTCGGCGATGTAGCCTCGGGCCCAGTCCTCGCTGGCGCCATGCATGACGAGCTCCCTGACCAATCCGTCCACTCCGTGCTGCTGCTGAGCTGGCGACGCTGACGTGTCAACGTACGACGGGAAGAGAGCCCGTGCGTACACCTTGAGGTAATTCTCCTGCTCCTCGGCCGAACGATGCCGCCCACCGCCCGCCGCTTTCCTGCCTACAAATTTCGTGCTATAAGCAGACGGCGCAGTTGCTGCTGCTACTGCTGCTGCCGTTCCCACTGCTGCTTCTGCTGCGACTGGTACTGTGGAGCGAACAGGTGCTGCTGCTACAGCAGTGCCGGTTGCAGCGGCGATGGCATGAGCAGGGGTGGCGGTGCGAGAGGAACGGGAGGAGCGAGGGGACTTGAGAGATGCGAGAAACGAGGAGAGAGTGTGAGAGGAGGAGGAGAGGGAGGCAACGGCGGGGGTTGGTGAGGAGGAGGGGGAGAGGGAGGGGGAAGAGGAGGAGGAGGAGATGGGGGAGAGGGAGGGGGCTGAAGTGGAGGAGGCAGAGACGGGGGAGAGAGAGGGGAGGGCGGCCTTGATTGTGGCAGAGGGAGGAGAGGCGGCCATTGTTTCAAGTTTCTTCTGGATGTTGGCGAGCTGAGGGAGGGGAACGGAGGAGGGGGTGAAAGTGGGGGGAAGGGGGGGCGGGGGGGTGGGTTGCTTGAAGGCAAGCCATGGAACAGAGAGGCAATGGACGGGGCACATGGAGAGAAGAGGCGGCCATTGTTTCAAGTGTCTTCTGGATGTTGGCTAGCTGACAGTGGGGTAGGGGTGAGGGAGATGGGGTGAAGGGGGGCATTGAGAGAGGTGACCATTGTTTCGAGTTTCTTCTGGATGTTGGCGAGCTGACAGTGGGGTAGGGGGGAGGGGATGAAAGTGGAGGGAAAATGAGGGGGGTAGAGGGGGTGACTGAAGACTGGGCATGAGAAATAGAAAAGTGGGAGGAAAAAATGGGTAACATGGGGAGAAGGGGAGGAAAAAAGTCCCACAATTGCTTCTACGCCCTACCTTACTCATCATGTCGCCAATCCCTGCCAACGATCCCCCACTGCCGCCGCCACCACCACTACCACCACCACCACTGCTACCACTACCGCCACTCCCACCGCTTCCCTTCAACACCCTCTTCCCGTCGCCCTCCTCCCGCTCCCCCCTCCCCCCGTTTCCCGCCTCCCCCTCCGCCCCTTTCCCCATCCTCGCCCCAGCCTCCGCGGCCCTCAGCAGCCCCTCCTCCCTGCTGCGCCTCCTCTCCCCCGCATCCGCGCCCACGCGCGCGCACAGCTGCGCCACGCGCGCAGCCTCCTCGTCCGCGCGCTGCTGCGCGAAGGCCAGCGAGGAGACGAGCTGCGCCTCCATGCTGAGCAGGGCCGCCGCGGAGGGGGAGGGCGCGGATGAGCGCAGCGAGTGCAGACGCGCCTTGGTCCACGCGACTGCTTCAAGATACTTGTCCCATGACTCCTCCGCCTTGACCTGGCGGAAGGAGGAGGGGGAGCGAGCGAGAGCGAGAAAACGGCAGTTGAGAATGAATGTAAGCAGACACATGGCAGCAGAGGGTGCACGTCAGGGGAGGGAGCATGGGAGGTGGCGTGGTGGTCTCACCAGTTCCAGCTCCACAGGCAACAACGGGAACGGCTGCATCTGCTGCACGTCATCAGGGGATGCATTGCAGGGGAAAACGCACGGCAGGGGAAAACGCACGGCAGGGGAAAACGCACGGCAGGGGAAAATGCACGGCAGGGGAAAACGCACGGTAGGGGAAAACGCACGGCAGAAGAAAACGCACGGCAGGGAAAAACGCACGGCAGGGGAAAACGCACGGCAGGGGAGAACGCACGGCAGGTGAGGGTGCATGGCAAGTGGGGGAAGCATCGGGTGGTCTCACCAGTTCCAGCTCCACAGGCGACAGTGCTGCTGTGTCCACCACAGGGGGCAACTGCTGCTGCGGCGGCGGCTGCTGCTGTGGCATGTCCCTTGTGGCCGGCACAGGGTCGCTTTCCTGTGCAGATACGACCTGCCCCGTTGACGCCTGCGCGACGGTGCTCTGTGCCAGCACGCCGTGGCGCTCTGCCAACGAGCGCAGCACCGACAGACGCACCTGGGGGGGCGAGCAGGGCACACGAAATGAATGGGAAATGGGAAATGGGAAATGGGAAAGAGTCGCCTGCGCGACGGTGCTCTGCGCCAGCACGCCGTGCTGCTCTGCCAACGAGCGGAGCACCGACACACGCACCTGCAGGGGCGGGCATCGGAGAAATGAGAGGGGCGTTGAGAGTGGGAGATGGGAGAGGAAGATAAGAGAGGAAGTTGAAAGAGAGAGTTTAGAGAGGAGAGACAAGAGATGAGCCACCACGTCAGTAGCCGGGATCCCCTTTCCCCTTTCCCATTCCCCTTTCACCATTCATCCCGTCCTTTCCCCACCTGAGCCGCGTGCTGTCTCCTTCTCTCCACGCCCAATTGCTGCAGCCGCACTTAGTGTCCTTCCTTCCACACATTCTTCCCCACAAATCCCCATGCCCCATCCACAATCCCCACATGCCCCATTCCCAGCACCCATCCGCACTACCATCTCCCACCAGCCGCTTCCCCCGTCCCGCTCTCTCTGCCTACGCCCTTGCTCAAATCCTTCCCCACCAATTCCCCTTTCCCATTCCCCGTGCCCCATTCCATTTCCCCATCCTCTCGTCCATCCCCCGCCCGAGCCGCGTGCTGTCTCCGCCTCTCCACACCTGACCACTTAAGCTGCTCCCTCTGAATACGCCCTTGCTCATATCCTTCTCCACCAAACCCCAATACCGATTCCATTCATCATGCCCAATCACCCACGTCCCATTCCCTGCTCCCATCTCATTGCCAACACGCACCTGAGCCGCGTGTTGTCGCCTTCTCTCCACGCCCGGCCTCTGCAGCCGCTCCCTCTGCCTGTGCCGTCCCGCTCTCAGAGCCTGCACCGACCCCGCCACCACCCCCTGCTGCGCGCCCCCCTGCGCCTGCGCCTGTTCCTCCTCCGCCTCCTCCCACTCCTCCTGCGCCTCCGCCTCCGCGTCTGAGCTGCCAGGCGCATTAGACGGCGGGTTAGACGGTGACGGCGCTACAGACGAGGCGGTGACGGTGACGGCGCGTGGGGTGACTTTCCCCTCAACCACGTCGGTCACACGTTGCCGCAGCTGGGGAGAACGGGGGGGAATGGGGGAGAACGGGGGAAAATGGGGGGAACGGGGGAAAGGTGGGGGAGGGGGGTGACTACAGGCGCGTGGAGTGACCTTCCCCTCAACCACGTCGGTCACACGTTGCCGCAGCTGGGGGGAACGGGGGGAACAGAAGGTGGTCGGAGGGGAGGAGGCGGGTGAGAGGAGAGAGTTATGGGAGGGGGAATGAGCAACAAGGTGACTGTTGAGAACGCGTCACCCCACCCCACACCCCACGCGTCACCAGTCCACACCCCACCTCCCCCCCGTCTTTCCCCGCCCCAGCGCTAAGACGCACCTCCGGGTGCGCCTGGAGCAGCTCCCCCCGGCGGCTCTTGGCGGCTTCCACCGCCGCGGAAGCCGCGTCCATGCGGGCCTCCAGCGCCTGCAGTTCCGCGCGCATTGCTCCGCGCTCCTCCCGCCCCACCAGCACGTGCGCGCCCGCCTGCAAGAATTACAAGAAAAGAAAAGAAAGAAAGAAATGAAAAAATGGGGACGGAAGAACAGAAGGCAATCAAGACGCGCTACCAAAGGAAGCAACTTTTGAGGCGCCTAGCGCCAACGGAATCAAAGCATTAACACTCGAGTCGTCACACGATGCCTGTTTGATGTCCCATTGACCCACAGTCTCTTCAGTACGACCCAGCATCAATCACACACCCACCTTGCGCATTTCCAATGGGACCGACGTAGGATCCGCGTTAGCCGCAGCAGGAGCAGCAACAGCGGAATCATCGTCGCCCAAAGACGGGGATGTGAAGGATGACGTCATCGGCGCCACGTTGGCAGGCTTGATGCTGACGTGGGCTGCCACGTCATCCGACACCTCGCGCAGGTGGTCTTCCGCCAGCTGCTGCGGAGCTGCTGCGCGTGGGGAGGCGGCGGAAGCGGCGGAAGTTCCGCTGGCGGAGGCACCAGGGGCTGGCGCAGAGCGGAAGAAGAGAGGCGCGGAAAACGTTAAGGTTAGGCAAGCGAAGCGAGAGTGGCGGGGGGAAAGCGGAATGGGATCAGTAGCTACAGTAAAGTAACTCGTATGCAATAAATTTTAGCGTGTGACTTTCTGACACGCGTCGAATGCATACCGTGCGGAACGATGAGATTCGCGATGAAGTTGGTCGCCTTGTCGTTGCCCCCCACGATATGCGACAGGAGCGGCGACGCCGCTTCAATGGCCTGGCGGAATCGACGCAAGAGAACGGGACAGGAAAACGACCGGAGAGGATGACGATGCGAGTGAGGGGATGAAACTGGGAGAAGATGGACAGAACCATGTCGGACGGCGATGCAGAGACCAAGGAAGCCATGACATGGTGCCTGAAAATCGCGGCGATGCAGCATCGCAGTCGCCATGCGACTGACGCCTGAAAGTCGCCGCGACCACGGTAGCCATGCGCACCGCGTCGCGCTACCCGCTGCCCTCGAGACTCAACTCTAAGCCATCTCCTATTCCCCGCAGCCAGTTTCGCTACCTAAATCCGCCCCTCCCACCCCCCGCTGCATTACCCGCATTCTCCGCATTCCCCGCAGCGCACCTTGCTGTGGTTCTCCAGCGTCGCCGCCGCCACCTTCGCCATTTCCTTCGACGCGCGTTCCGCGCCTCGCGCCATCTCCTCCGCCGCCTTCGCCATCCGCTCCATCCACGACCGCGCCCCCGGCCGCGTCTCGCCCGCGCTGTGCAACGGGGCAGAGAACAGCGGAGTTGCGCGAACGGGGCGGGATAAGAGAGCCAGGGAAAGGGTGGAGGGGGAAAGGGAAGGGTGAGAAGCGACAGCGGGGAAAACAGTGCAGTGAGTGGCCTGAAGGTGAGGAGGGTGTAGGGTGGAGTAATGCGCGGGGGGAAGGGAGGGGGTGGGTTGGGGAGGGGTGGGAAAGAAACGCAGAGGAAGCGGGAAAATGCGGAGGGGGAGGAACGCGGAAGCTGCCCGCGGAAGTTATACGGAGAATATAAGATGATAACCTATAATGTATTAATGTGGGCGCAAGGAACGTACCGCTGAGCGCGGAAGATGGCGGAGATCGGGCGACGGCAGTTGCGCCTGAAGCTCACTGCAAGCATCAGCCAGTTCAGCAATGCCACGTGGACGAGACGCAAACGGGAGAGGTCAAGTCAGGCCAGTTCTACATCTTGAGACATCTAAAAAATGGTTCGCTGCAGTGTAAGGGTGACGGATTAAGTTGCGACGCAGTGCACTACAGTGCGGCGGCTGCATCGCCAGACTCTTGGAACGCCGACTATACAGATATCCCGCAACGGTGACCAACCGCCGTACATAAGCTACATGTTGAGACGTATGGTATATAACTAGCACGACCAGACGACGCGAGAGCTGGCCGACGTAACGCGAACCCTTTCCCCCCTTTCAGGCTGCTGTTCCAACGAGCCTGTTCGACTAACCAATATCAGATTTCAGGCATGGTACCATGTCGCTGTTAACGTTCTGGTGATAAGACGCTGTGGTAGACTAGCGGACTTACGCGTTACGCGCTTCGGCCGCATGGGAACGACGAAGGCGGAGCTGAACTGCGGAGTATTGGGGGCTTTCCGCCACCGCGCACCCATGTAGGGCGCAAGGGCGGGAGGCGCGCATATGCGCATTGCGACGATGGCTTGACTCGCCATTGAGGGGCTATTAACAGACTACACGGCAATCGGCGGATAAGGCGTTTAGACTTCGGTGCTTACATAAACTCTTAGCTGCTTACATAAACTTCGTAAGGTAAAAAAAAAACCACTAACTTAGCAAACGGATATTAAGAATAATAATATTTATTGGATAGCAGAGACGGCGTGGATGCTACCCTGACAGAAGGCTGAGCGGGACTTTCGGTCAGCCTACCCTACAAACCAAGTCTGAGATCTGAAATGCCAACTAACTTGGGAGCACCCAGACCTTGGTGGTTGTGGTATGGTCGCTCACTAAATCGAAGCGGGGAAGGGGAAGGAGGGCAGAAGGATAAGGGAAAAGGGAAGTAGGGGAAGGTACAGGGGCGGTGGGCGCAGAATGGGGAGTCAGGGGGAAGGGTTGCGGAGAAGTGAAATGCTCGAAGATGGGGCAGACGAAGCGGAAATTGGGGAAAGGCAAGGTGGTGGGCGCAAGGACAGATTGAGAGGAGAGTGCGTAGAGGGCGGAAGCCAAAGACGGGGGGGAAGAGCTCATGTTTGAAGTTCAAAATAAGGCGGGCGGAAAAGGCCTCTGGCCCCAGCAACGGCGTTCAGGTCGTTCAGATCGAGGATTCGAGGCCACCCTTGAGAGTTGCGCGATAATTTGCGGGGGAAGGGCCAATCGTGTCGGAGGATCTCTGAAAACTGTTGCAATCTGAAAGTTGTTTCTTACCGTCAGATCTAACAGCAAGGCAGATATCTATGGGGCTGCTCGCACGGTCTCTGCATCCCACGTCGGGCCGCGTCAGCTTTTCCGTGACCCAAAGCGGCTCGCAAAGACGCCACTGTGGCACTGCCGTGATTTTGAAAACCTTGAGGTTGCCCAGATAAGATGGGATAAGGAAATGAAAGAACACATTTAATGTTTCAGAAGGACAATTTTCAATGTAAAGTGATAATAAATCCTAATAATAAGGCCCACATGATTATTTCTCTCACGATTTTCTCGATCGTGCCGAAAGCTCTGGTAAGCGTCTTCATTCATGGCGGCCTCCGAGTGTGCACATCCTCGACATCAGCTGCTTCAGCACAGCCTTCTCTCCACTTTATGGCCACAAGACATACAAACGACGTAAACCCACTTCCAGCCCAACACATATCGAGCCGGTTACTACGCCGCGTTATTGCAAATTCCACCGCAATGTGCGGCATGCGTCGAAACAGCACCACGCCTGTGTTTAGGTGGATGAGCCTTGCACGGCGTGGCGCCAGCCAGGCGCCGAGCGAACTATCGAGTGGGCGTGGGCGTGGGTCGTGACATGGCGCTTCGTTCGTTCGTGGAAGCCTCCTTCCGTCGTGTGACGAGTCACACGAGTCACGACAGGGAACGAGAGGCGACTGACCGACAGTGGACCGTCGCCGCTTGATCCGTTGTGGTGCGGACTGAAGCACGCCTTTCCTGCTTTCGCGACTTCTCCGGACGTCCTTCCAAGTGGCGCGGATTTCCTGCACTCCTGATTTCCTGCGTTTGACATCACGTACGTACGTCACATACTCTCCTGCTTAGGCATTTCGCGCGTGCTGCTTCACTGCGCCCCTGGCATCCCGCACAGACACAGCAATGGCGGAAAATTCCGCGCAAGCAGCTCCGCCGGCGCTTGTGGCGGAAGCTTCAGTGGTTCGCTCTGTCTTCGCCGCGTGGGAGAGCGCGCCCGCGCAAGCTGCGGTGGCGCCTGTTGCGCCTGAAGAGCCTGAACCGGCTGTAGCGACTGTAGCCCCTGAAGTGACTGCAGCGCCTGTAGCGCGGACGCCGCCGCTGCGCACGCCGACGCCGGACGTCACCTACTCGCTGCCTCACGCCGTCGTCGCGACTCGTGCGCGCGCCGCGACGGTGCGGCTGCGATGCGGGCGACGAATCGCGTATCTGGAGAAAGGGATGGGTGCAGCGCAGGCTACGCGGACGCTGCTGGTGCTGCACGGCCTGGGATCGTCGCGACTCGCCAACATGCCAGGTGGGATCGAGTCTCTAAATCTGACAGCTGACATGGCACCGTGCGTTCAGATTCCCAAACCCCAGATGCTAAGTTCCCGGATTCATCACTCATCTCACCTTCGGATTGTCCATGCCTGCAGCAGCGACCTTTCCCACAGACTTTCGGTCCTTCTCTGGATTCCCACAGAATTTCTCTCTCCATTTTCCCCCTACCTTCTCACCAGGGGTGCCTGACAAGCTCCTCTGCTCCTTCGGGGTGCGGCTGGTGGCGATCGATCGTCCAGGCTACGGCCAGTCCGACCCTGCACCGGCCCTCTCACTGCACTCCTTCTGTGCGGACCTCGAGGAGTTGGCAGATCTGCTGGGCCTGGGGGCCAAGTGAGTGGGTACCTGCCAATGACGTGCAGGTGGGTGGGAAGTGAGAGTGTTCTGTGAGAGTGGGTGTCTTTCTAAATGCACTCCTTGTGTGCGGACCTCGAGCTGCTGGCAGACCTGCTGGGCTGGGCGTGGGGCGCAAGTGAGTGGATCGACTGGTAGTGACCAATTACATGCAGGTGGTGAGTGAAAGCGGTCAATGAGAGGCATACGCGAGAGTCGTTCCCCCGCGCACTCCTTGTGTTCGGAGCTTGAGGAGCTGGCGGATTTGCTCGCGTTGGGGCGCAGGTGAGTGGATCGACTAGTAGTGACCAATTGCATACAGGTGGTCAGAGAGTGAGTGCGGACTGTGTGTGCGGACCTTGAGGAGCTGGCGGATTGTCTTTCCTTGGGGCGCAAGTGAGTGGATTTACTAGGCGCGAGCAATATCGTTCGAGCGATTTCTTGTTTTTGCGTCGCCTCAAAAGTTTTTCCGCCATCCTCCGAATCCCAATCCATCTCCTCAGGTTCTACCTGTTGGGGTACTCAGCAGGAGGCGCGTATTGCTGGGCGGCAGCGCACTACATCCCCCACCGCATCCTGGGGATTGCCATGTGGGCGCCCTTCAGCTCGTTCTACTGGCAGGTGTGATTATAGCGGATATGGTGTCTGACTGGATGGTAGGTGTGACTGTACTGAAAGGTGGGTGTGATTGTACTGAAGAATAGGTATGGTGCGATTGAGATGTTCCATTCTATTGAAGAGTTGTGAATAGTCAAAATGCAGGGTGAGAAGTTTCATTGGGCAGGGGGGCTACTCAATCCACTTTTGTTACTCCCCTAACGTCTCTGTCAGATACATTGTCTGTAGTGAAAAAAGTGCCCCCCGTCGTTCCTTTCACTCCCCTAACTTCTCTCACTGCCTCTTCTTCCCTCCCACAGGGAATATCGGATCAGGACAGGGAGGCCATGTTCGCCGGCATGACGCCTCACTCCCCTCACTCCCCTCACTCCTCTCTCGCCTCACTCCCCTCTCTTAGCTTTCACCTCACTCCCCTCTCCTCATCCTCCCATCCCACAGGGAATATCGGAGCAGGACAGGGAGGCCATGTTCGCCGGCATGACGCCTCACTCCCGCCGCTCCCTCCGTCTCGGTCGCTACGCCCCGCTCTGGCTCATCCGCCTTTTCATCCGCAACTTCGTTGTTCCTTTTTCCGGTGAGTGTGTTTCCAGTGTGATTCTAGATGCTAGCAAAGAACTTACTGAGTCCAGTGTGTAAGCGCCCCGCTCTGGCACATCCGCCTTCTGTTCTCCTTCTGTTTCCTTCCCCTCCGTCTTCCCCCTTCCCCCTCCGCCCTTCTCTCAGGTCCCCTATGGCTGCAGCGTCTGCAGCACAGCCTCTCACACGCCGATCGCCAGTACCTGCTGCACCAACCACTGAATACCTTGGCATTATCATTCCTCACTCCAGCTTTTCCCTGCTCTTTTTGTTTTCCTGCCCCACACCCTCTCCCTCTCCCTCTCTCAGGTCCACTGTGGCTGCAGCGCCTACAGCACAGCCTCTCACACGCTGATCGCCAGTACCTGCTGCACCCGCAGGAGGCACCTTGGTAGTCCTATACTCCTCTTCCCCCTTACGCTTCCACCCTGCTCCCTCCTCTCCCCTCTCGCCTCCGCAACCCCTCGCCCCTCTCCCAGGTCCCCTATGGCTGCAGCGTCTGCAGCACAGCCTCTCACACGCTGATCGCCAGTACCTGCTGCACCAACCACTGAGGACCTCGGTATTCTTATAGCTCAATCCAGCCTTTTCCCTGCCGTTTTTTTCCCTAAGCCCTCCCCCACCCCCATTTACCCAGGTCCACTGTGGTTGCAGCATCTGCAGCACAGCCTCTCACACGCTGATTGCCAGTACCTGCTGCACCAACCACTGAATACCTTGGCATTATCATACCTCACTCCAGCTTTTCCCTGCTCTTTTTGTTTTCCTGCTCTTTTTGTTTTCCTGCCCCACACCCTCTCCCTCTCCCAGGTCCTTTATGGCTGCAGCGCCTGCAGCACAGCCTCTCACACGCCGATCGCCAGTACCTGCTGCACCCACAGGGGGCACAGGCGCTGCTGAACGACAATACCGAGTCGCTCCTTATGGGAGCGCACGGCGAGGGCATGGCCAAAGACGTTGAGGTTTTCAGCCGCCCCTGGCCCTTCCACATCCGCGATATTGGCTGCTTCAGTACTGCCCAAAAAAAAAAAAAAATCGACACTATCCGAGACTCTCTGTGCGAAACAACCGAGTCAACAACCGCAAATCCACTCTCCCCACCGTTCCTGGTGCACATATGGCATGGCACAGAGGACGTTTTGGTGCCTCTCTCGCTGCAGCAGTGGTTGCAGCAGCAGCTGCCGCATGTGGTGAGGCTGTATGAGCTGCCTGGGGAGGGCCACCTTTCCTGGTTCTGCCACCAGCCTCAGAACCACCACCAAGTGCTCGCCACTCTTTTCTCCCAGTAGTGTCAAGTGCTGGGAGCTCTTAGCCCACCTCTTGTATATCTGCCTGGCTGCAGCAGCAGCTGCCACATCTGGTGAAGCTGTATGAACTCCCTGGGGAGGGCCACCTGTCCTGGTTCTGCCACCAACCCCAGAACCACCACCAAGTGCTTGCTACTCTCTTCTCCCAATGGTGTCAAGTGCTGGTGGCTCAAGTAGATCCACCTCTTGTGGTTCTGCGACTATCCAAGCAACCACCATCAAGCGCCCGCGCTGCTCTCTTTTCTGCCTGTTGCAGTAGCAGCTGCCTAGTACAGAGTGTTCCATACATACACATGCATCTCTTGGTGGTTGTACCATTTGTACGACTACTGTACTGATCATTCATGCCTTTCTGTACTGTATGTTCCTTTTGCTTCACTGTGTTTTTGTGTTGCTTGCTTCTATCCTGTGTAGTGTATATACTCAAGTATTGTAAACTTGTCTCGTCCCCCCAGCCACATCCAAGTACCATGGCTATAAGCTTTATTCAAGAGGCTTCTACTGTAGTGCTGACTCCTGCATTACTTGCATGCATCACAAGCACTAGGACAGAACAGGTCACCTAAGAACTTGGTCTTCTGCAGGCAGCAATACCAAGGCGTCTCAAGAATGGCTTGCTGCAGTGCAGTGTCAGCAATGTTAGCAGACATGCAAGTGACAACTACCTGCCTTCTAGCTACCGTATCCAAAATGTCTCATGCAGGTCACAACAACCTTATGCAGTTTGAGAATACAGAACAATCTTAATATTTCTATAGAACAAAAACATACCAACGAGTGCAAGTTTGTCTCAGATCAGAACTGTCTTCTACACGTGACAGCCTTACACGCGTGATCAAAATCATCAATCACCCACAGCCGAGCCCCTCTCAGCAATGCAATCTTATCCTCCCTTTTCCCCGCAAAGGGAGGCACAATCACCGGAAGCAGCCACCCTTTCGGAACCCTCACCCCCTCCTGTGGCCCAAAGGGGATAGTCCCGGCTTCTTTGAAACTAACAGAATTACTTAGCACCTGTGCTGCTTGCTGCTGCTGCTGCCGGCTCCCCCCTCCCCCACATTCCACCTCCCCCACGTCAAAATTAACCACCATGCTGCCCGCAAGCACGTTGGTCAGCAGCGGGGTCCGCGCGCAAAAAAATTCCAGCTGCCCCCAAGCGGCAATGGTCGACGGCGAGGATCGCACGACGAGGAACGAGGAGCTGAAATCAACGGCGTCCAGACGGCCCCACATCTGAAAGCTCGGATCGACACGCGTGACAGTATCCGCTGCTAGCGGATCACCCCTCCATATAGTGTCAGCGTTCCCTATAGCCACATTGAAGCCGAGCGAAAGAGCGGTTAGAACTAACTGAACGTGTCGGGCAGTCCAATGGTTTCGTCCGCTCAATCTCCTGCTCCTACTGACTTCAACAGGGTCCTCTAACCCTCTCTTCCTCCTCACCTCATCCTCCTCTTCCTCTTCCTCCCCTCCATAGCCCGTAACACCCACAGGATTGCTCAAACCGTCATCACTACCATCCCCACTGCTGCTGCTGCTGCTGCTGCTGCTGCTGCTGCTGCTGCTGCTGCCACTGCGGCTAAAACCACCGTCCCCTTCCCATTCCCCCTCCTCCTTATCTTCTGCACTGGTGGAGGTATAGCCATCTGAGGTTGGATCATCCTTCCAAAACAGGCTGTCTATGCCAATGCTGGTGATGGTGCCTACACCCCCGAAACTAGTTCCACCTTCATCCGTACCCCCATTGCTGCTACTGCTACTGCTACTGCTGTTGCCACTGTTACTGCTATCACCAGCTCCTACTGCTGCTGACTCAGCACCATTGCTTCGCGCCAGGTGTCGCAAGACCCTGCGACGGGTGACAGGTGGCAGGTAGAAGACAGCATAGCCACGTGCTGCCAGCTCAGCTGCCAGCCTGGCGCACGGAACGATGAGGATGAGGTTGGAGACACCAGAGCCGTCGATGTGGCAGAGCCAGTTGTTGATGAGATCTCGACCGTCGAAAGGCACCACTATCAAAGACACATATTTCTCCTGAAGAGGCACGAGGAGAGAGCACGAGAAAGAGGACGGCAAGGGGGTTGAGTGGGAGACACATGGAGCGAAGGTAACATCGGAAGAAGGTCAAGTTGTCAACATATTTTGAAAAGGGATAGTTACTGGGTCTTTTGTTTTTATATACGATGCTGAGAGCCCAAATTCTATGCCCCTAAATTCTCTTTTCCTCCCAATCTTCCCCTCCATAACTTCCCTTCCCTCTCGTATCTTGCTCTACCCCTCTCTCCCACCCCCGAGGCTCACCGGAGCAACAGCATTCAGCAGGGAATGAAACTCCTCCAGCGTTTTCGCAGGTGGTAACCAGCGTAACTGCCGGAAACACAAATCATGCCGCTCCAACCTCCGTAGCACCGGGAGAGGCCGAACCCACCACGCCCTGATCGACCGAGCCCACGCTACATCCGCCCCTCCTGCTACAGCCCTCCCTGCCGCCCCTCCAGCTGTAGCGCCAGCAGCACCCCTCCCTGCCGCCCCTCCTGCTGAGCCAGACGCAGCAGAAGAAGACGCGGCAGCCAGGGCGGCAGCTAGCTTCTGGGGGGTCAAAAGGGCGGCATCAGCACCCCGGTTCTTCGGCATATTCGACCCTTTCTCCCGGTGCGAGATCGAGAGCGAAAGATTCCCGGGCGGCGAGGGGTAAAGATTGAACATACCCTTGGCATACGCCCATTTGATTATCCAGGGTGTCCAGAGGCGATTACCCTTGTTTTTGAACCAAACTGTGGTTTTTAGACCGTCGAGTGAGGGTTCTCGGGTGGAGTTGTAGCGTCGCATGTCATACCAGAGGCGAAACTGCTTCCAGGGGGCTGGGAGGAGGAACTGGCCCCATGTGCCGACTAGCTGGTAGAGAAAGGGGTCCGGATGGTCGTACACATTCAGCCCACTGTTGAAACCTGGGGAAGGGGGGGTGGGGAAGGGGGGTGTGACGGGGAGTGTGAATGGGAGAAATGGGGAAGAGAGACGGATGGGCTACACGAGCTGGTGAGAAAGGGGTCCGGATGGTCGTACACGTTCAGCCCGCTGTTGAAGCCTGGGGAAGGGGGGAGGCAGGGGAGGGGGGTTGGGGAGGGCACAAACAGGGAAGGAACACTGATGCAGAGAGGAGAGGAGAGGGATGGGTTACACGTGCTGGTAGAGGAAGGGGTCCGGATGGTCGTACACACTCAGCCCACTGTTGAAACCTGGGGAAGGGGGGGTGTGAAGGGGGTTGTGAATGGGAGAGGGATGGGCTACACGTGCTGGTACAGGAAAGGGTCGGAATGGCCATACACGTTAAGACCACTATTGAAGCCTGAGGGTTGGGTCTGTGGAGGGGGGGTGTGAAAGGGTGGTGTGATGTGGTCAAACGAGGAAAATGTGACTTTGAGGCGACTCATAAGCGGTTACTGAGGCCAATGTTGAAGCCATGTGGGGAGGGTTGTGATGGGGTAAACCAGGAAAGTGTTAATTGGAAGGGACAATGACACGGACAAGAAAGAAAGGGGGTATATCAATGCTCTGCTGCTGACGGATTTCCCACCATATCCCATCCCTCATCCCCCATCACCCCCACTCCCCCTTTCCCCACCACTCTGCATCCCCCATCCCCCATCCACCATCCCCACCATAACCACCATAACCACCATACACACCATCCCTCACATCATCACCCCCATCATTCCAATCATTCCCACCATCCCCACATAGCATACCTGCAATAAAGAACTGCCGTTGAAAGGAGACCCCATACACGCTCGGGTTGAAATTGGACGCGTTGAAGTAGTACACTCCAAGAAGCCGTTTCAAATATCGATAAAACAGCGGCGAAACCTCCATGTCATCCTCCACCACAAATGCCACGTCATTCACGCTCTCAGGCCACCACGACTCCAACCACTGCGGCTGAATCCCCATATTCTGGGATCGGTACAGTACACTTCTCGGTCCATGCGGCCACGTGAATTTATCCAACAGTGACAATAACGAATGAGCCACCGCAACGCGATCCGCCGCTCGTCTCGTCCAGGCGGACTTCCCCGACCGGTTACCAAACGTGTGGTCGACAAAAATATCTAGGGTTACCACGTCTCCGTCATACTCTGCACTCGCTAACGCTTTTAAGCAACGCGCTGCCACGTCAGGACGATCGTAAACCAGTACTTTGATATGCAGCCGGAATTGCGAAGGATCCACCCTCGCGCCGTTCGGACCCGGGAATAATCTCGCGAGGTTTCGCGGAAGCTGCCACGAAGGTCCCCTAAGAGGCGGCTCAGGTGCAAGAAGACCCCGCGAGCGTACCGAAGAGGAGGAGGAGGAAGAGGAGGAAGACATTGATGAATCCAAATGAGAGCCTGTCTGCAAGTTGATCGGTTCGTTACTAGGGTCAGCGCATGCCAATTGTCGGGTCTGCTCTTGACGGGTATGCTGGCGTCCCGGTTGCCGTTGCAGCTCGAGCCAGATTCGCAGCGCGGCCGACGCGACGAGGGCGATCAGGAAGACGAAGAGGAAGCGACCTCGACCAGCGCTTCCCGCCATGACTCCTGACGAGTTCTGACGATTCCTGACGATTCCTGACTATTCTCGACGATTCCTGACAATTCCTGATGGTTCGTACCCGCAACTACAAAGCAATCGATCCTATAGGTCGAGTCATAGAGTAATTAGGACGACGAGCAGGAAGACGCCTGGACCTGTGATTCCCGCCATGCGCCCAGGTCTCTCTACTCGAACAGGAAAACCATCACACGGGACGGGTAATGTTGAGCTGCGAAGCCCCGAGTTCAACTAAATTCCAGTATCAGTGCGAACGGTTCGACCTATCTTCGCCCCTATCCTCGCCTACCCTCAAGTATGACTTCGACTGAAAAAAAAACTATCACTGACAAGCCAGACGGTGACTGATCCGATCCGATCTGATCTCGATAATCAAGCGCCATTCTATACTAATTTCCTTGACATGAGTGGAAGGACTAATTACTGGTAATGTCACCGGAAGGCAGTTGTGCAAGTTCCTGAGACGCTGAAATGGCGATTACAACTAAACAAGCACCAGAATGAGCGACATAATTGGCGAATTATGGCTCAAAGCCTGTCCAGTGATAATGGATCAGACCCAGAGTGCAGTCGACTAAGCGATCAAGTCAATGAACGGCTAGTTTGGGCGACTTTCTAAGCTCTCTTTCACGACGAAATGTTAGAAACTGGTTACTAAAAACTCCAGTCATCATCAGCAGGCGAGGTAGTTCTTTCTTCCAACCGGCCTGCCTGCCAAATGTTAGGGATCTTCAGCAGGTGATTAGCGGTTCAAACAGGTGAAAAGGGCGAACCGCTCCAAACTGCACGTCGTCGTATTCCACCGTTTCACAGTGAGCTGAGCTCGTCTCGCGCACACAAACTAGCGGTCCAGCCAGCTCGCCGTCAATTTCAATGGCCGCAACCAAACTTTGGTTGGTTTACTTGCTCGATAAAACCAAGGTTGTGGTCGTCAGTGAAGTGGTTGGTGGGAGGGTCACTGTAGATCTCATAATCACTTTCAGGTATTTTTGAAGAAGCAAGACATAAGATGTCAAATGACACTAACATGGCGATGTATTGCTATCATTAGCCTGATACAATACAGGTGGGAACATTCATAAAATCATACGTTTTTTGGAGTCAGCTGCGAAAGGAGATGGGTGGACTGATGGAGTAAAGTGGTATACAACGGAAGATGATGGGATGGGATGGGATGGAGTGGCAGATAATGGAGGGGTGAAAGGGATGTATTTTATGGCTGCGCTGCTCACTTCCTACCTCGATACAAGCATGCATTCCTCCCAGATGACAATCATTTAACCCTGAATTGGCATCTCCAATCTGCATGTATTTGCCGCTGACTCAGTTAACAACGTCCACGATGACCCGGCGGGACTTGATGGGCGCCCAGCGCCAGCGCTTGTAGTAGATGGCCTGCAGCCACACAAGGGAGATGATGAAGATCCACTTCACCCCCATCTGCCATGGAAACAGAGGGGAGGAGAGGGCACACGTGGACAGGAGAGGGCACACATTGATCGCTTGTAGTAGATGGCCTGCAGTCAGACGAGGGAGATGATGAAGATCCACTTCACCCCCATCTGCAACGGAAACACGGGGGGGGGGGGAAGAGGGTACATGTGGACACATGTGGGTGAGAGGGCAAATGTAGTATTGAGACGTCTCAGGACTTGATGGGCGCCCAGCGCCACCGCTTATAGTAAACGGCCTGCAGCCACACGAGCGACAGGATAAAGATCCACTTCACCCCCATCTGCAATGACAAGGGCACACATGAGGGAGAGGGCACAGATGGGCCGGGAGGTGTTGTGAGAGGGCACAGATATTTAAGACTATTCAGCCGACTCAAAAGTCACGAGGGGGAGAAGGCTCAGGTGGGCACAGATACTTCAGCAACGACTTGGTGGGCCATCACCGTTCTCCACAACACCTCCACTTGTACCATGCATGCACAGAGTGCAGATTCCACACATCTCACATCACACCCCCTTCGAAGCCACCCACCAGCTTGCGTTCGTCCATCTCGGGTTCAGCAGCCCATGCAAGGAAAGTAACAACGTCCTTGGCCTGCTGGGACTCTGTGGCGGGCGTGCCATCCTCGTACTCCACACCGCTCCTTCTACCGTACACACACACACAGAGAATGCGTTTCCCCCTTCCTCCCACAGTCAACTCACCAGCTTGCGTTCATCCATCTCAGGCTCGGCGGCCCATGCGAGGAAGGTGACAACGTCCTTAGCCTGCTGGGACTCCGTGGCAGGTGTGCCATCCTTGTACTCGTTTGCATACCCTATTCAGCCCGGCATTTGCTATGCACCTAGGGTGCACTCACCAGCTTGCGCTCATCCATCTCAGGCTCGGCAGCCCATGCAAGGAAGGTGACAACGTCCTTAGCCTGCTGGGACTCTGTCGCTGGCGTGCCATCCTCGTACTCCACACCACCGTCGTTGAGCATCTTGGGCATGGCAATAGCGCCGCCCGGGAAGTACGGATTGTAGTGCAGGCCCTCACGCACCTGTGCACCCGAAGCATCCAGGGAGGAGAGATGAGGGTGGTGGGATGGGGGTGGAGGGATGGGGGTGGTCGTAGAGAGACAAGATGATGGTTTCTGCGTGAACTCCAATCCAAGGTCGTCGTTGAGCATCTTGGGCATTGTGATGGCGCCAACTGGGAAGTACGGGTTGTAGTGCAGGCCCTCTTGCACCTGTGCACACAGGGTGGAGGGATGAGGGTGGTGGTAGAGACAAGATGATGGTTTCTGCGTGAACTCCAACCCAAGGTCGTCGTTGAGCATCTTGATTCTTGGAAATCGTGATGGCACCGCCTGGAAAGTGAAGATTGTACTGCAGCCCGTCTCACTGTCTCACACCTGTGCACCCAAATCACCCAGAGTGAGCTAAAAAAAATAGCCGATTCATGATGAGGCTCCGCTAAGATCCACGAGCAGAAGGGGTGGAGAAATGAGGGTGGAGAGAGAACGTGAAGACATGCAGGAGGGAGAGGAGGGAGAGAAGGTGGGGAGAGGAGTGGGGAAGATGAAACCTCGAAATGGATGAGAGGAGAAGATTCTGTGTCCAGGGATGATCTTCATGGTATGGTACGTGCTTTGAGGTGACATTTGAGTCGAGGTGACTTTTGAGTCGAGGTGACTTTTGAGTCGAGGTGACTTTTGAGTCGAGGTGACTTTTGAGTCGAGGTGACTTTTGAGTCGAGGTGACTTTTGAGTCGAGGTGACTTTTGAGTCGAGGTGACTTTTGAGTCGAGGTGACTTTTGAGTCGACTCAAAAGCTTCTGTGTCCAGGGATGATCTTCATGGTATGATACGTGCTTTGAGATCCAGCTAGCATGCCCCAACGCCATTCCATCACAACCCAACAGCTGAATCATCTCACTGCTCGTATCATGGTAAAGGCATGGACACACACTCACCGAGATGCCAGCAGGGGGTTCGCGGTAGCCTGTGAGGAGCGAATAGATGTAGTTCTGCCCATCGTGGCGCGCCTGGGAATGGGAGGGTGGGGCGAGAGAAAAAAGCATCAATAAACACGAGTCAGTCAGACCTGGTAGCACGAGGGAGCTTGGACCGTGTCATAGATGTAGTTCTGCCTGTCGTGGTGCGCCTGGGAATGGGAGCGGGAGGGGGTGGGGAGGAAGGGAGAGCATACACGCGTCATTAAGCATGAGTTGACACAGTGGCACGTGGACACGTGGTCACACGAGGAGAGCATACACGTGGTTCTGCCTGTCATGGTAGAGTCAAGGTTAGCGAGCACGTGAGAGAGAGGGGGAGTAAAAAGGGGGGGCTGAGAGATTGGTTGCTGCGGTGCGGGTTGCTCGTGAAAATGGGATAATGGAAGGGGGGTGTGAGGGGAGCGGGCGGGTGGAAGAAAAGGGTTGAAGCTGTAGCACAGCAGGTACCTTGCTGATCAGGCTGAGAACCGGAGGGTACCCTCCGCCAGTCGGGAACCAAGCAATCACTCTGTGAGTCGACTCAAAAGGCAAAAGGGGAAGGGGGGTGGAAGAGGAGGAGGGAGGGGGGGGTGGCAGCACCGTACCTTGCTGATCAGGCTGAGGTCCGGAGGGTAAGCTCCGCCATTCGCGAACCGCGCGCCCTGCTCATTCGCGTACGGATTCGGGAGCTTATCCGAGGGCTTCCCCGGGCGGAGGAACATCTCGCCCTCGTCGTTGGGCCCGTCCTCCACCTCCACCTCGGCGGCGAGCGCCTTGACCTCGTCCTCCGTGTACGCCACTCCGATCAGATCGCGGTACGACACGAGCGACATGCTGTGGCACGTCGCGCACACCTGCTGGTACACCTGGTGCCCGCGCCGGATGCTGGGAAGGGAGGGGAGAGGGGGCGGAGGGGGGGGAGGGGGACGGGGACGGGGACGGGGAGTGGGAGGGGATAGAGGGAGAGGGAAGATATTGCAGAGTGCTGCTTACTATGTATGGTAACAGGAGCTGCAGATGCTGCAGATGATGTAGGTGCTTACAGCGGGTATGCATACAGTAAATGTGCTTATAGTGCTCATAACAGGCGTGCGTACAGCAAGCATCGTTATGCAGACTCCTTACGAGGCATGGTCGTAGGAGCTGAAGTTGACGTGGGTGCTTATAGCGGGGTATGCATACATTGAATGTGCTTATAACAGGCGTGCCTGCAATTGACACCCTTACGAGGCATGGTCGTAGACTACTCACCAGGCGTGCTTACAGCACGCGTGTTGCATGAGACACCACTCACTGCAGCAATTGACACCCTTACGAGGCATGGTCGTAGGAGCTGAAGATGCCGTCGTGGGACCACGGGTACGCATACAGTGATTGTGCTTATACCAAGAGTGCTTACAGTGAAGGCGTGTTTGTGTGTGCGAATACTCACGACGCATGGTCGTAGGAGCTGAAGATGCCGTCGTGGGACCACGGGTACGCAGGAGCGTGAAGCCCGTGCTCCGCCTCGTCAGCGCGTGCCACGTCAGCGAGAGCCGCCACGCCTAGCACCGCGCCGCCCACTGCCCCTGTGGCGCGCAGCAGCTTCCACGTCAGCGAGTCGTTCGCCGTGTTCTCATTGCCGGCTGCTGACGCGGCGGCCACAGCCGGTGCGCTGGTGCTGAATGGCTGAAGGAACGGCGAGAGATGTCAGGGGAATCAGTTTTGGAAAAGAAGAAGAAGAAAAATATCAGATAGAACTTAAGCCGAACGGGATGCAGAGCTATTTCTGGAAGGATGATAGGATCATCAAAGTAGAGACAGACAGTTATGGACGGAAACCAGGGAGTCGTTCTTTAAGGCTCGGAAGGACGTGGACGGATCACCAACAAAGGGAGTTACGGACAAAGCTTCCAAACAGGGTCGCAATGCGCTTTGACAGTAACGTGCCAGCAAGATAACGAGCTCAGCAACATAATGAGCAAGATCAACGGCGAAGAACGATCGAGCGATGGAAAGTGGATCTGGAGCCCAGCGAGATCAACAGGGATGCGTAGATCGCAGGGAACGACGGGATGCACGGTTGTCTTAAAGATTCTTGATCGCTTGTATGTCGGGAAAACGGGCTGCTTGCTACGAGAGTCTAGATGAAAGAGGCACGCAGATCCAGGATGACTCTTAAGCTGACTCAGAAGTCAGGCGGCTTGTGTGGGGATCTGGATGACCGAGACACGCAGATCCGAGCCGCAGATCCGAAACCGTGACGATCCCAATGCTGCATTTCGCGAGCTATGGAGTATAGTGGGCATCGAGTGCTAATGAGTAATAAGCGCGGTTTTTTTTTGCCGGGACGAGAGGGAAAATACCATCGTCGGTATAAGATCTTTCGTGACAAAGGACGAATAGTTGAGTACGTGTCGGCAAGCAAAAGCTTCGCGTCAGAGCACGGCGTTGCGACGTGGTTACCAAGTTACCTTGCACGCCTTCTCTGCGATCGATCCTCCCTGGCCGCGGGCCAAGGAGCGCGCGAGAACCGCTGCTCGACCCAACATGCTGCGGTCCGAAAATAACTCGCACCGCGGTGACTTGGTCGACGGGGTAGCGAGAGATTAGGGACGAGGAACCCCTAAAAGGTGGAAAGTATTGTGTGACTGATGCTAGGGCACAACACGCCTAGTGAATGGGGTGAGGGGAAAACAGGTAAGGATGATGGCGGAAGTGTGAGCGGGGAGATAGCAAACTTTGCGCAATTGGAAAGTATATATCTCTCTAGTCTGGAAGGAACGTGATGTTACTACAGATAAGCACTGCTGCGAGAAACTGTATATCGGGTATTATGTCAACACCCTCCCCTCCACATCCCACGCGCCACGTCTCTCCTCCACTCCGTCAACCTTGGGAACTACACGCAGACGGGATTCGTTGACAAGGGCTGTACTTGGAAGGCATGTTTTTTTGTGCGTCAGTACAGGGCTGACGTTTGGCCCAGGATTTCTTCTGAACCACACCAAACCTCCTGTTCTCGATCGGGTACCGAACAGAGCTACAAGCAGACGGAGACGGTTTCAGTCAGCATATTGGGGTGAAGCTGACGTTTCCAGTTTTAGCACTCTCCAAACCAACCCTCCCTCCAGTCATTCCATGATCCACCCATCACCCACACCCTTCGCTTCCCTCGCCTCTGGATTCGTTCCACGGCCGAGATTTTCCTCCATTTATCGTCCCCCACACGCATTTGCTCAACACTCTCGCCAGACACCAGTGTTTTTCGCACTTCACCTTTCCGCATACCTCCGTTTTTATCCTTTTCCTTTCTGGATCGTGGTTCCGTTTCCGCCGTCGTGACCTGCTCTCTGGTCAAATTCCCGCTTTTCACGCATGTGATTGCGTTCTGTGTTCGAGATTCCAGCCTCCAAAATAGAAGCCGTTATGGCTCGGCAGGCGAAGCGAGCTAAAGTGGAGCCAAGCGCGTCGGCTGGCGAAAATGAAGACTTCGTTGAGGTGGTAACTGTCGAGACTAGCTCGGCTCGCAGGCAATCCACGAGGCAGAGGCGACCGCCATTGAAGCTAGAATGCGGACTCGCGGGTTTTGAATCTTCAGGTGCAAAGCGGGAGACTTCAGCAGCGAAGGACAGCAATGGAGCAGGAATTAAAACAGCCCGGCTGGCGGATCAAGAGCTAAAGCAGGAGTCTGGCGGGAAGAAGCAGGCGAATCCGGCGAAGATGAAAGGCCTTTCGGCAAAGTTGAAGGCGAAAGATACAGTTGTAACATCTTTGTCGTCATTTCGCTGGGCGAGCGACATGGTGGACGCGGATTCGAAATCCGGCGAAGCATTGTCCGAAGTGGAAGAAGTAGCATCTGATTCGGACGACAGTTGGGCTGCTACCGATTTGGAAGAGGATAACGAATGTGCTCTTAGCGAGGACGAGGAGGAACAGGATCGCGGGTTTTCGGGAGTGAAGGAAGTTGATCCGTTGGATGTAAACGGCTTCAGTGAAGACAATGATAGGTCATCGTGGGAGGATGAAGAGGTTGAGAACGATGAGGAGAACGCGGATGGGGTTGATCCAGATGAGATGAAGCGGTGTCATAAGGGTGTGACCACGCGAGCAGGGAAGAACAAGAGGAAGCAGGAGGAGGAAGAGGAGCAGGAGGTTGCGAGTTTACCATCTGAAGAGGAGGAGGAGGAGGAGGAAGAAGAAGAAGAAGCAGATGAGGATGTGGCGCTGAGCGTTCGAGCAAAGCGGGCGTGGATAAACATGAAGAAATGCAGCAATGGCGATCAGAAGAAATCCCAAAAACAGCAAAAACGGCAAGATAAGAAGCGGAAACGGGCGGCAAAGGCAGCAGCGTGGGTGCGGCCAGTGCATTTAGAGGGCGAGGAGGTGGAAGAAGAGCGGATGGTGGAGTGGGAGAGGGATCTAGCGGCGTGCAATAGCGGGGAGGTGACGCCACAACAGCTTGTGGAGAAGAGGGAGAGGCCGAGGGAGCAAGAGCCTGCTCCTGATATTCTCATGCCGCTGCTGCCGTTCCAGAAGGAGTGGCTTGCGTGGAGCCTCAAGCAGGTATGGGTGTTACCGAGCCTCAATTCACAGCTTCCCTCTATGTTACCTGTCTATTAATGTGTTTTCGCACTGTCAATACTATGCCATTGTCGATACGATTGGTCTTGCCCTTTTTTTTATGTATTATGTGTCTCCTCAATGTGATGTGGTGTATTCATCATTCTTTGAACGTGTTTTTACCATGTATTTAGCGTGTACTTATCATGTATTCATCTGTCTGTATCAGGAACAAGGTCCCATCAAGGGCGGCATCTTAGCAGACGAGATGGGCATGGGGAAGACCATCCAAGCCATCTCCCTTATAGTCACCAGCCGTCACCTACAGTCACACGCCCCTGCTGTCACCCCAGTGCTGCCTCAGCCACTGCCACCATCAACAGCCGCTGCTGATGATGTCGCTGCACAAGCCACGGCTGGCAATCCAGGTTCATCCGGGGGAGGTGCATCTGAGCCGGAGAGGCCAGCAGTGAAGGCAACGCTCGTGATATGCCCGCTCATCGCAGTGCTGCAGTGGCGGCAGGAGATTGCTCGCTTCACTCGCCCAGACAGTGTCAAGGTGGGTGACTGGGGGTTGAACCTAGCGTTAAGGTAAGTGACAGGGGTTGTTTCTGAGATTTTTCAAAGGTGCTGCAGTGGCGGCAGGAGATCGCTCACTTCACTCGTTCAGACAGTGTCAAGGTGGGTGACTGGAGGTTGAAAACAGTGTTAATGTGGGTGGCTAGGGGTTGCTTCTGAGAATCCTCAAACGTGCTGCAGTAGTGGCAGGAGATTGCTCGCTTCACTCGCCCAGACAGCGTTAAGGTGGGTAGCGGGGTTTAAGTGGAGTCCGTCCTTCCTCTTCGTGAGATTTCCTGGCTCGCACCTGACTGTTGAGCCCATGGGAGGTGCATGATGCATCTGGGTGAGTCTGAGAGGCCACCAGTGAGGGCAACGCTTGTGTTCTGCCCGCTAGTGGCGGTGCTGCAGTGGCGGCAGGAGATCGCTCGCTTCACTCGCCCAGACAGCGTTAAGGTGGGTGACGTGGGGTTGAACCCGCCGTTTAGGTGGGTCGAACGAACTCTTTCTTCTCCTGGCCCATAACCGATACCTTGCTCACCACTTTCTTCATTGTTATTCCCCCATTCCCATCTGTATGGAATGCTGATGATCAAACCCTTGAACAGGTGCTGGTGTATCACGGTCCCAAGCGAGCAATCAGCGTGAAGGATTTAGAGGAGTATGATGTGGTTCTAACCACCTTCTCCATTGTGGAGTCTGAAATGCGGGCAGCTGTCTTCCCCTCAAAGGTCCCCTGCCAGTGGTGCGAGAGAAAGTTTTTTCCTGACCGGCTGGAGATCCACCAAAAGTATTTCTGCGGTCCGAATGCGAAGAGGACGGCCAAGCAGGCGAAGCAGCAGAAGAAGCTGCCGAGAAGCTTCAAGGGGATAGGTGAAGGGGGGAAGGGTGCGAAAGGTGGAAGTTTTATGAAAGGGAAGAAAAAAAGGATTGGGGATGATGAGAGTGACAGTGACTACGAGGAAGAGGAGGAGGATGAGGATGAGGAGGCGGGGATTTGGAAGGGAAAAGGAAGAAACCTGGGTCGAGGAAAACGCAAGGACAAAGGCAAGGAAAAGGAAATTGGGAAGGGAAAGGGAAAGGCCGTGGATGTATCGGGCAAGGGCAAAGGCAAAATGGATGATGACGATGATAGTGATGACTCTGACGGAGATGGTGATGGTGATGATGATGGCAATGGTGCTGGCGGGAGCAGTGGCGTTGCAGCCACAGCTGGCCAAGCGAACGCATTAAAGAGGAAGAAACCCCCAGGGAAGGCAGCACCAGCGTCAGTGCTGCACTTGGTGCGATGGCGGAAGATCGTTCTAGACGAGGCACACAGCATCAAGGACCGCCGCTGCAACACGGCCCGAGCTGTCTTTGGCCTCTGCTCCGACTTCAAGTGGGCGCTCAGCGGCACGCCCCTGCAGAACCGCGTCGGGGAGCTCTACTCGCTCATCCGCTTCCTGCAGATCGACCCTTACTCCTACTACTTTTGCAGGCATTGCGACTGCCAGTCCCTCGACCACAAGTGAGTGGTAGACGTGCGTATGGGGAGAGCAGAGCAGGCTCATTTGTAGTGCCCTTGTGCTTGCAGCATCCTGACCGCACCCTGCACACAATCGCAAGTGTGACTAATGCGTGGTTCTGCTCATATCTGCAAGCCATGACTTGTTTAATTTCCTTTTCTAGCTGCTCCTGCGGGCCTGCTCGTGCATGGCTGCTCGTGCATGGCTGTGTGTGCATGGCTGCTCGTGCATGGCTGCTCGTGCATGGCTGTGTGTGCATGGCTGCTCTGCTCGTGCATGGCTGTTTGTGCATGGCTGCTCTGTTTGTGCATGGCTGTTTGTGCATGGCTGTGTGTGCATGGCTGCTCGTACATGGCTGTGTGTGCATGGCTGCTCGTACATGGCTGTTTGTGCCTTCCCTAAAACCCTTTCTGGCAGGTTCTCTGCACACAATCGCAAGTGCGACCAGTGCATGGTCCCTTTTGCGTCTGCAAGCCATGATTTGGCTCAAAATTTCCTTGTTCGTGCCTGTTTGTTTGTGCCTGTTTCTGCCTTCCCTAAAACCCTTTTTGGCAGGTTCTCTGCACACAATCGCAAGTGCGACCAGTGCGGCCACTCCCCATTGGTCCATTTCTGCTGGTGGAACAAGGCAAGGAACACTTTTCGGTTCTTTACCATGCGTGCACAGATAATGAAACGCATTTCACACACCCAATCAGAAGGTGGCAAATGCCTGTGACTTTGTTGCACATCCCATCCTCCTGTAGTGAATTGCAGGTTGTTTTTAAGGATTCTAAAAAACAACCAGCAAATGCCTGTGACTTTGTTGCGCATCCTCTTGTAGTGAATTCCCCTTGTCCCTCCCAACCCAACTTCCACTCTCTGACCCTCCCAGTTCGTGGCGAACCCCATAATGAAGCATGGGTACGGCGGCGATGGCAGGAGGGCGATGCTGCTGCTCAAGCACCGCGTGCTCGGCCGCGTTCTCCTGCGCCGCACCAAGACCGAACGGGCGGCGGACCTTACTTTGCCGCCCAGAACTGTGAGTGCTGGCCGCAAGCTTATGTGAGAAACGCACGTTGGTTTGTTTTTTTTTGGAACAACTTCGCTGTTGACTGTGTTTTGTCCCCTAAATCTGCATTTTTCTTGCCAAGGAAGATAAGGCAAGTTGCCTTCTTGAGAGTTCTCAATAACCCTAAACCCTAAACTAGCCTTGTTTGTTTCCGCCACTGGCCTGTCCGCTCGCCTTTGTTTTTCTATAGCAAATTGTGCGCTTTCGGCAATAAAAGATACGGCCTCTATTGTCTAAGCGTTAAAGTTTTACTCAGTTGCGTGACAGTGACAGTGACAGTGACAGTGACACTCCAAGGCCCCCACACTGGCCTTCCCCCTTCCGCCGCCCCCCGTCCCTTCTTCCTCAGGCCACGCTGCGGAGAGACATATTTGACGCGCGGGAGGAGGATTTCTGAGTCCGCTAAAGAATCTCCTCCGTCCCCCGTTCCCCCCCCCCCCCGTCCTTTCTTCCCCAGGCCACGCTGCGGAGAGACAGATTTGACGCGCGGGAGGAGGATTTCTGAGTCCGTTGAAGAATCACCTCCGTCCCCCGTTTCCCCGCCCCCCGTCCTTTCTCCCCAGGCCATGCTGCGGAGAGACACATTTGACGCGCGGGAGGAGGATTTCTACGAGGCGCTTTATACCCAGAGCCAATCACAATTCGCCACGTCAGTCCCTACCCAACCACAACCCCATGCATGATATTCATACAGGTTGTGTGTTCTGTGATGTGTGCTGTTTGCTCGACCCGCATCCCTTACCTTCCATCTGTGCTTGTTCACTGTTTGCCACGCATGGTCTTCTGAGATTTCTCAAAAGTGTGATGGCACAACATTGTAGTGCACATTTCCCACGTTGTCGCATCTTGCCGCATAGGTGGTTGCAAAAGAGACTCTAAAGTGGTGGCCCACCATTGAACAGTGCTGCTGGGCACTCCCTGTGTGTCTCATGGGATGTATACGTAAATTTCCGTTTTTTTCAATGCTCCCTGCTGCCTGCCTCCCTGCTCCCGCCCTGCCTCCTATCCCCCAGATACGTCGACACGGGAACCCTTCTCAACAACTACGCGCACATATTCGATCTGCTCATCCGCCTGCGCCAGGCTGTCGACCATCCCTACCTCGTTGTGCACTCCGCCTCCCACAACACTGCTGCTGCCGCTGGGTGCTAACTCCTCTGCTGCCGCTGCTGCTTCAGCTGCCACTGGTGCTACTGGTGCTGTTGCTAATGCTCCTGCTGCTGCCTGCCTCCCTGCCCCCCCCTGCCTCCCTCCCTCCCCCCAGCTACGTGGACACGGGCACCCTACTGAACAACTACGCGCACATATTCGATCTGCTCATCCGCCTGCGCCAGGCAGTGGACCATCCCTACCTTGTTGTTCACTCCGCCTCCCACAACACTGCTGCTGCCGCCGCCGCCGCCACCGCTTCGACTGCTGCTGCCACTGCTGCTGCTCCGTCAGCTGTTTCTGAAAGGACAGGACTAGGGGCGAAGGATGGGGGAGTTGAAGGAGGAGGGGGGGAAGTGGGCTTTGGAGGAGGAGAAGGGGAAAAGGAGGGGGAGAGAGTGGAGGAAAGAGAGGACGCAAGTGTGTGTGGCATCTGCTGTGACTATGCAGAGGACCCCGTGGTATGTCAGTTGATTCAGTGTTGTTAACCTTTTTTTGTATCATGCATTGCTACCCCCATCGGTGTTTCTGCTTGCTATGGTCAGCACAATCAGACGCTTCTAGAGGCGTATCAAAAGCATCGGATGGAGCTTAACCGAGGTGATTGTTTTTTACTGCTATTTTGTAAGCACCGTGCTTTTGTAACCCTCGTCCTGCCTTTTCCACCTCTCACTCACCCACCAACCCACGCACACTCAAACCCCGTTTGATGTGCCGCTCCAGGTGTCGCGGTGCCAGCACACCTTCTGTCGCGGCTGCATCACAGATCTCATAGCAGCACATAGCAGCAGCAACGGCGGTGGCGGCGGCGGCGTTAACACCAACAGCACCAATGATGGCATGAGCAGCAGCGGCAGGGGGGTGTTGGAGTGCCCTGTGTGCTCTGCTCCCCTCACTGTCGATCTCAGCTCCCCCTCTCCGGCCTCTCCCCCTGAAAGCACTGCGAATGGGGGGAGAGCGGGTAGTTCACGGGGGAAGGGGAACGGGGGAGGGGGGGACGGTGGCGGTGTGGCTGGGGAAGGGGGTGTGTGGGGCGGTGGGGATGGAGGGAAAGAGAAGGGGAGAGAGGGAGGCCGGTTGGCAGGAGGGGTGGTGCGGGCGAGAGGGAGCATTCTGAGTCGGATGGACTTGTCACGGTTCCAGAGCAGCACCAAGATTGAAGCGCTGGTGAGGCTCGGATGGGGTGCTCTTTCTTGTGTGCTTTCCCTGTCCGGACTTTATCTCCCTGCCCTTTATTGCAATTTCTGTGAGAATTCTCAAAAGGGGTTCCAAGATTGAAGCTCTGGTGAGGCTCGGATCCAGGTGCTCTCTTCTTGCTCCCGTACTCCCGTTGCTGGACTTCCCTTACCCTGCTCCGCTTCCTCCTCATCTGAGACATTGAGGGCCAGGTGTCAACTTCCTGTCGGTATTCATGCGGTTTCATGTGGTGAACAGCCACTCTCTGAATGTCGTCTCGCTGTCTTCATGGTTTTGTTTTGTCGTGATTGTCATGACATGGCGTGGCATGGCATGGCATAACATGGTATGGCATGGTATGGCATGCATGGTGTGGCATGGCATGGCATGGCACGGGATGGGATGGGATGGGATGGGATGGGATGGGATGGGATGGGATGGGTTGGGATGGGATGGGATGGGATGGGATGGGATGGGATGGCATGGCATGGCATGGCATGGCATGGCACGGCACGGCACGGCACGGCACGGCACGGCACGGCACGGCACGGCACGGCACGGCACGGCACGGCACGGCACGGCACGGCACGGCACGGCACGGCACGGACGGGACGGGACGGGACGGGACGGGACGGGACGGGACGGGACGGGACGGGACGGGACGGGACGGGACGGGATGGGATGGGATGGCATGGCATGGCATGGCATGGCATGGCATGGCATGGCATGGCATGGCATGATGGCAGAGGGAGGAGCTGGACGGGATGGTACAGAGGGACCCAGGCTAAAGCCCTCGTGTTCAACCAGTTGTGTGCCATGGGATTCAATGTACCTTGTTGTCTTTTTTCTCTGTACCAACATTGACACGGCATCATGGCACGGTGGCAGAGGGAGGAGCTGGACGGCATGGTACAGAGGGATCCAGGCGCCAAGGCGCTCGTGTTCAGCCAGTTCACGTCCATGCTCGACCTCATTGCATACCGCCTGCACCAGGTGCGCCCTGCACCTCATTGCATACCGCCTGCACCAGGTGCGCCCTGCACCTCATTGCATACCGCCTGCACCAGGTGCGCCCTGCACCTCATTGCATACAGCCTGCAACAGGTGCGACTTGCACCTCATTGCATACCGCCTGCAACAGGTGCGACTTTTAATGCATATTCCGCCTGCACCAGGTGCACCTTTTAATGCATATTCCGCCTGCACCAGGTGCACCTTTTAACGCATATTCCGCCTGCACCAGGTACAACCTCTAATTGCATACCGCCTGCACCAGTACACCTCGGCTCGTTGTGCTGCCACCTCTCTACCTCGATCCCTCCCTACTTGTGCCTCCCCCCCCTGGTTGCGTGCTGGTGGTTGTGTGAAGTCGGACGGCATGTGTGCCCTGGTTCCCTGACTGTCGCCTCTCTTAAGAACCGTGCCACACACCTCCCAATCTCTGCTCCTCCGCTCCTCCTCGCCCCTACACTCCTGCTTACTCGCAGGTGGGAGTGCGGTGTGTGAAGCTGGATGGCAGCATGACAATGGACGCTCGGGATCGCATCATATCCACCTTCACTCGCGATGCTGACTGCAGGGTGAGATCATCTTCTGTCCTTCTCCTGCCGCTAGTGTGATGTTGGTATTTTCTGTGAACAAAAAAAAACTTCTGGAAAGAAAGAGCCAAAAGCTATTAGTCCAACCTTGCTCATCTCTTCATCTTTGCTCTGTGCTGGTATTGTTGGGGCTTCCTTTCTGATATTCTTTTGCCCTCCTCTTTTTTTTCTCCATCTTCCCAGTTTCCGTCTCCCAGTTTGTCCTCTCGTTGCCCTTTCTCCTCCTCCCCCTACTTCTCCTCACTACTCTTCTCTTCTCTCCTCCTCCTCTCTCCTCCCCATTGTTGACCATCAGGTGTTCCTCACGAGTCTTAATGCAGAATCGTCTCACTTCTCCCTCTTCCTCCTCTCTCTCCTTCCCTCACCTACCATCAGGTGTTCCTCATGAGTCTCAAGGCGGGAGGAGTGGCACTCAACCTCACTGTCGCCTCCCACGTGAGTCACAGCACTGGTCTTGTTGACTAAGTCTCGAGGATTTTCAAGCATACCTGAAGGAGTTATTAACGTTGAGGAAGGAAGATTTTCCAGTGCCTCAGGGAGTGCCAACCTGCGCTGTTAATGGACCCCTGATGGAGCCTTTTGAGCCGACTCAAAAGTCAAAAGTCACCTTTTGAGCCGACTCAAAAGTCAAAAGTCACCTTTTGAGCCGACTCAAAAGTCAAGTCACCTTGAGGAAGATTTTTCAGTGCCTTAGGGAGTGCCAACCTGTGCTGTTAATGGACCCCTGATGGAGCCAATCCCAACCCGTGAACCCCGAAGTTGAAACCCCTGCTTCTGTTCCCTGACGCAGGTCTTTCTGATGGACCCCTGGTGGATTCCTGCTGTGGAGCAGCAAGCAACTTTCGAGGCGGCTTAATAACAGTTTCTGTCCGCACACACCCTCGCACCCCCCTCCCCCCTCTCTCTAATGCAGGTCTTTCTGATGGACCCCTGGTGGAACCCTGCTCTGTAAGAGCAGCACGTGGCTTGAACTGCCCGAGCTCACTCTGAAACCAACTGTGTCCACTCCCTCACATCCCGCACCTCCTTGTTCTCCTCACGCAGGTCTTTCTGATGGGCCCCTGGTGGAACCCTGCTGTGGAGCAGCAAGCAACTCTTGAGGCGCCTTCAAAACAAATCTTGCCCACACCTTCGCATCTCCCCCCTCTTCTCCCTCCGCTTCCCCTATTTTACTCGCATGCAGGTCTTTCTGATGGACCCCTGGTGGAACCCTGCTGTGGAGCAGCAAGCGCAGGACAGGATCCACAGGCTCGGGCAGTTCAAGCCTGTCAGGTAGGCTCGGCACTCGGCAATATCTAAGGGTACACACAAGGCAATCTTGTCCACGAGCATGTGAGTGAGGTTTCATGACTGAGACATGTTTATCAGCGAGCGAGACGACTTTTGAGATGTTTCAAAAGTCCACTGAGGTTTCATGACTGCGACATTGTTTTTAGTAGCGATTGAGACCTCTGGGAGCTTGTGAGGGTGTGAAACAATACCCGTGGAACAGGTGACGCCCATAGTGCCATATGTGTGTCTATTTTCGAGGCGCCTCAAGAGGTTGTTGGTCATGGTCTAGATGGTGTTCATGGTGTGTGTCTCTATTCCCTTCTGTTCCCTCTGCCCTTGCATGCCCCCACCCACCCATTATATTTTTCTAGCCTGCTTCCACAACTTCATATTCCCAACCACATTTGTCCCCTCCGTGTTGCATCCTCTGTACAGAGTAACTCGTTTTGTGATAGCAGGCACCATAGAGGAGCGCATCATAAAGCTGCAGGAGAAGAAGCAACTGGTGTTTGATGGGTGAGTTGACTGCCCTCATGGTACTATCTTCTGATGGAAGCAGGCAACATGTGGTGGATTAGATGGCATTGGCGGATTGAACTTTCTCTGCGTGGGGCTGTCTCTGGCCATCTTCTTTCTTCTGTGTTCTTCTCTTCCTTTCAAATCTTTCTGCTCCTTATTGGCCTCTGTTCTGGCTGACCTGATGAGCTGTCCATAGCAACATCAAGAGAGCTCCCATCCATCATCCCATCGCCACCCCACTTCCCCTCCCCCCAACCCCCCCTCTTCTGCGTGTAACTCCTGTGCAGCACGGTGGGAGGATCATCAGAGGCATTGGGACGGCTCACAGAGGACGATCTGCGCTTCCTCTTCACCAACTGAGTTGACTTTCAGTTGACTCAAAATTCGGCCTGCTGCAATCATCTGCACTGCAGCACCGTGGGAGGTTCATCCGAGGCATTGGGGCGGCTCACAGAGGATGATCTGCGCTTCCTCTTCATTAACTGATGCGTTATCCTTCTCATTCAGGCTAAAAGGCGATTTGTACAGGGGTTTTGGGCAATAATGGTACAGTGCTACGAGCTCCCAAGTCAATAGGAGGATCACGTTTCTAAGGTGTGAGCTTGTACACGAATGTACCCCTAGGGATACGATAGTGAGCGACTCTTCGTCTCTGTCATCCTGTGCTCCTAGTTTTGCTCGGCCCGATATCGGCGCAATGAACGCCATACACAGCACATGGCTGCTATGTGCTCGAATGTGGGAGTCATGCAGTTCAGTATATTGTTGAATACAGCACTTCGTGGGAACACATACCAGAAATCAGTACGTCACTCCCCACCACATATACTACCGTCATCGTCCGGATAGTAGACAGTGTTGAATAGTAGACAGGGGTTGTCTATTATCCGGGTGTCTCTTATAAACAGGCTAGCCTCATTATAAGACACCTATTTGTGTGTACGAGATAAGACATACGGTATGTGTCTTATAATCGAAACTGCAATATATTATAGTGAAACTTGAAATACCGCGTACATTTTTACCCTTGCGATGCGCGGATTCTTCCACGTGCTGACTCAGGTACTACCAAATTTGCCACTGCACGTATTTTCCATGATGTAGCTTCCCGAACAATGGTTGCCGAAGTGGCACCTTCGCAACATCCACACTCATTATGAGAAACTCTTTTCAAGATGTGTGAAACAAATATTAAGTAGTTTAAAAAGTTCCCATTTATAAGACTTATAAGACACCCAAAACCTCCCCAAATACAAGATAACCCAAGCATTTTTTCTAGTGTACGAGATAAGACATATATGTCTTATATCCGGGCGATGACGGTAGTACCAGCTGCATTCCAATCTAGACTACTCCGTTCGGCCTTGCAGTGACTCTTGTCGCGATCCATGGGGGACAAGAGGATTCGCCGAGAGGATTATTCCGTCGTTATCAGCGTAGCACCAGTCGCCTGGGTACACCATAACCCCCTGGACTTTCACAGGAACGTTCCTCTCCCCTTGCCCTTTCTTCACGCTCTTCACAGGACACGTGGCAAGTCCTCGCACGTCCACGTTGCACCCCCGAATCTCGTCCACGTCACGCACGCACCCGCTGACAAAAACGCCCGCCCAGCCGCTCTTCGCCGCCTCGACCGCCAGATTGCCGCCCAGTAACGCGCAGCGCCTGCTTCCTCCACCGTCGATTATTAAGATCTGCGATTCGCCAGGCTGTTCGACCTCGGAGCGCACTAAGGTGTTATCTTCAAACAACTTTAAAGTGACGACTCGGCCGCACGACGCGGTTCGGCCGCCGTAAGAAACGAGGCCTGGTTCTAAAACGCGGATTTCGCCTCGCATGACCGCGTCGTGATTGTCGTCGCACAGGTCGCACGTGGCGAAACTCATAGTCACAGAGCGAGGAGACGAAACGCAAACGCGTGAAACAGGAATCGAGGGTGCGTAACCTGGTAACCACGTTGTGTCTATGTACGAGTCAGGCGAGAGGTAGAGGGGGTCGCAAGAGCAGTGACGTCGCCTCAAGCCAAGCGCGATGACAACAGCCGACCAGCACTCACTACGATGAATGCGTAGTACTACTACTGCGATTCGCGGGACACGTACAGCTGCGGTCACTGGAGTTTCCTAGCACTCAGTTATGAATGTGCTAGAGCAGTATAAAGCTGATTCCGTAGAGGTGTCTCCTAGAACGTGATTTCGGCTGCCACATATTTGAAGCTGATTTCAAAGTCGTCCGTAATTGGGCTTCTTCTGCAGCCAGAAAGGTGAGGATGGAATTGTAAGGGATGAGGAGAAATGCGGTCAGGTATAGTGTAGTTCAAACCCTTGATCATGGTTGCAGGAATAGGTTCGGATTGGCCGAGGTGGTTCGAAGCGTGAGTGGGTGGTGTGGGATGCGATGCGATGTGATGCGATGGAACCGGCTGGACTCTCTCGACCCCACTGCCAGGTAGGGGGAACATGAGGTGGAGCGAGTCAGCGCTGAGTCGACGCTGTCGGTGGTCCCCCACTGCGAAGAAATCCTTGTTATTATTTTCGCCGTTATACGTGATAAATTTTGCAGGTGTAGGCGAATGTTCATAGGGTCGTCCTGGCCAAAATGCTCGCGGTAGTATTTGAGCTGACCAATCAAAGCCTTACTCACATCGTGACAGTTGGCGTAAAACCCCCTTCTTGCCCCTCCCTACGTACAGAGCATGCTTCACGTAATAGCGGGGCTGTTTGCGGGAAACACACGCCACGCCATGCCACTCCCAGAAGTGGTGGTCGCTTGAAGTCAAACATGTGGTTGCTTTTATGAGCTCGCACAAATAAGGAGCTCTAGAATTCGAGGTCAGCAGCTGCGGCATAGGCACCATTCTACGTGAACGTTCGCCCTTATTTCAGTTTATCCGTGAGAAACTGTAGCCTCGCCCAGATTAAGGACGAATACGGTCACAGGTTTTAAATAGCGCAAACCTTTCTCCCTTAGCATTCCTTGTCATAGCCACGTCCGTCCAAGTCGAATAATATGGCCCAGTCTGGGGCTTCGACGAATCATTCGGAGATGAGTAATCTCGACGTGGACTGTCTCGCAACGATCTTCTCCTTTCTCACTCCCGCGCAGATTTGCCGATTGGCCCACGTGTCTCGCACGTGGGCGGCAGCAGCGGCGTCTGACGTCAGCTGGGGCCGTCTCCTCCCTCCTCTATGCGGCTCGACCTGCTTTCAGAAGGCCCTCGAGGCGCATCGCGTTGCGATGTGCACGGGTCTATGCGACCTGGCGTCGCCCGCTTGTGATGATGACAGCAGCAGCTCGGCCAGTAGCGGAACTAGCAACAGCTATGATGACGTCACTAGAAACAGTGTCGTCCGCAGCAGCAGCAGCAGCGGTGCCGTCAGCAGCAGTTGCAGCAGCGAGGGTTGTAGCTGCCACGTCAGCAGCTTTACGCAGAGGTGGGTGTGCCAGAAGCTCTGCCAAGGGGTCTACGTGGACGACAGCCGTTTCCATGTCAGCATGGACCCATTTACCGCCACAATTACAACCTGTGTGAATGTAGCGAAGGTGCTTGAAGTGGTGGGGATGAGAACAAACAGAAATGAGAACAATGATGATGATGTTGATGATGATACTGAATGGTTTCTTGAGACGGGTCGTGTGGCACCTAATAACAGAAACGTTCCCTATAACGAGTGGCACGGGTCGCGTCACAGGCAGCAGAACCGCCGAAATCGGCGGAACCGGGACAGGAGAAGACAGCAACTTGCGTTTAACGCGGACAGGGACGCAGCAGCTGCAAGAAACAACCCTCCTGGCCAAACTACTCATCAAAACGCTACTTCTATTTTCAGCCCTAACGTGGCTGAAACTGGCATTCCGGGCGCGATTTTCCCCACGTCCGTCCCCCATCTGATCTCCACCAACCGCTTCCTTATCAGGGGCGACATTGCGCTTCCCTTCCCCCTTCGCCCGGGCGCGTACGAGGCAGAGTGGCGCATTGCGCGCGACCCCGCGGAGGGGGAACGGAGGGAGGCGGAGGAGCGGCTGGTGCGAGAGGCGGAGTGGGCGGACGGCGCGGAGGCGGAAGCTTGGCAGGATATGGGGCTGGGGGCGGTGAGCGGAGACGTCGTGTGCGGAAAGGGGAGGGGAAAGGGGAAGGGGCGGAAAGGAAGGAGAATGCGCAAACCCGCGGATTTGGGGGATGCTCTGCGCTCCATCAGGGGGATTGGGCGGAGGGGGACGGGCGCACAAAGTACAGGGGGCAGGGCCTTGGGAACAGGGGCGTCGAATGGGGGCGCGGGATTAGATTCCGGGGCAGCGGGTATTGGTTCAGTGAAAGACGAGCTTGAGGAGGAGATGGATGACGTGGCAGCGAAGCTGGCGTTTTGGCGAAGCACTCAACAGCGAAGCGCATTCAAGTGCTGGGAGGAGTGGCCGCTTACGAGCGGGGCGCAGGTGGTGATCGGGGGAGCGGAGGAGCGGAGGGAGAACGAGAGGGTGGGGGAAGTCGGTGAGGAGGAAGAGGAAGATGAGGAAACGAGAAGGGAGAGAGAACTCGAATGGGAAGAGCACTACGGGAATTCAGTGGAGAAGCGAACTTTTGTAATGTGGAAGGATACTTTTTCTACACTTCCGAACTGGACGCATCTCGAAGCGGGGATTATGCTTATAAAAGGGGAGACGGAGAGTGGACGCGATATGAGCGGAATCTTTGTGGATTGCGTTGTTCTTAGAGAGACAGGCATACCTTGCGAGTGTTTATGGTAATTTCTACAAAAACGGTTAACCTAAGCTCTTGATTCATATACACTTCATAGAACTAGAAGCAACTATTTCGGCTAACCCGGTTGTTCTTAGTGCTTGATGGGCTTTAGGAAGGCAGCTCCTCCTCTGTAGCCTCAAAAGAGGAAGGAAATTGCTCCTCAGTGGCTCCAATGCTCCTCCCTCCTATCTCCCTCCCAACTCCTTCCGTTTCATTCCCTTGCGTCTCATCTTGAGTCGACTCTCCTTGAGTCGTCTCGTCTTGAATCGCGTCTTGAGTCGCGTCTTGGCTGCTCTCCTCAACTTGCGGTTCATCTTGAGTCGCATCTTTGGTACCCTCGTCCACTTGCGTTTCATCTTGAGTCGCATCAGGAGTACTCTCTTCCACCGTGCCTTGCGTAGCCTTGTCCGCCTCTCCCCCTAGCTCCTCCCCCTCTTGCTCACCACCTTTCTCCTCCCTACTCCCTCCTCCACCTCCTCCAACATCAGCTCGCTCCTCCGACCTATCACCACCCCTATCTTCTCTCCTCTTCATTCTCTTCTCCCCTCCCACCCCGTCCACCATCGAACCTCTCCTCTTCTTTCTCATATACTTCCTCTCGCCTCCCATTGGCTCAGCCACCAACACGCTCCCTCCTACTGGCTGACTCAACCCTGGCCCTGAACCATCCTCCCTCCCCTCCGCTGTCTCTTGCTCCCCAACCTCCCTTTCCTCTTCTCCCCCTGTCTCATCCTCCCCTCCTTCCTCTTCCTCTCCCTCACCTTCCTCCCCAGCACTTTCAGATTCCTCCTCTTCCAAACCACCACCAGCCGCACCAGCGCCACCAGCATCAGCGCCAACAGCATCAGCGCCAACAGCACCACCAACAGCAGCAGCAGCAGCAGTGGAGAAGGAGAGTTTTTTGCGCTTGACAGTGGATGCAGTCTCATCCACACCACCACCATGGCGTGTCCGTCTCCTGCCCTCTCCGCTCCCTCCCACCCCCCCTCTCCCCTCCTCAACGCCCTCCCTGTGAATGTCTCTTTCTGCTTCTGCTCCACCTCCTGCCTCATCTGACACAGCACCTGAAGCATCACCTGAAGCATCACCTGCAGCACCAGGTGCTGCCCTGCCTGTCGGTCCATCTGCCGCCTTTTCCTTGGCTGCAGCTGCAGCAGGTGCATGTGGGGGTGCTGTTGCTGCTCGCTCCGTCAAAACAGACGTGAAGGTCGACAACGGCTCAGATGTTGCCACGTCATCAGCCACATCTTCATCCACGGCTGACACCCTCTCCTCCAATGCATTGAGACTGACCAGGGGAAAGGGATTGGGAGGGAGGAGGCAAGGCAAGGCAGCCGGTCAAGGAAGTCAGATGCTGTTGAATAGCTGGAACCAAAACTAAAACCAAACCCATACCAACCCATACCACCCATACCACCCATAACACCCATACCACCCATACCACCCATACCACCCATACCACCCATACCACACCATACCACACCACACCACACCACACCACACCACACCACACCACACCACACCACACCACACCACACCATGCACCACAATGCCACATTATGAGGAACCAACACTCACATGCTTCGGGCGTCATTTCCAAGAAGCTTCGCAGAAAACGGTAGAAGCGCGCATTCGAGAAACGCCAGCCGGTCAGGCAACGACTCAAAGGCGAATGCCACCCCTTCCAGCACCAGCTGCCGAATCGCCGCCCGCTGCTCGACCAATCGCTGCGCAGAGAACTGCGGGGCGGCTGCTACAGCTGCCAGCCTGGCTGCCAGGCTGGCACAGCGTGCTACAGATGCTGGGCTTGGCGAATGAGATGGTGCCACGTCATCCTCTGTGTGCGAGTGGTTGGAGATGAGTGGCAGAGTGGGAATGAAGGTCTGATGTTGGGGAGGGGCGGGGGGGTGTGATGGAGGAGAGGGGAGGAGAGGACAGGAGAGGGAAGCCAAGGGACATGAAAAGAAAGAGTGGCCCGGTTTAGGAGAGTAAATAAGAAACTTCACTTAGAAGCAACTAGTACTACACACGCACATCCAAGCATCGCCCAAGCACCGCCCACTCACCATTTTCAGCACCTGAAGGAAAATCCGCCACAGCTCAAACTTCCCTCCCTCGCTTGCCGCCCGCTTCTTCCTCTGCTGCAGATGAGACAAAAACAGCCGTGCCACCCCGTCCTCCCTCTCCTCATCCTCCCCCTCCTCCCCCTCATCACCACCATCATTTGTCTTCTCACCCCTCCCCACCACCACAAGCCGTGAGAGCACAGCAGGAGCCAGGAACTCAGGGTCCACAGCACCGCACAGCACCAGCTTAGCTGCTGCTGCTACCACTCTCTCTTCCCCTCTTTCCGACACCCTCTCTTGCTGCCTCTCCTGCATGCTCTGTCTCCTCTTTGCTGAGCAAGTGGGAAGCAGACGACTGCATGCCGCCCAGTAGGCGTTGACGCTGGCGGGTGTGACTGTAACGGAAAGTGGGTGTAGGAGCGAGTGGGCGAGCTTGTGAGGAGAGAAGATCACCCACAGGTCGGATATATGCTCCAAGATTTCTACTGCCAGTTGCTGCTGCTGTTGCCGCCGCTGCTGCTGCTCCCTATGACCCTCTCTTTCCACTCCACTGCCTCCTCCCTCTCCCTCCTCTGCTTGCTCATCGTCCTGCTCCTCCCCTCCTTCGTTCACTGCTATCCTTCCTTTCGCCCTTGCTTCCATGAGCCTCAGCAGCACACCCATCAGCCGCCCCTGCCTTTCCCTCACCTCCTCCTCCAGCTCACCCACCCCCTCACTCGCACCACCGTTCCCCAACCCTCTTTCCTCCCCCAATTCCCTCTCAGCCTCAGCACCTGCTGCGTCTCTCCCTGCCGCGTCTGCCCCATTGCCTGTCGTCACCTTTTTGCCCACTGCAGAGACGAGTTTCTTAAAGCCCCACACGAGCAGCAGCACCAGCGAGCGGAGCACGGGCGATGCCAGCTGGACGGACCACAGGGGAACGAGAGGAGGTGGCAAGAGGAGTCAGGCAGCAGTAATGCAGAGTGAGAAAATCGAGTCAGTAGGAAACAAATCGCAGCACTTCGCAGAGAAGAAAAGACCCCCTTGCGGACTGAAGAGCAGAGAGTGCACAGGGAGTAAGCGTATGCTGACCTGAGGGTGCTTATAAGGAGGAAATTTCTCCAGCAACCGAAGGAGCAGACCAAACAGGTCCGGTGGTTGCATCCCATCCGCAGCAGCAGCAGCAGCAGAATAAGTGCCACCAGCGGCAGCAGCGAGGGCGGGGAGGAAGGGGGTAGGGTCGGCTTGCAGGAGGAAGACAGCCATGCGAGTAGCAGCCACTGAGAGAGAAAAAGTGTCCACGTCAGCTGCTGGGGTGTCTGACGTGGCCTGGGGTGGGGTGGGTGGAGGGGGATGGCAGAGAAGCGTGAAAAAAACCGGGTGCGTCAGAGTTTCCAAGTCACGTCCGAGTGGTGAGAGCGTTGTGTGCTCTCACGAGGTGACTTTTGAGTCGACTCAAAAGTCAATCAGGTGCGTCAGAGTTTCCAAGTCACGTCCAGAGTGGTGAGGGCACACAGTGCACTCACCACCACACTTCGCACAGCAACCCCCATTGCTTCCTCCACCTTCCCTTACCTCCATCGGATTTTTTTAGCTCACCTCCACAGCGGCAAGAGCAGTTTGTGCCTCCTCTCTCAATCGTCCCACCACCACATTCCGCACGGCGTCCCTCACAATCTCCTGCGCCTGCTCCCGCATGTCTCCCTGTGCGCGCCACATGCACCGCAGCAGCACACGTGTCGCTGCCGCCATCACCGTCGTGCTGACGTGGCGCGCCAGGCTGTCACGCGCTGCTGAGAGGATCGCTAGGAGGGGCTGGTGGAAGGGGGGGAAGCCAACACAGGAGTTTAGGGATTAGAAGGTGAGAGAGAAACGGAGAATGGAAGCTAGAAAAAAACTTTCCTTATGGACTGCATGATGTGTGCGTGTCCATACGTCGCTTGCGCCGTCCAGATGTGCACGTGTGCGCAGCAGACACTCTGCTGCTCCACCCACATTGAACAACTCACTACCTACATAGACGCGAGTGCAACTGGCAGCTGGCAGCCAGCCACGCCCCCAGTCCCCCCCCCTCCCACTCACCTCCTGCTGCTGCCTGTGCGCCAGCGCCCCCACGTCAAGACACTCTGCTGCCTCCATCCCCATCTTCTGTCCAGTGCCTAACTTTCTACCCCTTCGCTCCAACGATTCGTAACCCACTCACCTCCTGCTGCTGCCGGTGTGCCAGAGCACCCACGTCCAGACACTCTGCTGCCTCCAGCAGTCGCAGCAGCACACGCTCGTCCGCCACGTGGCGCCTCATCATTGGCGGAAGCACCTTCACCAGCGCCCCTGTCATCTCTGCCACCGCTTCTGCCTGCCGATCCTGGCAGGTCCGGAGGGGGAAGGGAGGAAAGAAAGGGGGGAGGTTTGGGGAGGGTCGGGTGTGAGTGTGGGCATGAGTCACTGCCTCTTCATCTTCACGAGTGTCCCTGTCACCTCCGTCACCGCTGCTGCCTGCCGCTTCTGGTGGAATTTCAGGGAAGAAGTGGAAGAGAGTTGAGATGGTGGAGGTAAGTAGATGGAATGTTGACGACCCTGGATGTTGAGGAAAGAGAGGAATGCGTCACTGACTCACCTTTTTGGCCTTGGACAGTGCAACAGGCGCCTTTCTCTTCACCTCCGCAGCACTCCTTGGCACAATCGGCAGCCCCACAGTCTTGCGAGCAGCGAGGGAGAGGAGGAGGGCGAGTGTGGGGGTGTCGGCTTCGGGAGGAGGAGGCGAGGAGGGGAAAGAGGGGGTGGAGGAGGAGGGGGGAGTGGGGGAGAGCGGCTGGGCGGAGGGGGAGAGGGGCGTGGCTTGGCTGTCTGACTGCAGTAGCAACTTCCCAATTGACTTCAAGTCCTGATGGGAGGGATGGAAGGGAATGAAAGAGCATTCACATGCAGCGAGCCAATCACATCGCGACACACCTGCAGCATTCACATGCAGCGAGCCACACAGTCACCATGAGAGGGCTCACCATGAGGGCCGGTACTCGCTCCCACAGCGCATCCACCACGTACCCAGCCTGCACTGCATCCCCACATGCCTGCAGCATTCGCACCACCACCACCACCTGCCTCTCTGCCCCCGCCTCCCCCTCCCCTCCTCGCCCCCCCTTCCCTCCCCTCTCATCCACCCCCTTTCCTCCCCCCTGGCCTTTCCCCGAGCCTGCTTCTGTTGCGGCAGGAGACGCAGGGCTGGGGGAGGAGGCGAGGAGGAGGAGGAAGAGGGCGTTGCAGGCGGCGACTCTGAGCGGCAGGCAGTCGTCCGTGAGGCGATCAGAGAGGAGAGCCATGGCACGGTCGTGTGGGAGGGTGTCGTTGCTGGGAGGGAACAGCAGGGGAGAAAGAGTAACGAAGGGGGGGGGAAGGGGAGAAAGGGGAGATGAGGACAGGAGTGGAGTCTGAACGGCAGGCAGTCGTCTGTGAAGCGATCGGAGAGGAGAGCTATGGCACGGGTGTGTGGGAGGGTGCCGTTGCTGGGAGGGAATAGCAGGGGAGAAGGAGTAAGGAAGGGGGGGGGGAAGGGAAGAACGGGGAGATGAGGACAGGAGTGGAGTCTGAACGGCAGGCAGTCGTCTGTGAAGCGATCGGAGAGGAGAGCCATGGCACGGTTGTGTGGGAGGGCGTCGTTGCTGGGAGGGAACAGCAGGGGAGAAAGAGTAAGGAAAGGGGGGGGAAGGGAAGAAAGGGGAGATGAGGACAGGAGTGGAGTCTGAACGGCAGGCAGTCGTCTGTGAAGCGATCGGAGAGGAGAGCCATGGCACGGTTGTGTGGGAGGGTGTCGTTGCTGGGAGGGAACACAGCAGGGGAGAAAGAGTAAGGAGAAGGGGGGGGGAAGGGAAGAATGGGGAGATGAGGACAGGAGTGGAGTCTGAGCGGCAGGCAGTCGTCCGTGAGGGGATCAGAGAGGAGAGACATGGCACGGTTGTGTGGGAGGGTGTCGTTGCTGGGAGGGAGCAGCAGGGAAGAAAGAAGGTGGGGGAGGGTGAGCGAGGAGATGAGGGCAGGCGGCGAGTCTGAGCGGCAGTGTTGATGTTGCTTTTTGCTTTTGAGGATTCTCAGAAGCAACATCAGTCGTTTGTGGGGCAGTGAGAAACAGAGAGCGATCGGCTGGCCTGGTGGGCGCAAGAATGGAAGCATGTTGATATGTAATGGACTACAATCAGGTACTGCAATCATGTAAGCATGTAAGCATCCACAGCAGCTTACCTGGCGAGCAGCTGGACCAACGAGACAGCAGCCACTGCCACGTCAGCATCCACGTCATCCACCATCTGCTGCACACGTGGCACGAAGCGCTCCGAGAAGACGCCAAGCGCCGGGAGATTGTCCTCGCTGGCATACAGCGATTGGAGCGCTGACACGGCCGTGAGGCGGACAGATGCCACCTGGCAGGAGATTGAAATAGAAAATCAAACGGACATCGATGAGAAATGACGCACTAAGACAACTTAAGGGTTTAAGCGAGGGGTTTCGAGTAAACTGATGACAACTTACAGAGCTTTCATCCTGCAGAGCTCTCACCTTGTCGTTGAGCGAGAAGCCGAGGTACTTGAGGTAGACATCATCCAGGAAGAGCGAGGGGGTTTGAGTGGGCCTTGTGGGACCTCACTGCCAGGTGGCCACCTTGTGAAGTGAAGCGCCCACCTTGCTTAGGGGCCCACCTTGTCAGCGAGAAGCCGAGGTACTTGAGGTAGACATCATCGAGGAAGAGCGAGGGGTAGCGCGTAGGCCTGTAAGACCTCACTGCCAGGTGCCTACCTTGTGAAGGGCCCACCTTGTCATTGAGCGAAAAGCCCAGGTACTTGAGGTAGACATCATCCAGGAAGAGCGAGGGGTGGCGCGTCACCCACTGGCCGAGTGCCGCCACACACGCTGCTCTAATGGCCGGATCCACGTCGCGATGGCGATGCGTTATGATGCTGCACGGCACGAGGGGGTTACAGAAGGATTTTGAGAATCAATTCAACTCCACGTGACGATGGCAAAGATGGGGGTTACGGAAGGTGGGCAGAAGAGCAGAGGGTGAGTCAGCACCATTCCAGTGCTGCCATAAACCACTCTGCGCCCCTCATCACCCACCATTTGCCACCACTCTGCACCACTCATCACTCCTCACTCACCTAGTGAACCCTCGGCGCATGACCCCTTCCAGCATCGCCACCTGCCCATGCATCGCATCCACCTTCGCCTGCAGCTCCACCGCTGCCCGCCTGCTCGCCCCTCCCCCTCCGCCTCCTCCACCCGCCCCCTCAGACCCCTCCCCCACTCCCGCCCCTTCTCCGCCCTCCCCATCCCCTCGTCCTCCTTCCCCACCTCCCCCACTAGACCCCTTCCTTTTGCTCCTCCTCACTCCTGCTCCTCGGCTTTCCGCCCCTGCTCTTGTCGCCTGCTGCTCCTGCTCTTCTGACCGTCGGATCGCAGCCTGCAGCTGCCTCTGAGCCGTGGATTGAGCGTCGGAGAGGACTGAGGCGACGGTGATGATGGAGGAGATGAGCTGCAGCGCCACGAGCGTTGCCACGTGGCGGAATATGCGAGGGGACGAGCTGGGGGGAATAAGGGGAGGGAGGGAAGGAGGGGACCGGAGGGGGGGAGGGGAAAGGAGGGGAGGGCGGAAGCAGCGGTGATGATGGAGGAGATGAGCTGCAGCGCCACGAGCGTTGCCACGTGGCGGAATATGCGGGGCGAGGAGCTGGGAGGGGGACGGTTGGAAGAGGAAAATGGGGTTTAAGTTCGGCGGGGTGAGGGGGAAAGGGAGGAGTTGTGGAATTTGAAAGAGTAAAGCATGCATGTCTCAGGCGGCAAAGGTGGGAGAGAGGAACTGGACTCAAGGAAGGGGAGGTGGACTTCTGAGTCAACTCAAAACACACGGAAGGCGGACTGACGCAATATGCTGACAGACGGCAACGAAGATGTTTTGAGGGGGATGCACAGAAAATGGCAGAGAGGGGGGACGTACGAGGAGAGGGCAACGAGGTAGTCAAGGAGGGTGGGCAGCAGCTGCGAGTCAAAGAGAGAACCCTCGCGCCCCCCCGCCACCACCAGCGCATCCCAAAACCGCAGCAGCGACGTGCGGAACGATGCCCCGTCGCCACCCTTGCCACTGCCACCCTTGCTGCCCTTGCCGTCGTTGGCAGTGGAGTGGTGGTGGCTGTGGTGCAGTGGAGTGCGGTGCAGATGGTCGAGCAGGGCGACCTGGTGGGCGGAGTCCACGAGGGTTTGCACGACGTCATCCACTCCCACTCCCTCTGACATGATGGCATCGTCTCCCATCACCACCTGCACTCCACATGCCTGCCAAAGGTAGGGGTGGCACGCACATACAGACACACAGTAGTGGAATTAGTACTAAAGATCGATCCATACTCTTAGCAGGCTTGCAGCAGTTCGAAACCAGCTTTTCTCAACCAGCTCCTCACAAATCCTCTGGCATGATGGCATCGTCTCCCATCACCACCTGCACTGTACCCCACACGCCTGCCAAGATGTGGGTGGGGCGGCACAAACATACATGTGCAATGATGGCTGCCAAGCACACACATATGGCGCACTTTTGAGAATTCTCACAAGTCGTGCAATGATGGCTGCCAAGCACACACATATGGCGCACTTTTGAGAATTCTCACAAGTCGTGCAATGATGGCTGCCAAGCACACACATATGGCGCACACAGCACGTCAAAGCAGAACCAGAAGCACTAGGCCGCCAGCCACGTGATTGTGCCGAGTAAGTAAGTCACCTGGAAGAACAGCTTGAGCCGGGCCGTGGCATGGGTCTGGCTGAACTCATACCCTTCCAGCCGTTGCATCTTAAAACCCAAGACCCGAATTACACAACGAAGTCAACGGGGAAATTGTAGGTTCGGGAAACCCCAGAAGGAGGTTCGGTTGGATATTCGAAAACCAATCCCGTCAAAAACCAACTGAAAATCTTCGACCAATCACGTGAAAGTGGTGACACTTTGCCACCCGACTCGGTAATTCTGGCCTGGGCCTTTAAGAAGCAACAGGGCAGGGCAACAGGCGATTTGCCCTAAATGGAAAGGGCTGCTAGGGGTTACCTGGAATAGCAGCTTGAGCAGCTGAGCTGTGGCATGGGTGCGGTTGAACTCATACCCCTCCATCCACCTAAATGCCGCTTCCTCCACGTCCTCTGCACTGCCAGCCTGGACTATGTCTGTGCGGAGAGGACGAGACAACGGGGGGGGCAGACCAGAACTCTTTCAAAACTGGAGAACGTGGAAGTCGAAATCAGTCAGTTATAAGGCCAGCACTCCAAGACCCAGAACACAGGAATTGCCTTCCACATGAGGAATTGTTCATAGCCCTGCAAGGGGCATCATTCCCCCAACACACAACCCATTGTTAGTACATCCCCATTCCAACAACCTACCGAACAGGCTTCGTTCGGTGGCAGCAAGCCGACTATCACCCCCTGACACCTCCGCCCCTGCCTGCTGCCTCTGCTTCCCTGCTCCCTTCCTCTGCCCCTCCTCCCGCCCTTGCCCCACACCCTCCTCCTCTTCTCTCTCCCCGTGCTCCCTACCATCCGCCTCCGCCTCTCTCTCCCCCTCCGCCTCCTTCCCTTTCCTCCTCTTCTCCGCTTTCCTCCCCTTGGGTGCTGCAACGGTGGGTCTACCCTCTACAATGAAAGCCCCAGCAGCAGCTGCAGCAGCAGCAGCAGTGGACCGAGCCTGGCCGCGAGGCTTGGCAAGAGCCTTGAGCGCTGCCTTGGGAGGCTTGGGAGCAGGTTTGGGACGAGGTGCGGCGACAGATTGCTGCTTATGCTTGACTTCCCCTCCCTCTTCACGAAGCCTCTTGGCCTTCTGTGACGTGGGTACATACTCCTCCTCTTCTTCCTCCTCACTCTCCTCCTCCTCACTCTCCGCCTCAGAACCATTCTCATCCACATTCTCGTCTTCCTCCTCTTCTGCATCCCCTCCCTCCGCCCCTCCTTCCTCTCCCTCCACTTGTGCTCGCTCCTCCCCTTCCTCCTCCCCTCCCTCCTCCCCTCCCTCCACTTCACCTTCACCCACAACCTCCCCTTCTTCCACCTCCATTCCTTCTCCACCCTCCTCTTCCGCACCCCCCTCCTCTTCGTCTTCCTCCCTCCCTCTGCCTTTCTTCCCACCCTTTCCCCTCCCTCTCCCCTTATCCCCGTTTCCCCTCACCACACTCGCCCTTCTCTCACGCTCCTTCTTTCCACCCTTCTCCCTCTCCACCACCCCACCCTTCTCGCCCTTCCCTCTCGCCACACTCGCCCTTCGCTCGCTCCCCTTCGCGCTCCCCTTCGCACTTCCCTTCGCGCCTCCCTTCGCGCCTCCCTTCTCCGTCTCAGCCACACCTCCCTCCTCCTCTCTCTTACTAGCCCGTGTGCTCCTCCGCTCCGCCACAGCCCCGCCCTTCTTAGCCTTAACCCCTTTTCCAACTGCTCTCCCCACCTCCTCTACTTCACCGTCTTCCTGCTCCTCATCCGGCTGCTCCTCCTGCTGCTCTTCTTCCTCCTCCTGCTCCTCCTCCTCCACTGCTGCTGCTCTGTCATCTGCTGCCGTTTCATCTGCTTCTCTTATATCAGCCGCCTCCTTATCTCGAGCTCTTGTCACTACTCTTCCTGCCCTTGCTGCTTCGACCGTACCCTTTTGCTTCCCCTTCCCGACCATTACCACCTTCATGTCCTCGTCCATCTCGCCAGCTACTGCTCCACCCTTCCCCTTCCCCTTCCCCTTCTCCTTCTCCCCCGCCTTCTCCCTTTTCTCCGCCTTCTCCCCCTTCTCCGCCTTCTCCCCCTTCTCCGCCTTCTCCCCCTTCTCCGCCTTCTCCCCCTTCTCCCCCTTCTCCCCTTTCTCCGCCTTCTCCCCCTTCTCCCCCTTCTCCCCTTTCTCCCCCTGCTCCCTCTCCCCCCTCCCCGCCCTGCCTTTGCCCCCAGAAGAAGCAGCCAGGGCAGAAGCAGCGCGCCGAGCAGCTGCCCGCCTCTCCCTCCCTCCAGGAGGGGTTGACTGAACTTCTAGTCCTGGTGGGGTAGACAGCACGTCCCCCACTGGAGGGGTAGAAAACACATCCTCACCTGCCTCTGCCACCACTCCTGCCACTGCTTTACTTCCCACGACTGCTTCAGCCGCAGCTGCAACCTTTGTTTCAACTGCTGCTGCCAATTTACTTCCCACAACTGCTGCCGCAGCTGCAGCCCGTGTTTCAACTGCTGCTGCACCTGCCGTCGTCAACGCGTCCTCTCCCGTCTCTCGACTTTCCCCACCTCTTCCTCGTTTCCCCCCCTTCCCGCTCTTCCTAACATAAACCAAACTAGCATCTGTCTTCGCTGTTTTCCCTGCCATCTCCCCACCAACACCGGCTTGTATCTCTCGGCTGCCTGTGTCCGCCCTCTCCGTCCCCAACGATGCTCCCTTGCTCAAGACTCCTGCTGTTTCCTCTGCCTCTCCCTCTGCTCCTCCCTCTGCCTGTCCTTCCGCTCGTCCTTCCGCTCGTCCCTCCGCTCGTCCCTCCGCTCGTCCCTCCGCTCGCCCCTCCGCTCGTCCTTCTGCTCTCTCCTCCACTCGACCGTCTGCATCTCCATCCGTCCGTTCTCTCTTCTCACGCTCCTCTTGCTCCTTGTTCCCCGCCTCCGCCACCGCCCTAGCACGCGAGTGCAAATCCTCTCCCCCTTTTCCCCTCGTCACTCCTCCCGTGTCCTTCCCATCTGCAACCAGCCCCTCTCCCGCCGCTCCTGCGGCTTCCCCCTCTCCTGTCACTGCTGCCTCCGGCCCAACCTCTGCAACGTCAGCTTCTGGCCGTGCAACGTCAGCCTCGATTTCCTCCCTGAAAGTGTAAAGGGAGGAAACAAAATGACAAGCGAGTAAAATAAGGTTGCAGCGAACTGAGTCACGCGGTGAAAATGGAAGAGGAGTCAAAGTAAGAAACACCGTGTTTCAAGCAGGAAACCACAACACCGTGTTTCAAGCAGGAAACCACAACAACGTAACAGCAAGCCCCACGAGCCAGCAGCAGGATCGTCCAGGTGCGAAAGGCCAGAACCCATAAGTTCGAGCGAGCATGTGACTTGCCAAGACCCACCCTGCCTTTCTCCTCTTCTTGCCGCTCTGCCCACTTGCACCCGCCTCTCTCCCTTTCTCCACCTGTGCTTCCTTCTCCGTCTCCTCCTCTCGCTCCTCCTCCTCATCCTCCACCTCTTGCTCCTCCTCCCTTTCCTTCTTCCTCTTCCCTCGTGCCTTTGCACCCTTCTGCTTCCTCCCTCCCTTCACCCTACCCTTCGTTCCTCCCTTCGTCCCTCCCTTGTTCTCCTCCTCTCGTCCCTCCTGCTCCACTTTTGGCGACTCTTCTCCCTCTCCTTTCCCCTGCCGCACGGATTGTTGCTGCGTCTGCTGCTGCTTCTGCGGTTGCTGCTGCTGCAGCGGCGGCGGCGGCGGCTGCTGCTCTTGCTGCTGCTGCTGCTGTCGCTCCTGCCTCTCCCCGCGCTCCTGCCTTTCTGCGCGCGTTTGCCTTGCGCCCTGCTGGCGTTGCGCCAGCAGCACCAGCCGTGCCTCTTGCGCCAGGCACGCGTCGAGCGCGCCCTTGTAGTCGGGCAGGCAGCTGCTGCGCCGGCTGCGCGCGATCGCCTTTTCCCGAGCCTCGCCCTCGAACCTGTCCAGCTCGTCCGGGCCGCAGAACCGACTGGCAGGTGGGTTGGGGAACGGGGGGGAGAGTTGTTGTGTAAGGTCAAGTGTTCGTACGTGTCGGGAGAAAAGGGAAGGAGGGAGGAGGGAATGGGGGAAAAGGGGGGAAAGGGGGGAGGGGGGAGGGAGAAGGGGAGAGAGGGGAGGGAAGACGGGGGAGCGGGATGAGGAGGGGAATATCCGTCAGCCGTATATCCCGTATCAGTCCATTGCGTGCTCCCTCGCCTCGCCTCTTCGACTCTGTTAGCTTGACTGGCATCGCGGAACCGGCTGCCATGCGGGCAAGGAGAGGTTGGGCGAGTCAACGCGGTCGTTTCAACACTGAAGCAGGTCGGAATAAAAAAGGTGGACGGAGGGCAAACGCCAAACGGAGCTTAATCCGCACCGAATGAGACAAAGGCTTCAAAAAACGAGTCAGGTGACATGACCGCCGAGTGCTTACACTTGTCGTAGTCGAAGCCTCAAATCAGTCGCGACAGAGGGACTAACATATGTATAAATCGAGAGACTCACATCTGTCGCGGCTGCAGGAACAAGACAAATATCTTTCCTTCCTGCGGCTCTTTCTTGAACTTGTACGGATCCATGACCTGTTTCCCAACAAACGAGACACGGCAAACATTGAAAGGTCGCTGCATTCAGCATAGGGACAAGAAACGTAACAGAATCTCGAGCACGTCAAACGAACAAAATTTGCGCATAATAATCAAAGGTTAAATACAAAAAAAAAAAAAAAAGTGCACGTGAGAGAATCACCTGAGCCGGCCATGGCGGATAGCCCTGAACCTTAGCGAGGACCAGCGAGCCCACCGGCCACGAGTCGGCTCCCGCGTCCATGGCTATCGTATCGCTGCTGCTCTGACCTAGCTAGTCAAAGGTCAGTACAACCAGGCTATGAGACGTGTCTTAAGACGTCTCAGACTTGAGCTAGTGAGCTAATTAACTCGTCAGCTCCGCCTTGAGTACCAGGTTCCTAGTCGGAGCTAGTTAGTCTATGTTTTAGTCGACTAAAAAATAGGCTACTTAGACTATTGCCGTGTACGAGCGGTTATTGCCGTGTACGAGCGGTTAGGTACCAGGTGGATTTTGTTACTAGATAAAGGCTTACTACAAGCAAGGAGGAAAATTAGTGCATAACCGTGGAAACGTGTGAAGAACGGGAATAGAGTATAGCATGAAAAGGACACCGCGAAAAGTATCGCAATTCTTCGGACACAAAGACACTCTCAACGCGAAATAACCTCGTGGTTTTCACCAGCAGAAGCCAGACAGCCAACTTGCTAGCAACTGGTATGGAAGGCTATCATCGGTGTGAGTGGTGTGGTGTGTCTGAAGTCTGGAAACATATGGAGAGAACGCCGCTTCAAAACGCTTACTCGGAGGGAGGCAAACAACGGAGTCGTGCAGGTGAAGAATGCAGCAGCAGAGTAAGGCGTGTAAATTTGGCGGGAAAGCATTTTCGAAACATTGAAATTGTCGCGTGCCGTATTCGAGCTTCTTAGGTGTAGCGAGCTGCACTCTGTGATGCTTAACCGTTTTAAACACCCAATGTATCAATTAGTAATCAGACACATTTCACATCAAAATAAGATGCTCACTTTCTGACAGCACAGCAGGCCAAAGGATAATAGGCTCCACTCTAATGTGCAGCACTTTCAGAATATGCTGAGCCTTTTTCGTATCCACAAGCTCAGCAGCTCTACCCACCACTACCGTAGATTGCCAGCTCTGATTCACTCTACGTCAGAACTACGTGCATTCTGACAACCCCTTTTCCCAAACCCGGGCCAGTGAACCCCAACCACCTTCAGAACCCCCATCACTATACCCTATCGGTCAACCCCTCCACTTCCCCCACCTGTCGACATAGCACCCGCCCCAGAACCATTTTCAGCAGGGAGGGGTGGGCCCCACTTGCCATCCGGATCAGAAGGCTCTAGTACATGCACTGAACCGTCACTTAGACCCAAAGCGAACTGGTTTGGATCTTGCGGGTGCGCGGCCACCACCATTGGTACCACAAGACCCGGGCTGCGATGCAGCAAGGCGAGCAAATACGACGGCACGCATAGAACACAGAAGTGGAACAGTGAGTTAGAAAACAGAAAGACAGCACCAGGCTTCAAGAAGGCATAAGCTGACGAAATCGGACAGGTCGAGAGAGCGAGGTAAGGGTGAAGGGCAACAAGGAACGTGTGAGCACATGGCACAAAGACCAACGAGAATAGGTAACAAAGACTTGGAGCGAAGTGCGTACCCGACAGACGGCGCATATGCCGAAGGAGCAACGCGGCACCGTGGCCGAAGGCTATCCCCGTCAAACACACAGACAGTGGCATCCGCGAACGCAGCGAGCACGAGCGACGAGTCACACGAATAGGCAGCGGCAGTGATGGGCGCGGAGAGTGGGCCGAGGTCGCGGGGCAGCCACTGGCGCAGGCGGTCGAGCTTGGCGGCGTCGTAGATGGCGAGCTGCGACTCGTGCACCACCAGCAGGCGCTGCTGGTCGTTGTGGAACTGCACCCTCGTGTCCGCCTGCTGCGTCGGGGACGAGCGGGACGGCAGGGCCAGCGGGCGCGATTTCCGCTTCTCCCACCCATCCGTGCTCCAGAGGAAGAGCTGGGGGGTGGGGAGAGGGAGGGAAGGGAGGGGGGGAGAGGGGAGGGAAGGAAGAGGAAAGAGAGAGGTGAGAGTGGGCCGAGGTCGCGGGGCAGCCACTGGCGCAGGCGGTCGAGCTTGGCGGTGTCGTAGATGGCGAGCTGCGACTCGTGCACCACCAGCAGGCGCTGCTGGTCGTTGTGGAACTGCACCCTCGTGTCCGCCTGCTGCGTAGGGGATGAACGGGACGGGAGAGCCAGCGGCCGCGACTTGCGCTTCTCCCACCCGTCCGTGCTCCAGAGGAAGAGCTGGGGTGGGGAGTTGGGGGGGGGGGGGAGGGGGGGAAGGGGGATGGGGGTTGAGGAGGGAAGGAGGAAGGGGGGAGGGAGTGGAGCTTAAGGGAAGGGAAAAGGGAGAGCTGCGACTCGTGCACCACGAGCAGGCGCTGCTGGTCGTTGTGGAACTGCACCCGCGTGTCCGCCTGCTGCGTCGGCGACGAGCGCGAGGGGAGAGCGAGCGGGCGCGATTTCCGCTTCTCCCACCCGTCCGTGCTCCAGAGGAACAGCTGGGGTTGGGGGAGGGGAGGGTGAACGGGGGGAATGGGGGCGAGGGAAGGAGGGGGAGGCATGGGAGCGGGAACTAAGACAAGGAAGACAAGAGGGGGAGTGAAGGAAATTGGGGTTGTAGAAAAGCCAAAAGAGTGCAGGAACTGAGGTCACTAGGGAGTAGCCCATGAGGACCAGACTGAAATGGGGATAGTCGGAAATGAGGAGGGTAAGCTTGTCCAAGTCGACCCCCTTCCTCCTGCCTACCTGCGAGTCACCCCTCCTCTCCCCTCACCTGCGAGTCACCCCTCCTCTCCCCTCACCTGCGAGTCACCCCTCCTCTCCCCTCACCTGCGAGTCACCCCTCCTCTCCCCTCACCTGCGAGTCACCCCTCCTCTCCCCGTACCTGCGAGTCACCCCTCCTCTCCCCGTACCTGCGAGTCAGCCCCGGAGGAGACGAGGCTGTTGAGGGCGTTGGAGAAGGCAAGCCCTGTGATGCGCTTGCTGTGCCCCTTCAGCTTGCTCTTCACCTGTTACCATGAGATGGGGGGAGAGGGGGGAGAGCAGGGAGGCCCGGAGGGGGGGGGAAAGGTATGGCACTTCAGAAAGACGCCCTGTGATGCGCTTGCTGTGCCCCTTCAGCTTGCTCTTCACCTGCCGGCATGGCCAGGGGGGGGGGGAGAGGGGGGAGAGGAGGGACGCCCAGAGGGGGGGGAAGGTATTGAGGCACTTCAACACATGCCCCGTGATGCGCTTGCTGTGCCCCTTCAGCTTGCTCTTCACCTGTTACCATGAGATGGGGGGAGAGGGGGGAGAGGAGGGAGGCCCGGAGGGGGGGGGAAAGGTATGGCACTTCAGAAAGACGCCCTGTGATGCGCTTGCTGTGCCCCTTCAGCTTGCTCTTTACCTGTCAGAATGGCCACGGGAGGGGGGGGGGGGAGGGAGGGACGGTGGGAGGAGGGAGAGAATTTGAGGCGCTTCAAACAAGCCCTGTGATGCGCTTGCTGTGCCCCTTCAGCTTGCTCTTCACCTGTTACCATGAATGACGGGGGTTGAGGGGGGAGTGGGGTGGATGGAAAGGGAGGAAGTGGGGCGGGTGCAGGGGCCAGAGGGGAGGAAAAATGTGAGTCTAATGCACATTGTTCGGACTGCGATGGCCCAGGTGGAGGGAGCGTCAGCTGCTGGAACAGTACCACACCTTTACCCACTACAGCCCTAGAGCAATCCCATGGCTACATCATGGTGCTTTCTATCAAACAGAAGAGGGAAGAAAAGAAATGCAAGTTGAAGAAGTTTTGAAGAAAACCAGCAGCGCTCATGCCCGTGCCTTGCTTGACCTGCCAGGAGAGGTGGCTGCTGCGGAAGTGGTAACTTCGCTTTCAAGACCCCATCAAGGGCCAAGGAAGTGCTCACCTCGTCAAGCCGCACGTTGTAGATCTGGATGGTTGCATCGTCCATGCCGATGGCAATGATGTTGTTGTCCTGCGCGTGGAACGCTGCTGCCTGGGGGGAGTGGCTACCGCAGAGGCAGTGCTTTCCCACAACGGCCCCTGCCCTGCTACAGCACCACCACTCGCCCAATCAGAGTCCTCACCTCATCAAGCCGCACGTTGTAGATCTGGATGGTGGCGTCGTCCATGCCAATGGCGATTATGTTGTTGTCCTGTGGGTGGAACGCCAGGAAGGTGGCTGCTGGGGGCGGCGCCATGAACGTCGTCATCACCTGGTCAACAAGGTCAACACAATCTAAGAGAGGTCAACGAGGGGCAACGGGGAGTGATATGCATGCCACAGGGTGCGCCCTCACACACACACGCGCTCGCACGTAGGAGTCGTTGTTGGCCAGCGCAATGCACGCCATCAAATGGGCTCCCTCTCTCACTCCCTCACACACACCCGCACGCACCTTGAAGGTGAGCATGTTGAAGAGAGACACCTTGCCCCCCGAGGCGGACATGACATACGAGTCGTTCTTGGACAGCGCTATGCACGCCACCGGGTGCGCTCCCTCCCGGTCGTCCGAGCTCACATCGCCCGTGTCGTTCGTCATCATGATGCCGCTCGCCGGCTGCCACAGCTGCGGGACAGAGCTCGCAGTGGCCTGCACGTGTGATGGGTACGAAAGGGAGGACCGTTACAGGTACTCAAAGTTACAGAAGCATCAAACAACTAACACTTCCGCCTCTTGAAAAGTGTCTCGTCGGACGGTGCCTACTACATTATATAGAATTAAAAGAATTACAATGATATAGAATGGATCTCTAAATGCATATGTTTCTGTTCGCATAATACTGACCGGTCCTTTGGTGTTGCGGTCGGAGCACTGCCACTTCCACAGCTTGTGCACGGCATTGGCAGAAAGCGCTTACTACAGTAAACCCAATACTTTCAGCTATAAAGGTATGATATATGCATATCACGACGTAAATATATGTATATTTTGTGGAACACTCACCAGTCCTTTGGTGTTGCGGTCGGAGCGCTGCCACTTCCACAGCTTGTGCACGGCATTGGCAGACAGCGCCAGCAGTGCCACGCCTGAATTGGTGTAGATGAGACGCAGCACCTTGCTGGGCGGCAGACTGTCCGGCAGGCGGGCGGCCCGGACCTGCGAGGTTCGGAGTGACGGAGGGAAAAGACAGGTTGGGATGGCGGAGGGAAGGGAGGGAAGCACCGGCACAAGAGGGAAATGCAGGCAAGTAGTGGTTAAGGGCATGGAGAGAGACAGAGAGAGCAGTGAAAGCAGATCGTGATGAGGGGCAGGAGAGGGGACTCACAGGCCAAATGTGAAGACAAAAGCAAGGTTGGAGACAGGAGAGGGGAGGTGGAGAAGGTGGAGTGGGACAGACGGGGAGAAGGTTAGAGGGAGAAGGGAGAGGGGGAGCGGGAGAGAGAGGGGGAGCCGGAGAGAGAGGCTACCTGTGAGGGCTCCGAGAACTCAGTAAGCTTCCATCCCTTCTTGTCTGGCCCGTCCTCCTGCAGCCTCTGATGTGAGCAGAGCAGGGGCGTGGAGGGGGGGTTGGCGGAGAGGGGGGTTGGGGGAGAGGGAGGATGGGGGAGGAGAAGGGGGAATTTTTTTCTAAGCAACTACAGATACATCTTCCCGCAGCCTCTGCTGTGAGCAGAGCAGGGGCGTGGAGGGAGGGTTGGGGGAGGGAAAGGGTTTGGGAATGGGAACAGGGCCCCAATAAGCGGGGAAAGGAACCGAGGAAAAAGGGGGCAGCAGGACGGGTGGAGAGGTGGAAGGAGAGTGAGGGGATGCACTGGAGGGGTGACGTGAGAAGGTGAGAAGAAAGAATGCTTGAAGGACAAGAGTCTGTGAACGTCTAAGCTGAAGCACACCCTAAGCCACACACAAGAGAACAGCAATGCACTAGGAGATAAGTCATGTAAGAACCGTACCGAAGCAGTAAGAGCGGAAGCAGGGGATGAGCGATCCAACTGCTGCTGCTGCTGCTGCTGCTGCTGTTGCTGCTGTTGTTGTTGTTGCTGCTGCTGCTGTTGCTGCTGCTGCTGTTGTTGTTGCTGCTGTTGTTGCTGCTGCTGTTGCTGTTGTTGCTGCTGCTGTTGCTGTTGCTGCTGCAGCTGCTGCTGCTGTTGTTGAAGCTGCTGCTGCTGCTGTTGCTGAGATGGCGCCTGGGAAGGGGGAGGTTGCTGAGACGCCTGAGCAGCGGCGGCGGCGGCAGCGGCGGCGGCTGCAGCTGCTGCTGCCTGCACAGCCTGCTGCTGCTGCTGCTGTGATGGAGGCTGGGGCAGGGCGGGTGGTGGCGGCTGTAGCGCACAAATGGAGGGGGGGAGGAGAGCAAATATGAGACAGAGAGACACATCAATTAACAGAAAGGGCCAATCAGGGAAGCAGAGGAGTGCACGAAGCAGGAGGGTAGGGGAGCGGGATCTCACATATCTACACATCTAAGCAAGACTGGCTAGCCCTCAGATGGACCCACCTTGGTGTCCACAGGCCTCTGGGCCGCTGCAGCAGCCGCGGCGGCAGCGGCAGCGGCTGCAGCGGTGGCAGCGGCGGCCTCGAGGTTGCGCAGGAGGCGCAGGCCCATGTCGTTGGCAAGGATCTTCACCGAGTTGTCCGCTGCTGTCACCGCCAGCAGGGAGCCCTCCCTGTTGAACCTCACCCTCGGACTCGCCTGCAGGGAGGTGGAAAGAGGGAGGAGTGGAAGAAACTAGAGGTATTGTCACCGGCATTGGCATGGAGCGTGCAGAGCACAGTGGTATTGTCCATGTCCCAGATCTTGATGAGGTACTCGTCACCAGCATGGAGAGGTACGCTTGCAAGAAGGCAGGGAATCACAAGGAGGCAACCTCACAGGGAAAGACAGAGAATGAAATGCACTCACCGGCAAACCACCATCGGCATCGAGTGTGCAGAGCACAGTGGTATTGTCCATGTCCCAGATCTTGATGAGGTACTCGTCGCCAGCAACAAGGCACACTCACAAGTGGCGAAGACAGGAAACACAAAGCGCAACACCTACCGATAGGCCGCCATCAGCATCGAGTGTGCAGAGCACAGTGGTGTTATCCATGTCCCAGAACTTGATGAGGTAGCCGTCACCAGCAATGACAAGCGCGCTCACAGGAAGCAGACTAAGGATGGGACCAACTGCAAGGGATGCAAACTCACAGGTTGGGAAGAAAGAGAGGAACACTCACCGGCAGGCCTCCATCAGCATCGAGTGTGCAGAGCACAGCAGTGTTGTCCATGTCCCAGAACTTGATCAGGTACTCGTCACCGGCGACCAGGAAGCGGTTGTGTGGAGCATGACAGGAGAAAGAAGGGAGAAGCACTCACCGGCAGGCTGCCATCGGCATCAAGTGTGCAGAGCACGGCAGTGTTGTCCATGTCCCAGAACTGAGATACTCGTCATCGGCATGGAGAGGCGCGAAAAAGCAAGGAGAACGAAGGGACTCACAAGGACGAATCCTCACAGCGAAAGACAGAGAAGGAGAAGCACTCACCGGCAGGCCACCATCAGCGTCGAGCGTGCAAAGGACAGAAGTGTTGTCCATGTCCCAGAACTTGATGAGGTACTCGTCACCGGCGACCAGGAAGCGGTTGCGCGTGGTGTCAAACTGCACCACGCCCAGCGAGCGCTTGCGGAAGCCCAGGTAGCTGCGCTTGATGGCACCCTCACTCTCGTTCCACTCCACCAGCGACGTCTCGCCCTCCTTGCTCGTGCCACAGGAGAAGAGACTGCGGAGGAGGTCGGGGGAGAGGGAGGGGGGTGGGTGGGTGGTGGGGAAGGTGAGGTGCAGCAACAGGTGGTGCACCACTCACTGTGTGCCAACAGCAGAGAGGGACCCATTTTCATGCATGAACGGTGACATCTGTGAGGCAATGAATACGTGGCTCGAATCGGTGGCACTTGTGACTCACCGCGTGCCATCAGCCGAGTACCCCATGGTGCTGCACCACTTGCCCGGTGCATTATAATCCACTCTCGACGCCTGGTGACAGCTTATTGTTCATGTATGGAAGGTAACATCTGTGAGCCAACGAATCTTTGGCTCGAAACTATCTGTGACTCACCGTGTGCCATCAGCCGAGTACCCCATGGTGCTGCACCACTTCCCTGGGGCATCATAGTCCACTCTCGACCCCAAATGGTCGTACAGCCACGCCTTGATCTTGCCGTCTATGGCCGTCGAGAATATGAACTACAAGAGAAGGGACGGCACGGGGAGGAGTAAAGGGAGGGAGTTTGGGAAAGAGGAAAAGAGGAAATGGCCGATTACAAAATAGGTGAATGGGAGAATGTGGGAACAAAACTGGCTTTTTCCTTCTCCCTTGCCTTTTTTTCTACACACACGCGTACACACAATGGTCTTAGGTTCCTGAACATAGAATGCGTAAGCTCAGTCCACGCGCGCTCAGTCAACGCACCTGAATGTTCTCCTTGTGGTGCGGGCACACGGAGTAGACGGGTGCCTCATGGCCCTCAAACGTGTACAGCTTGCGCCCACTGCTCGCCTCCCACACCTGTGTGCCATGGGATAGGTTAAGGAGTATGGGGCAGGGGATAAGGAGCATTGGGGCATGGGGCATAATATATGGGGCATGGGACATGGGAAACGGGATAAGCATACGAACTCGCACATGCACATGCACAGGCGCACTCACTTTGATGGTCTTATCATCGCCACATGTGATAATGCAGAGCTGCTTGTTGGGGTGGGAGAAGGCCAGGTCGTTCACTCCGCTGGACGTTCACCCCGCCCACATGCGCATGAACTAGCACATGCACACGCACAGAATAACGCACCTTGATGGTTTTATCATCGCCGCATGTGATGATGCAGAGCTGCTTATTGGGGTGAGAGAAGGCCAGGTCGTTCACTCCACCCACATGCGCATCGATCTGCACAACCCGACACAGGCAAGCAAGAGCAGATGCAACAACAGATTCTCTACTGACATCAGAGTGAAGGTGAGCAAGTGTCAAGGTGAGCACGCATGGTAAGCATGAGCAAGCACGGCAGCCATCAGCATGCAACACAAGCATCAAACACAGCCTTGCTATCAGTGCTTCAAGGGTCACTCTGGCACACTAGCACACGCACCTCGAGATGCTGCCCCATGCTGCTTGGGTTCTGATACGTGTAGATGTGCACCATGTGCTTTGAGAACGCCGCTCCTGCCATGCACCGGCACCACGAGCAACACAAGCAGCATAGCACACAAAGATGAGACACCAACACTTGAAACGTCTCAAGCCAGGAGCGGCAAGGATAGAGTGAGGGAATTTGCAAAGGTTTAAGGATAGAAAGAGAGGGAGGATTAGAGGGGCGAGAAAAGGAAGATGGGGGGTCGGCAGACGGGCGAGGACTCACCAAAGAGTTGTCCGTTAGGCTCCCAGATGACACGATTCACAGCGATGGTTTGATCCTTCATCCATAGCGTCTGCAGGGTTGGGAAGAGGGAGGGAGTGCAAAAGGTGTTCATTCATTGCCCCTTAACAACCTGAAGTGGAGGTCGATCAAGCTGTGGATGGAACCTGGGATTGCAGCAAGCACCTGATACGTCAGCACCTGGGAGCACTGCAGACACCTGAGAGCGTTGTGCGCACCTGGAACTGAGGCGAGCACTGCTGGGGGTCCCAGAGCTTGAAAGGGCGGTCCACCAACTTCTCTCGTGACCCCACCTCCCATATGGATATGGCCACATCCCCCATCTACACACACATGCACGCACGTGTGCACACACACAAGAACACGCAGACGTGCACGCACCTGGAATTGAGGCGAGCACTGCTGCGGGTCCCAGAGCTTGAACGGGCGGTCCACCACCTTCTCTCGTGACCCCACCTCCCATATGGCCACGTCCCCCGTGTTGCTGCCCACTGCACAGACACAAGCATGCACACACGCGTGCACACAGACATGCACACACACACACACACACACACACACACACACACACACACACACACACACACACACACACGCACACGCACATGTACACGCACACACACCACCAATGGTGGCCGAGCCGGGAACGATGAAAGGGAGAGAACAATACAGAGATGCATACAGGCAACAGCACACGGCAACACACAGCAGCAAATGCGGCACAAAACTGATGAGCCTCACTGGCAAAGTCAGTGGGGTTGAAGGATGAAATGAATGCATAACAAGACAGAGGGCGGGAAAGAATGGGACGCAGGAGGCAGTGGAAGACCACAGGCGCGGAAAAGGGCAGGCAGGCGGGCGGGCAGGTGGAAAGGGTTTGGAGGGACAACAGTACCGAGCAGCAGCGTGGGCTGGTAGGGGTGGAAGTCCATGGTCATGACACACGAGCCCTGGTTCAGGTTCCTTGCAATCGTCTTAGGCAGATCCTCCACTGCATACCCGCCCCCCGACCCCACCCCTGCTCCTAGCGCCACTGGCCCCTGTCCCCCTGCTGCTGCCGCTGCCGCTGCTGCAGCTGCTGCGGCGGCGGCGGCAGTCACGGCACTCCCTAGGCCTGCCCCTGCTACGTTGCCTCCTATTGCTGGTACTGGTGGGCCTGGGATTGCTCCTGGGACAGGTGGCGGCTGCTGATTGGGCGGGACTTGACCGTAGACCTGGTGGGGAGTGGGTGGGGTGGAAGCGGGTCGGGTTCAGGAATGGAGGGGGAGAACGGGAAAGACGAATGAGGAGAAGTGGATGAATACCTAAGAAAGGGGAGAAGGGGATGAGTACGTAAGAAAGTCCCCTGTGCCCGAATACTCCACTCCACTACCACAGGGTTGCCTGGCGTTTGGGTCGACTCACAACTCGCTTCTCCCAACCCAAGCCCCTAAGAGCACCTCAAATCACAGGCCACACGCTGGGAGCACCTCACCTCGTCCATGCCGCCCCGCCCCTGGGCCGTTTGAGCCATGAGCACCATATCGGAGTCCCCTGTGCCCGCCGCCCGGGTACTCCACAGTCACCAAGTTGCTTGACGGTGCTTTCACTTTCATTCGACTCACAACACAACTCACCCAAGCCTCTGGCAACACTTCACCTCGCCCGCGGGCCATACCCTGGGAGCACCTCACCTCGTCCATGCCGCCCCTGGGCCGCTTGAGCACCATATCGGAGTCCCCTGTGCCCGCCGCCCGCCCGGGTACTCCACAGTCACCAAGTTGCTTGACGGTGCTTTCACTTTCATTCGACTCACAACACAACTCACCCAAGCCTCTGGCAACACTTCACCTCGCCCACGGGCCATACCCTGGGAGCACCTCACCTCGTCCATGCCGCCCCGGGGGCGCTTGAGCACCATGTCAGAATCCCCTGTGCCCGGATACTCCACCGCCACTGGGTTGCCTGGCAGTGCTTACACTTTCAGTCTACTCAGAACTCACCTCACCCAAGTCTCTGGCAGCGCCTCACCTCGTCCATGCCACCTCTGGGGCGCTTGAGCACCATGTCCGAGTCCCCTGTGCCCGGATACTCCACCGCCACTGGGTTGCCTGGCGGTGTGCGCGGCCGCTTCAGCATCGCTGCAGTGGGGGCGACGGTCAGGCACGCAGCATGGACGGGGAAGACGGCAGGCAGGAACCATGGCGAAGGAGGAAGAGGGAACAGGGCGAAGGAGGGGAAAAGAAGAGACAGGATGCACAAACACACGGATGGGTAAGGGGGAAACGGGGTGATGGTATGCCACCTGTGCTGCACTAACCCACAAGCACGAGCTGCAGCGGATCACACAACGAGACTAGTGGTCGCACACACACCTGGGTTGGGTCCTGGCGGCAGGTTGGCAGGGGGCGGCGGCACAACGGCGTGGGGGGGAGGCGCAGCTGCAGGCGGCTGTCCGCCCATCCACCCCGCCAGGGCGGAGGCGGACGGCCCCCCGGGCTGAAAGGGCTGCAGTGGCTGCTGCAGGTGGGGGAGGGAGGGAAGGGGTGGGGTGCAGAAGAGAGGCGAGAGCATTAGATGCTTTGCAGGCACGGGATGGCATAGGCTGGTGGGGCGATTGAAAACGCCATGACAATCCCAAGGAAACAAGCTTACAACAACCTATTTCCTCACCCCCTAACCCCCTAACCATCTTCAAGCGCCCCTATGATCACCATATTGAACACCACAGCACCTTCAAACTCCCAGCCTTCAGGTTGAACCCTCCCCCAGGCCCCTATCCCTAGACAGACTCACCGCATGCCCGCCCACGCCCACGCCCACGCCAACGGGCCCCAGGGGAAACGGATGGGCCTTGGGCGGCTGCTGCTGCTGCTGTTGCTGCTGCTGTTGCTGCTGCTGCTGCTGCTGCTGCTGAACGGCGGAGAGAAGCGAGTTGGGCGGAGCAGGCTGCTGCGGCTGTGTGCGTCCCCCGTTGGGCGCGGGCCCACAGGTGTGGTCCACAAAGAGGGTCTTGATGTCGGGGTTGGGGCGCGGGTTCTTGCACAGCTGGTGCTGCCAGTTGAGACTGGTGGGGATGGGGAGAGGGCGGCAGGGAGGGATGGAAAGGAAGAGAGAGACGAAGAGAGAGAGATAGAGAGAGGGAGAGAGAGGGAGAGAGAGGGAGAGAGAGAGAGGGTGTGTAGGTAAGTTCATGGGAAAGTGCTGACTTTGCCTTGCTACCAAGGTAAGTTCATTTTCTGAGCTATCAAGGATCAAGGATAGAAACACAATCAAACCCACCTCTGGTTGATGAGCGTGCGCAGGCGCGAGTTCTTGAGGTTGGGGAACTGCAGCTTGTCGCGGAAGAGCGGGTTGGCCTCGATCAGCTTCTTCAGCTCCAGCAGCATGATGTTGCGCGCCGACTTGGTGTCGCCGTACTTGCTCAGCTGCTCGTTCTCGCTGTGGGGATATGGGAAGGGAATATGGGAGGGAGGGGGGTCAGCAGCATGATGTTGCGCGGCGACTTGGTATCTCCGTACTTGCTCAGCTGCTCGTTCTCGCTGCACAACGCGGGCATTGCAGGATATGGGACGAGTCGGGAAGGCGGGGGGGGGGGTGGGGGGGAGGGGGCGGGGGGGGGGGGGAAGAGGGGGAGGGGATGGGGGGGGAGGGGAGGGAAGGGGGGGGGGATAACTCAGCAGTATGATGTTGCGCGCCAACTTGGCGTCCCCATACTCGCTCCGCTGTTCGTTCTCGCTGCAGCTACGCGCAATGCGCAATGCGGAAAGGGCTGTGCGGAACGAAAGGGAGAGGAAGGGGGAAATCGACGTGGCGAACGAGGCGGGACGAGAAAGCGTTTGTCGCGAGCACTCATACGAATAGTGGAAAAGGCGATAGTCGTCGAGTCAAGACTTGGCTGCACCAAGGGCTGCACGGGAACGCATGCAAGCTACCAGAGTCAAGTATGCGAAGAACTACTGGTGACCAGCGTTGACAACGAAAAAGAAAAACAATCATGGTTGTTAACAGTTGACTAACGGCTGGAGGCGCAGTCCAAAGAACCGCGCTACAGAACCGAACAGACTTTGACCAAGGCGCAGTCCAAAGAAACGTGTTATAGAACGGAACAGACGTTGACCAACCCGAGACGCGGAAACGCACCGGAAATTGTCCAAGGTCAGTAGCTGAGTGATCTCCTTATAGAGCTCCTCGTTAAACGACGCGAAAACCTTGAGGTCCTTCACCAGGATCTCTACAGCCTTGGCTCGATCTTGCCTGAGATCCGACGGGCGAGCAAGGGAGGATACAATAATGTAGCAATAAGTTCAATGCAATAATTGCGGAGTGACAGGAGGGACAAAAGGCCAGCAATGGCCACTGGTCCACGCGCCGAATCAAACGGGGAATGGAGATAGCCGAAACAATAAAATTCGAACACGTAGAGACGATCGCGAGGATCTGAAATGACGGAGCAGCGCGTTGTGACCTGAAAGCACAGTCAAGGTCTTAACGGTTACACGCTTGGCTCGGACATGATGACGTCACCGCTGAAGTCAGACATGTCGTCCCCGCTCCGACGCGACTTATTTCGAAGCATGATCAAACTGCGCGTCCTTTATTTCAAAGCGACCGTCTGAAACGGTGATCACTAAAAACGGCGGAAATCAACGCGTGGAGCGACTCGATGCACCGAGGACGGCAAACCACGCACTTGTCCAGCGCCTCGAGGTATTTCTGCTTCCTGATCTCGAAAAATATCTTCATGGAGTAGCGATTGTCGTCGACTTTGGTGAAGCCCGCGAGGTAGCGCTCCACCTCCTCCCACTCCCCCGCCACCACCTGGTCTTCGAAATACTTCATGTTGAAGAAAAAACCCGATTCCTGCTCGAGCCTGCGTCGGTTCGCGGATGGGAGAGTGAAAAGGTTGGAAAACATAATACTTTCTTGAATGACTTCTCGCGAACCGAAACGGAATATGGTTTCTTCATATATGCTTTGATTGTAATTCAATAAGGCTGATAAAAAGCGTAAGTACTGGGCTTTTTCTTTTGTGAAGAAACTTAAAACAGGTCTCTAAGAGTTCTTACTTGTGAACGGTTTCTTTGAACTTCTCTTCATCGAGAAATTGTAGTATTAGGAACACGAGCTCTCGACTTAACGACGACATGGTTCAAGCTCGAGGCGCCAAAACGGCGTACAGCTCGCGATAGCTTCTCGATCTACGTTGTCGGGATAGTCACAAGTGCTAGAAATAGCCCCAAGTCCAAGAACTTCTGAAACCTACAGAGTCAGCCAGCAGAAACTAATTATCCATCGGTTTGGTCAGCTAAATTAGTTGAGAGGTGAACGTACGATCGCCTCAAATAGAGCGGAAGTTCATGAACGGGGTGCACGAGGTGAGATACGACAAGGCTCGACGTGTCGACGTCGGGAGGGTTGCGTAGTGTTATAGAATCTCTTATACCGTCTCTCACGCCTACGGTACATGAAGAGTACTGGTATTTCAGTAGTAACTTACAAATGAACAAATTAGCATAACAATAGTGAAATGAAATATTTCGATCCGTAATAGATGGACACCACTAATTAACCACCATACGTCAATACTGCGCCTGAAAAAATAACATAGCCTAATATGAGCAAATAATTGCATTCCAATTAACAAAATAATGTATGATTTGTTGTTTGGTTGTAATAAAAGTTGCAAACAAAAGGTACACTTAAGTTGACCAAATCGAATAACATATTGACAAGAAGATATGAATGACACATATTTCTACTGCTCAATTATCAACAATCAAACCACTAGCAACAGATTGGAATGTATATAACTTGGGGAACCAACTTACACTAAAGAGGATATTTTGCTGACTTGGTTTGGCTAGGGTTTCGTTCTCCTCCCAACCAACTGCTCCTCTCAAATGCTCTCTACCCTTTCTCTCACGCTCTTTCCAACTCTCGTCAATCTAGAACTCCTACGACCTTCTCAGGTACTACGCTACCTTGTTAGTGCCTAAGCCGCGCGCGCCTAGAGCGCTTGCCCTTGACCCTCGCACATTAGGCAAAATAGCATAGAGCACTCGCGGCCTTAGCGCTCAAACCTAGGCCGATGGCGCCTAGGTGGCTGGCCCTTGGGCGTTAACGCCAAGGGCGTTGGCCTTAGGGCGCTCCCGCCTTTGCCGTCATTGGCGTGTAAGGCGCGGGCGCCGTTGGCGCTGGCGCCGTTCGCGGTGGCCCCTTTGGGCGCGGGCGCCGTGGGCGCTGGCGCCTTTTGGCGCTGGCGCTGGCGCTGTCGCCGTTTGGCGCAGGCGCTGGCGTTGGCGCCTTTTGGCGCTGGCGCTTGCGCTGTTTGGCGCTGGCGCTGGTGCTGGCGCCTTTTGGTGCTGGCGCTGGCGCCTTTTGGCGCTGGCGCTGGCGCCGTTTGGCGCTGGCGCTAGCGCCTTTTGGCGCTGGCGCTTGCACCTTTTGGCGCTGGCGCTGGCGCTGGCGCCGTTTGGCGCAGGCGCTGGCGCCATTTGGCGCAGGCGCTGGCGCCTTTTGGCGCTGGTGCTGGCGCCTTTTGGCGCTGGCGCTGGCGCCGTTTGGCGCAGGCGCTGGCGCCTTTTGGCGCTGGTGCTGGCGCCTTTTGGCGCTGGCGCTGGCGCCGTTTGGCACTGGCGCTGGCGCCGTTTGGCGCAGGCGCTGGCGCCTTTTGGCGCTGGTGCTGGCGCCTTTTGGCGCTGGCGCTGGCGCCGTTTGGCGCTGGCGCTGGCGCTGGCGCCGTTTGGCGCAGGCGCTGGTGCTTGCGCCTTTTGGCGCTGGCGCTGGCGCCTTTTGGCGCTGGCGCTGGCGCTGGCGCCTTTTAGCGCTGGCGCCGTTTGGCGCAGCCGCTGGCGCCTTTTGGCGCTGGTGCTGGCGCCGTTTGGCGTTTGCGTTTGCTGATGTCATGTGCACATGGTGATAACTCATACCCTCTCCTCCCCCGCCCGTTCTCCACACCCGCTTTCCAGGGATGTGGCTTGCAAGGGCTCCGCGGCGGCGGCAACAGCAACGGGGGGCTGCGAGCAACGTCGGCACAAGACGGTGAGCGAGGGGAATAGACAGTAGAAAATGACGACAGGGCGAGGAAGTGGGCGAGTACGGCTAGGGAGAGGGAGAGGGAGAGGGAGAGGGATAGGGAGAGGGAGAGGGAGGGGAAGAGGTAGAGAAAGAGGGAAGGAGAGGGCAGGGGTTGGTAGAGTTGTATAGAAATACGGAGGTTAAGAAATGTAACCAAATTTTGTGTTTTCTAGAACTTTGGGCATTGTTATCTTTCGGGTTGGCTTCTAGGGTACTTGGTTGGGCACGTTAACGTAGTGCTATGGCGGCGTGGGCCCTAACTTCCCGGTCCCTTTTCCTTCCCCCCCCCCCCCCCCCCCCCTCTCTCGAATCTTACCTAATTTCTCATACCTTTGTTTGTAGTTTATGCTTATCGATGTTGGTTTCCTCTTGCGTTTCACTTCACTACCAATAAAATATTGGGAGAGAGCGGATGTGAGAGTGAAGGAAGAGCTGGAGGGAGCACCAAGAGCGTGTGGTAGGGAGCGTGGGAGGGAGAGGCGGCGTGCACCGTTGGCCTGGGCTCCATGGGCTGTTGTGCCTAAGCCGATTCCGCTTAGGGCGTGAGTGTATGTGAGTGGTTGCAAGAGTGAGTGCGGTGTGAATTGGTGCGAGTGCGGGTGGGTGCAAGATTGAAATGTGCGCATGCAGTTGAGGGTGAGTGCGGTTGTGAGCGCAAGTGTTAGCGTGAGTGCGATGGTGAATGAGAGAGCAAGTGTGAGCATGAGTGCGCGAGCGAGTGTGAAAGCAAGTGTGGTAGGGAGTGAGGGCGAGTGCAAATGTGAGAGTGAGTATGGGTGTGAGTGCGAGGTTGAGTGCAAGGGTATGGGTGTGAGTGCAAAAGGGAGTGCGAATGTGCGTTCGAGTGTGCGTGCTAGGATGAGTACGAGGATGAGTGCACGTGTTTGTGTGTGTGTTTCTGTGAGTGCTGAAGAAGAGTTGTGAGTGAAGAGCGAGTGTGATAGTGAGTGCGAGGGTGAGAACAAGGGTGATCGCGGGTATGAGTGCGGGTGTGAGTGAGAAGTGCGTGCGACGGCGTGTGCGAGAGCAAGTGTGTGAGTGGGTGCGAGATTGAATACAAGAGTGAGTGCGTTTGTGAGTGTGAAGTTGAACTTGAGGGTGGCTTCAAGGTATGGCATCATGCTGGTGTAGTATCTGTGGTGCCACGACTGATACCCATTTTCCTCTGTGAGCTGTCAACCCATTGCTCATCTTCTTTTATTGTGTTTATTTCGTGTCTAGTGTGTGAGCTGCATTCTCTGCTTTTGTTTTCTTTTGCAATGCTATGAGGTGTACTCTTTGTTTTTGTTTTCTTATGCAGTGGCTGTGAGTTGTTTCCTGCTTGGCCTCCGCACATGAGTTGCATTCTCTGTTTATTGTTTTCTTGTACACAATGTGTGAACATCCTCTTTTTTTGCTTTCTTGTGCGGGGCGTATGTTGCATTCTCTGTTTTTACTATGTGCAGGGTGCGTGAGCTGAATTCTTTGATTATGTTTGGCGGAGAAGGGAGATGAGGGAGGCAATGGGAGGGAGATGAGGGAGGGAGGGAGGGAGGGAGGGAGGGAGGGAGGGGTGTAGGGAGGATAAGGGGTGATTGGCTAGTGATGATTTCTTAATAGCTGAATGTCATGATGGTTGTGTGCTGACTATCTGTATGTATCTGTGCTTGTTTGCGTGCGTGTCACTGTGTGCGTGTGTCTCAGTGTGTATGTGTGTGTGTGAGCATGTGTGAGATATGTATCGTATGTACAGTAGTGTTGTTTGTATCGTTTGTGTCTGTCTCAAGGCGTGTGCTGAAGTGCCTCGTGTATGCAACTCAGGTTGTGATCGCCGGTGGGGCAATAGCCTTAGCGTGCCAGACCAACCTTTGTTGCATCATCGATGCATTTTAGCATTCTCCCCAAGACACTCATAATTGTTATGCGTTGTCGTCGTTGTACCAGTACAATGTCGTGTGTGCTCGTTCGTGTTTGTTATAAAGTGTCATGTTAAACTGTGTCGGTTCTGCAATTGAGGTGGGGATCGTTGTTGGGGCAGCGTTGCTCGCCTTAGCATACCGGATCCATCGCTGTAGCACCGATGCAGTTTATCATTCACTTTATGACATTTGTTGTTGTTGAGTGTTGTCGTTATGTTCCGTAGATGCAAATACCGTAATTTGCATCCTCGTCGAATTTGTTGTCTCGTCAATTGTGTTTGATGTAAAATATGTTAAGGCCACCAATTGTTTCCATTCGCCGTATTTATCGACGATTATGGAACAATTGGTCTCATTTGGTTTCACTATTTTTGGCGACTCTTGAGTTTCAGTGCAGTCATCTCCACACATTTGAAGCAATCTTTCTCAAAACTTTAAAGAGATTGCTTCAGACGCTGGGAAAATGATAAAAATTTCACTGTTCATTCGAGTCGACCGAAAAAAGTGCTACCAAATGTAAAGGGGTTGCTACGCAACCCAAAAATGGTCTGCTCCCAGTTCTGTGCCTGCCTCTGATTCAGTCCAGGGGAGAGGTGGGTCAGCCACAGGACCGCCTATTCTTAAAGTTGAGGTGGTATGCGATCGGATGGGTTTTCCTTGGTTCATGTGCGGTGATGCGTGGCAATCTCGGAGTTCCTTGACTTTCTGGTGACTTGAAAATGGGGGAGGGAGGGAGGGAGGGAATGGGAGGGAGGGATGCACTGTAGGGAGGGAGGCAAGGGTGCAAGGCCAATTGTGCGAGGTGCGAGCAAGTGTGTGACGCGGGAAGAATGTCCTTCATGTCAACCAACAAGGACAACCTGCAACGCATTCCGGAAAAAATCGAGGTCGCTGCTGTTCCCGAAGAACACTGTTGGTACCCTGTCAAAACACCCAGCTTTGATGGAACTGTACTGTACAGTATGTATTTGCTGCCGGAGGTCTGGTCCAGGCCAGGTTCCAGGGCACTTCAGCGAGTACGAAACATCTGTTTCCTGATTCAAGGGTTGCTGAATCACCAACCGCAGATAAACACTTGCTTTGTTTCGGGCACTTCAAAGGAAAAAGGGCTACTCTCAACTACTCAGTGTCCAGCCGAGTTATTGCAATGATGCGTCGTACCCTCGCCTCCGACACCACCAGAGATTGAGCTGAGGGGCCCATCCAACCAACACCAACGTCCTGCCGGAAGGGCCAGCACAGCACAGCTGAAGCTCATCCGAGCATGTCTCTCTGTCCGTTCGATAGAACCGTGATTTGCGTTCATCCGCCGGAAAGGTTCCTCCAATCTCAAGCGTCAACTGGTTCTATCTGTCGGGCGTGGGTTCGGCACTGTGGTTTTCTGGCTCAGCCTTCCGATTTTGATCGAAACCGCATGCTGCAGCAAGTGGAGCACCACACCCGAGAGCACTGTATATGATAAGCCGTTCAGCTGAACAGGTTATCAGAACACAACAGGCTCAAACTAAGTACAGCGCATACCATGTTCCAGTAGAGGCTCGATTATCACTTTACATCTCCACCCAAACACACTACGCAATCAAATCAGGCGTTTCCTATATTTTACATGAGCTAATTTTACTAAACATGAGATACTAAACATTACCTTACACCGTTTTTTCATTCCACAAATATTGCCTCTATGAAGTTGAATCATGGGGTTTTTTATTAATAAGATGGTTCCTTCCATTGTTATCATCAAGTATTACTATCTGTTACGAATAGTGATTATTGAAACGTCACTATGCACTCCTCACCACAGCAAGCGAAGCACGCACTACCGAGGTTGAAGTCGAAAGGGCGGAAGAAACACGAAATGTCGTACGGTTACGATAGCATCTGGACCATCGGGCAGACAGCATCAGGCAGCAGCAGTGGCGAGGATTCTGCCCGAACAGTTTCGTAACCACCCGGAGTCGCACGGTTGGATTTCGCTGCAATAAGGGAATGTACCCCTTAGAGTACATGGCTAGCTAGGTCGATTCGAATTCCCCTGTACTCTTATTTATATTCCTTGTACTCCATGTTTTTATTATCTCAAGCATTTACATTCACTCTTGTATTGAGGTCAAGGGCCCACCACTACTAGACTATAAGTGTGCGAACCTTCCTGAGGTGATCCTGAGGTCGATCTACTTCTGATCGCAGCATGGTATGAGAGAGACTCAGGAATCCTTCGCACCGCCACCACCGAAATCTTCGGCGAACGGAAAGTGGCGTCCGGCACACGCTCACGTGTGAGAATGGCCGGAGGATCTGGTGGTCAGATGAATCTGACGGCTAAAGCGCAGCCCAATCCGGCTGCGACAAGCAAGGAGACGACGACAATCCCTTCCGCCGTCCTCGCACAACTGATTCAGCGACTCACAAGTCTGGAGCAAGGGCTCCAAACATTGCGGAATGGTGACGCGGGAACATCTTCCCAACCCACTCAACCGGCCTCGAATGGCCAGAACTCCGCCCCGCACACCTTCTCCCTCGACACAAATGGCTCAACACCCAAGACTCCCTGTCCCAGCGACGAAGCAATTCTCTCTGCGCAATCGAGGTTTTTGAGCATATAAAAAATAAAGACAAGTGTGTGCTTTGACGGCAGAGACTTCTATACCTGGAGCTTCGAGCTGGAACTGCTACTGCAAAACGCGCAGATTTTTCACTACTTCGGCGGGAGCTACTCGGGACCTGCGGAGGACACTGACGACGCACGATCCAAGTACTACAACGAGTCCCTGATGGCGTACGGGGTTCTTCTGCGAAACATGTCGCCGACGGAGCAATTGAGCATTCGCTCATACAAAACCTCGCCTGCTCCAGCCCACAACGCTTGGCGCCACCTGAACGGTGTGTATCAACCAAAGGACTCAGTGTCGTCGAGCCGCCTTCTCCAGCAGCTACTGGAGACGAAAATGGCACCAGGAGAGAAGGCCAACAGCTACTTGAATCACTGTCGGAGCTTACGCGATCAAATCGCGAAATTGGGGAGCACGATCTCTGAGGAGATCTTCGTGAACATCGTGCTCCAAGGGCTCGGCCTGTCAGAACATTATATAGCTTATGCTGTTGTGTAGGCTATAGTGGGGTATCCCATAGGGGGTACAACCCAATCAGGGTTTTCTATATGTACTCACCTCATTCATAGTTCATTCATCCTCGTTCTTCATTCTTCTCATGGTATCGAGCAGGTTCCCTCGTGGGAACTGTTCCTAGGGCCCACCGTTTTTTTTTTCCTGCCCGGAGCGCACTCTGCCCCTACCCGAGTCGCGCTCCCCTCTCTCTTGGCCCCTAGTGGCCCCTTTAGCCGCCCGTCACGGCCCTTAGACGCCCGCGCGCCGCCCGTCCCGGCCCCTTAGACGCCCGCGCGCCGCCCGTCCCGGCCCCTAGACGCCCGTGCGCCACCCGGCCCGGCCCCTAGACGCCCGCGCGCCGCCCGTCCCGGCCCCTAGACGCCCGCGCGCCGCCCGTCCCGGCCCCTAGACGCCCGCGCGCCGCCCGTCCCGGCCCCTCGAAGCCCGCGCGCCGCCCGTCTCGGCCCCTCGACGCCCGCGCGCCGCCCGTCCCGGCCCCTCGCCGCCCGTGAGCCGCCCGTCCCGGCCCCTAGACGCCCGCGCGCCGCCCGTCCCGGCCCCTAGACGCCCGCGCGCCGCCCGTCCCGGCCCCTCGACGCCCACGCGCCGCCCGTCCCGGCCCCTAGACGCCCGCGCGCCACCCGGCCCGACCCCTAGACGCCCGCGCGCCGCCCGTCCCGGCCCCTCGACGCCCGCGCGCCGCCCGTCCCGGCCCCTCGACGCCCGCGCGCCGTCCGTCCCGGCCCCACGCCGCCCGTGAGCCGCCCGTCCCGGCCGCGCACCGCAGTCCCGGTCCCACGCCGCCCGTGCGCCGCCCGTCCCAGCCGCGCGCCGCCGTCTCGGTCCCCACGCCGCCTGTGCCGCTGAGGAGCTGAGCCGCCCGAGCCGCCCGAGCCGCCCGCACCGCCCGAGCAGCCCGAGCCGTGCTGCCCCTCAGCAGCACAACCGAGCCGCCCGACAGCAGAGCAGCCGAGCCGCCCAGCAGCCGAGCCGCTCAGCAGCCGAGCCGCCCAGCAGCCGAGCCGCCCAGCAGCCGAGCCGCCCAGCAGCCGAGCCGCCCAGCAGCCGTGCCGCCCAGCAGCGGAGCCGCCGAGCCGCCGAGCCGCCCGGCAGCCGAGCCGCCGAGCCGCCGCGCCGCCCTCCTTCCGGGCCGCCCGACCTGTCCAGTCTGGTGAGCACAGCGCCCTTTCACTGCACTGCCCTCACCCTACTGTTTGCGCTGCCAGTCGTCTAGGGTCATGGCTACCCCTAGTGTTCTAGTCTTTGACGCTGAGGGTCGGGCCATTGACTTTGAGGTTTGGGTGGATGACCTGCAGCTGTTCTTACAGTGCGATAGGGCAGATGGTCTCTCTCTCTTTGACCTCACCTCTGGCGCCTCCACTGCCCCTGCTGCTGACGCCGACGCCACTGTTCGCTCCCAGTGGGCCACGCGCGACGCTGCTGCACGTCTTG